TATTTCCATTGAAAAAATAATATTTAGATGATTAAATTCTGTTTTCAAACTTTCCATGGGGCCTTTAAATTCCAGTATGAGTACAAATATATAAATGTTTCTCAGAGTGTCACTGATGATTGTCATTTTTATAATTCAAAAGAACAACTTATTTGGAGCATAATCTATCCACCAATCAATAGATTTGACATAGGGTCTTTAAATTCAAGTATGACTACATGTACATCGGAAGACAAATGTTTTTCAAGGTGTCATTGATTTTTATAATTCAAAACTCGTTACTATCCACCAATCCATAAATTGAGCGACCGGACGTCCACTTTGATAGCGTGTTTTCATGTACGTCTGCTTCGCCCACTAACAGTACCGTAATTGTTAATGACTTAATACATCCCAAATTATACCACGTCATGGATAGCATGTATAACAGTGTTCTTATATGAGTGAAAAGACTTTGACGTTAGCTTTTGAAATAAAAAAAACAGATTTATACAAACTCACAGAAATAAACTGGAAACCCAGTAAATGGTATCACTTTCAGTTTTATCATGTTTCATGCCACATTGCTGATCCTAACATAGTACATTAGAAGCTGTCAATAAGAACCCCTTCAAATAAGGAACATTTCGTCAATGAAGTTTTCAAAAGACCTTACGTATTGATGTACCATCTTTATAAGGAACATTAAATTTCTTCAATGAAATTTTCAAAATACCTTACGTATTGATGTACCATCTCTATAAGGAACATTAAATTTCTTCAATGAAGTTTTCAAATACCTTACGTATTGATGTACCATCTCTTTAAGGAACATTAAATTTCTTCGATGAAGTTTTCAAAATACCTTACGTATTGATGTACCATCTCTATAAGGAACACGTGTCTACTGGAAACAAGGAACAATGTTTTAGGGCAATTCTTTTTTAAATCATATATTTAGGGAATAATTTTATGATATGGAAACAATAACACTCTACTATACCTAACCCCTAGAAATGCACAAGATACTCTGTTTGTCTAATTGCATTGTTTAGTATATTTTTGAAAGTACCTTATTAACATCTAACTTTCAACCGATAAACCATTAATATACCCTTTGCATTCGTTTGACTTTACTTCTTAAAAGAGAGCTTCGTCTGTAGTTTAACTAGACTCTGCACGCAGGGTATCATTAATAAGGAACAGACAAATAAAAACAAATAACATAATTATTACTAATAAGCCAAATGGGTTGCTCATGAACACCAAAATGCAAGGTATAGTAGAGTGAATAAATGGGGCAACAAAAATGCATTATATGTAATTCCGGCGATATTGAAACCTTAGATCATTTTACTCTATTTTGTAGCTCTTTAGATGCTGAAAGGGTAGCTCTACTGGCTCTTTTCAAAATGGGAGAAGATAATGTACTCCGGATTTTTAAAGAGGATGATGATTTTATTAATATGATTTTAAAGGCTAATGCAATTTACTCTCTGTATAAATAATGCAATCTTTTGATGTAAATATGTCTTTTACCAAAAATTGTAATGGACACATGGAAATAATGTGGTAATAAAGGATACAATACAATACAAAACATAAAAAACAGATTGTGTTCTAATTTTGTGTGTTCCATTTTTAAGTTTTAGTTCAATCTGCATTTTCACTTTTTTGAGGTACATGTAAGTAAGTTATTCAATACAACTATTTACTTTTGATTTTGATCTTGGTTAACACCAGCAATTACACTTTCAGCATGTATTGGAACAAAGCAACGGTAGATGGTCCATAATTCATTAAACGATAAAAATCTAGTAGGTCTGAAATCCTTGATTTGTATAACCTTAACTGGTTGTTGAAATACTTGTACTGTACAGAGTGAATTTGTAAAACTAGATATACTGCAAAGGGGCATCCTCAGGATCTTTTCAAGAGGCGTGCATCTACATGTAAACAAGGCACAGGGTGAACAATATCGTACCTAAAACATAGCAGTGTGGGCTTGATGACCCAGAAAGCAAGATGGTCACCGAAAAGTTAATCAGTTCAAGAACTTCTTACCATGTAACATGTGTAAAAATTTAAAGTAAACCCGTTAAGTGGTTTTCCTGGAATCGGAATGACAAGATTTATCTAAGAACTTCCAAAATGGCCGCCAGAATGCAAGATGGCTGCCGAAAAGTTAATTAGCTTGAGAACTTCTTACCATGTAACATCTGTGAAAATTTGAAGTAAATACCTTCCTGGAATCGCGATGACAAGAGTTATCTAAAACACTCAAGATGGCCATCAGAATGCAAGGTGCCTGCCGAAAAGTTATTCAGCTCTAGAATTTCTTACCATGTAACACCGAGTGGTTTTCCTGGAATCGTGATGACAAGAAAGTGAGACGCCGCCCACCCGCCTGTCAAACTGACGACAATATCGTACCTTTTTAGGTACAATAAAAAGTCACCATCATCATAGCTTGCATTTGAGGCACCACCTTCTTGCCAGAGTGCATAGCTCTGTACAGATCATAATTGATATCAATTAACAAGAACAAGAACTATATCGCATTAAATTCATTTTTATTGATTAAGATCGCATATTCTACTTATTTTTTCATGGTATTTTAATTCGACCAGCGATATAAGTAATTTATAAAATATATAATATTCATTTTCACTCAGCTTCTAAAAGAGGGCTTCATCTCATTCTGCATTAGACTCTGTGCTCGGGGTAGTTTTGGGTTGACCCCCTCCCTCAACACTCGAAGCAAAAATGATCATAAATTGATTTGTAAGATATTGTTTTAAGTTATCTTCTATATATAAAAACATACTGGTCCCTTATATGACTTTCAGACATAAGGAGCTTAATTAATAGTAATGCCCCAATCACATTTGCTCTACAGCGACATACTGCAACCATAGTTCCCAGAAATCAAGAAATATGTAAGGCGATCGGTGTCTTATGGTCCATGTATGGCCGTACATATATGAGTTTACTACAGGAAATAGGGTTTGCCATGGAAATTTTTTTTATGGCAGCCATAGCATCAGACTAGCCAAATGGTCATTGTATGGTTGACCTTTTATCAATGTATGGTTCCCCTGTGGCAGTCTTGCATCTGCCTAAATTTGTCAAAAACGTATGGCTACTGAAGGGACACCTTAAGGTGACCATGCACCATCATGTGACCATAGAAATCATATGGCAGCCATAGGAATGCTGTTGGCCATGGAAACATTAGACCATATGGTCACAGTAACAAATGTGACTGGGGCATGATATCTCATGATATCAGACATACATACTTGTAGAAATTGATTGAAGCTAGCAAAAATAACAAGGCATTAACATGACAAAATGGCATCAACTGCAAATGGTTATTGGAATTTGTTACAAACACCAACTGGCGAACACCAACCACAAAAGGAGACTATAACAATACATGTGTGTGGTAACATAAAAATGGCCCTCACCCCTCACATTTGTAAATAATATGATGTATCCTAAGACTACTACTGTACCTAGAAGAGACGTTTAATCAAAACAAAATAAAAGTGAAGTATCTTGTTTAGGATATCAGACTTGGCAGTTCAATAAACATCCAGGGAACATTCACACCTGTGTTCACACACAAGGTAACCTGACATACTGAGACTAAGGCACAGTGACTTTGATAGTTTAATTAATTTATAACATTTATGTCATTGGCATGTCATAGGCATGACTTTGATAGTATAATTATTTAATTGCAATAATGTGCATAAATTTAATTGTGTAATTAATGACTTAAAATACAAGCAAGTGACATTGTCATTGTTTAAATGTTGTCCTTTGTCCATTGACATCTTTCCACTCTAGTCCCCTTCAAAATTTTAAATTAATTTGTATGTGTTATATAGAGTGACACGATGACATACAGTGTAAAGTTAGACAGTAAGAGCACCATATTACACTATAAACTAGTAAGCACAAAAAGGGCCTATAATCACCTGGTACATGTGGTTCCTTATTTGTAATTGGTAGTTCATACTCTTAATTGGCAGAAAAGCTAAGAATAAGGACTGAATGACCACTTGGTATATTAAATTACTCTAGACAAGCCCTGAGGGTTATTGAGTTCAATAACATCGTCCATGACATTGTCTTTGACATTGAAATATTAAGAAATAATCAGAATTCCGAAACAGCAAAGTCTGGAGGCTAAGGACTTCAAAATACTGACACAACATCAACAAAAAAAGAAATGTTAATCCTCATGACGGCATCTGGTAAATGAGAATATTTAATGGAAATAACTAATCATGTAAAACTGATGACAATGTATAAACAAGCAATATAATTCTTTCTGTACTAATGGCACTAATTACAAACTAATTTAGTGCAAAAAATGTCAAATTTAATGGTATTGTACAGAGTGAGTTCATAATCATACACACATACAGCTGAACATACAATATTATAATATCTTAACTTGAGGTGATATCCATCACTTTACGTATATTCTAAGACATCTGCAGTTATTGGGAGTGGTCTGGTAGCCACTGAGTAGTCACAGCTTAAGTTGAGGGCTGACCCACTCTTTCTGATTTATCAGGGTCTCTGTCAAAAGCTTGTGTGTTTCCCAAGGGATGACACAGACTGTGGATCCCACAATGTGGCCACTGGTCAATTACGTTGTTTATTCATCTTCTTAGTCTTGCTACAGATTATGTATATCTTCAAGAGATGGTATTGTAATTGGCTGGTGTAATGCATTTTGATGAGCTTTTCTCTGATCCTAAGCTAGAGCCTTTCAAGGTACAGTAAAACCTGTATATCCAAACATCTACCTAATCCAAACAGCTCTCTTATTCTTAATTTTGATTTCCCATTGGCTTACATATCAAGAAACCTTGAAATATGTACACATGCTCATCCAACACTGTTGACAAGCAGGCCCATAGCCAAGGGGGGGGGGGGGGGGGTTCGCAGGGTTCGGGTGAACCCAAAAATTCTTTCAAAATCATGCAGTTTTTTCCCCATTTTGAGCAATACTCAAGTGATTTTAGCCATATTTGGGCCAAAACTGTCAAATGTGAACCCCCCTGGAAATTTTTGAAAACTGAACCCCCCTTGGCAAATCCTGGCTACGGGCCTGACAAGTCCCAGTGGCGTTAAGATTAGACAGGTTTTACTGTGTACTATTGATTAGTAAGAGCATTGGAGTAAAATGAGTCCCAGAATAATATTTTTTAGCATTCATATTTGTCATAATTTGTCATCATTTGAAGCCGTACTGATCTTTCCAGTGCTGAAGTGCTGAAGCACAGCATTCCTGTATCCACGAAACATTTTGAAAACAGAGTTGCACCATCATGAACACCCATCTGCTATCATACTTAAAAGTGTTGGCGATAATTTTGAAGAAAATGATGTAGGGAAAGCTTTGGTAGTTAGTTTGTTTGAAAGTCAATTCATCAACTTTATGATGAATTCATTCGTAACTTCATCACAGATGAACATCACATTTGAATAATAATCCATCATCAAAATTGCCTATGTACTCCCATCCATGAGGTTACGTGGCCCAAACATATCCGTATATACCTTGCCAAGTTGGTAAGTAGTTCAGCAATGGGCCTGGAACAACAACCATTACATGAAATTATAAGTGTAGCCCTAAATTATTTATTGCTTTTCATGGTGAATATGATGACACAATTAATGTATCTAGCTTAAGGGAGAAATCATGCAAATTCAGTTTTTTTATTCAATCTCGCTTTATATTATTTTATAACTAATATAGAGTAAGATTGAAATCCTTTGATTGAATACTGACCTCTTGAGTCTTGATCATTGTTAAAATAGAATTGCAGGGACTGATGTTTAAATGTTAAAAGCTTAAGTGCCTGGATACTTCGTTATTCAAGTACTTTAATTTCTCATTTTAACTCTATAAATACAGAAATGATTCGGGCCCATCAGGAAAAGAAAGCCATTCTTTGGCACTGATTAAGAATTCATAAGCACTGTGCACTGAATATAAGTCAATACAAGGTAGATGGGATTTCCCAAAGTTAAGAGATGCCAATGTCCCCTGGTATGAAACACTGAATAAACTGGAAGGAGAAAAATAGCATCAACATGGTGCAGTAAATCCCAACAAACAAAATATTTAAACGCAATCTGACCAGTATTTGGGATATCTATAATTTTCATTTTTATTAATTGAGCACCTAATTTTGATAATTATTTCGAAAGCAGAGCTTCTATGTTTATGAGGCATCATCCTGTGAAACTTAAATGAAATCTGAAGACTGTAAATAGAGGTTATCTAATAGGAGGGATGGAATATGAATTTGATTCTGAGGGGAAATATGATGTTGGCCAAGGAAAATATCATATTGACTGAGGGTGATAGCATGATACGAGATCTAATACTTTCATATATTCACCAGTTGTTTTCACAAAATCGCCTGTTGTTTTTAGGGACTTTTCGATGTTAAATTCTTGATTTCCATTAATTTTGCCTGTTGTTTTCATGTATTTAGCCTGTTGAGAGAAATTGCCGAAAACCCTTGTCATCGCTGGGTTAGATAGAAACATTGAAACAATGTTCAAAAATAAAAAAAATTAAAAGATTTTGCAATAACTAGCTAAAATTATGCTATGTTCACATAATCAAAGCAGGCAAATTGATTGGACGGCTAATCAACCGATACTCATGAATTATTCATGGATGCAGTTCAGTGGTATCGTCTCATAGTCATAAGAGCAGCTATTTACTATTGGGAATCGTTTCATAATTACATGTATTTAGCTAATGTTGTCAGTAATAATTAATGAAAGACAAATATACAGAAACATGAGTAACTTATTCATCCAAACAATGAATCTGTGTGTAGCATGTCTACGGAACGGTATACTACCAGGACCAGGTCTGTAGCCAGAGGGGTTCGAAGGGTCGGAGCGAAAACAATGCAGTTTTGCACCAATTTGTGCACTTTTCAAGTGATTTTGGGCCAAAATTGTCATAGAACCACTTGGAATTTTTAAAAAACTGACAACCCCCCTTGACAAAAGCTGGCTACGCACCTGAGAACTATCCCCAGAGAATGTGCTATGATTGTGACAAAATGAGCTTGATTGGCTAACATGGAACAGTGTCAAGGTTTCCCTTTTCCTTTTGAAGTTAGGCTAAAAAAACAAGAACAAATCTTAGCACTTTTTCATTTTTCGGTGCGAGTATGATTCTCAATAAGACCAGAATTTTTTGCACATCTGCAGTAATTAAATATTAGTAGATATTCCTTTTAGATGAATTAAAAAAATATGCTTGGGTAAAATCACTGCTACCCACCTAGTTACACAGACGTATCGTCAGTGTATGATGGCGGAACTACTTCCGAGATTTGAATTCGATAAGATATTTTTATTTCTCGATTTACATCTACATGTACAAGGGGTGATCCAAAAGTCTTGGACGCCCCGCTCTAACTTTGCTATTTTCTAATATAATTGCATGAAACTTTCAGATAATAAAGATCAACATCTTAACAACGTTGTGTATAAGTTTCAACAGAAAATAATATATTTTAGCTTTTTGGTAAATATTTTTTAACACTGGGTCCCTGCCACCCGGAACGGTATTTGAATATTGCAAATCACGTCACAACTGTTATGATATGGCAAATACTTTAGGTGTAGGTGCACAACTTAACACCAGTCATGATATGAGAGAATTTCCGATTTTTAATCTGAGTGTCATCTGCCAACATAATCTTCACATATTAAGACCTCTTTTCAACATAGTTTCCACGAATTTAAACACATCTTTCTTACCGCTTTACCAATGAATATAAGACATTTATGAAATCGCCATTCCTTATGTGATACAAATGCTGCTGGAGTGCCACTCTAAACCTCATCCAATGAATAAAAAAACATTTTTTCAGCCCTCCTTTCAACTTGGAGAAAAGGAAGAAAATGAGCCATATCTAGACTGTATCGTGCATATATGGTAGCTGCAAAAGGTCAATCATAGTGAGAATATCTTGTAGTATTCTTTGTTCCAGTTTAATTTCTTTCATGTTCTGCGTTTCAGCAGCCATCTTGGAGCAAAAATGATACCAGAATGAGGGCTGCTTGTCTGATGTCATTTTCTTATTATTTGACATATATGGCCATTGTCATATGTGACATTATATATAAAACACAATTAATTGGTTGCATAGTAACAAAGGAAGTAAACTAACATGGTTTAACATTCAAAATTCCAAGAAAGAGAGTGCTCAAGACTTGCAAAACAAGTCAAATGGCGGCAACATTTAAGGCTGAAAGTTGTCATGTGCGAATACCATTCCGGATGGCAGGGTCCCTTTATTAAAAACTATCTAGAAAACTACATAAAACATATCATTTCTCCATGAAATTAATACACAAAGTAGTTAGGATGTTATTCTTTATTATTGGAAAGTTTAAAGTAATTTTATCAAAAACCAATAAAATTAGAGCAGGGCGTCCAAGACTTTTGGATCACACCTCGTACTTATAAGTCACGATGTGGATTATAATTTGGCTCGAAGTTATGGGAGATCTAGTTTGAGAATGTGTCTATGGTTTTAGGTTTGGCATGTTAACGAAGACGCATTTCATATATTTAGTCCCTCGCTTTTGTTACACTGATGATCGGCATTAATATTGCCAATATTACACTGACATAGAGGTTTGCTTACACTGACGAATGGATAATATTATAGAGAAAGTTGATCTGTGGAATGTCATGAACATAGGACGTAGCCATACGCCCGGTAACATTTATAAAAATCGCCTCGATATTTTTATACATGTTCCCGGGCCTATGGAGGTAGCTTTCTATCAAATCTCGGAGATTTCTGGCAGGTGCCCAGGGGGAGTGTGAAGCTGCAGCTGAGATATTGAATCAAATCCTTTCAATTATTCTTATGTAATTATGATATGTGCATAACATCTCGAAATATTTAAACAAAACAGGCATCATATTCTCAATTAATAATAAATTGGAGTCCCAATTTACTTGTAGTATATTAACGTGCCATTGATGTGATAGCGCTATTGGGAGTGCGCAGTTTATTTACATTATTTTGCTACAACTATCATCACATTTGTTTTGACTGGCTCCTATTGTAGTTGACCAAGAGCCATCTACTTCTACTGCAATGGCGCACACTAGTGGGGTAAGTTTCATGTTTGCTGTTTAAGGATTTAGCCTCAGACTCAGTGCATTGTGGAATGACCATTCCTTGAAGGACGTTGCTTTCCAAAATTTGCTCGAGATGCTTGCATCAAATGTCAATTTTAGGACACAACGCTTGAAAGGAATTGTCATTCCACAATGCATTGATTCCTGGGCTTAAATTGTTTTCACACATTGCAAAATATTTTCTACAAAGTCACCTTAAACATACAAAATCACGAAAATAACATATTTCTACTAAAACTTTTTGCGAGGGTCAAGTATTTGAAAAACATCAATTACAGCTCCTCACCTAGCAACTATACAAAACAAATGCATTATTGATTATTTTATAATTCACTAAAGTATCATCATATTTGAAATGTGCACATAAGATTCATTTTTAATTATCAGATTCACATGCACTGTTGATGAAGATTTTGATGATCAATCATCTTCAGCCCATATATGATCGATTTTTTTGCGTAAATAAGAATCCTAAATTCACTAATTGTCTTTAAATGCCTCTGACTATTGAAATTAATAGGTGACAATTGATGATGCACAGGATGGTAAGACAATATTTGTAACTTGCTCTTTTCCTTTGTATGTTCACAATAATTGATAAGGATTGTTCTCCCTAGAATGATATTTGCAATGGTCATGTTCAATAATGCAAAACTGTGTACATTTGACCACACCCGGGGACAACACACAAAATGTGTAACGTTTTAGAAACATGTTCATGGCCAGAGATACCTCTCCAATATACGAGCTTTGGCTTTTTTCACATTTTTGGCTAAAAATCATACGAAAGTGCTCAGAATGGTGAAAACTGCATGGTTTTGTAAAAATTGGGAACATCATGATATTGGCAAAGTGTTCTAGGGATGACACTGTTCATATATTTACATTTAAGTTAGATAATGTTTGTATCGGGACCGTCCGAAGTTGTTTTCCCTTGGGTCTGGGTTCTGACCTTACCTCGTCCTTTTATGAACCAGATGCCTTACGAGTCGAATCGAATTATGCTGGGTACATAAAAAGTTCAGTCAAGTATCAATGCAAATCAGAAAATTTCCTCTGAGATAGGCTGGCATTTACTGATTTTACTCCTGAAGAATATCTCTCTTTCATCACAATTTTTTCAAACGGTGATTTATTTTTAAAGAGAACATAAAAAATCTCCCAGCTTTGTCACGGTCCCGATTTTTATTTTTTTCATTGCTCTCTCTGAAATAGTTTAACCATACATACAAAATTGTTACCTTTAAGTATACACAAATGTTAAAATGGTTCGTCAGTGTTGCAACAGCTCCAAATCAAAGATTCGTCAGTGTGATATTGGTCGTTCGTCAGTGTAACAAAAGCGAGGGACTAAATACGTGAATTGTGTCTTCGTTAACATATAAAACCTAAAACCATAGACACATTCTCAAACTAGACTATCTTCCTTAACTTCGAGCAAAATTATTATCCACAACGTGACTTATAAGTAGGTGTAAATCGGGAAATAAAAAAATCTTACCGAAAACAAGTCCCGGAAGTAGTTCCGCCATGATACACTGACGATACGTCTGTGTAACTAGGTGGGTAGCAGTGAAAATGAAGGCAACTTTCCTGTTGAATATCCTATATTTTTACGTAATTACATCCATCCATACATACATACATACCCATAAATTCATATTAGGTATGCAATACATCAGCTAATTGTCACTATAATGTGAAATATGACCTCGTTCTTGTCAAGAAAACTAGGACACATTTTACATCAAAGTGACATAATGTCTAAAAAGAGCCTTTCAAGTGATGACTTTGAAAAAATAAAACGCATTCATCAGTTTTGTTTTCCTGCTTTGGGTATTGATCTACTGACTTAGGTAGAGAATAATAAATGGTTGTTTACTTGAGGGGATTAAACACATTTGTCTATGATGTAAGCTCTTTAATAAAAATAACGCAGGTTAACAAAACACCAATTCTTTCATGATATAGTTTTTGTTGTTTTCAGGCAATCCCATTAGAGCTTTATCATGTACCACGTTTTGCTGTTTCCAAAGGTTGCCATGGCGTTTTCATTAACTGAGAGTTACAGTAAATTATTTCTAAGAGTACAATATTTATATGAAAAAATTTAAAATGAATATAATTCCTTAGATACCAATTAAATTTTAAAGTCAAAATAAAGACAATGTCTTAGATCTAAATCAAATTATAAAGTCAAAATGTAGACAATACCAATAGATCTTTCCGTCAAACTGCGCCACCTATTGGAATTAGTAAACAACTGTGAAGTAAACAAAGTGGGCAGGGTTGTGTACTTGAAAAATAACCAGCCGCAGAAGATAGATCGAAATCCCCATCATAAGAGGGTATGTATGCCAACAAATATGAATATTTATCAACAATAGATGTCACTCCACCTTCACACATCAATACTATCGCTCACAATCTCATTAAATGCTAATATCTCAGTTAGTGTACGAGGGAAAGAATCGAAAAAATAAAACGCTAATATCTCAGTTTGTGTACGAGGGAAAGAATCGAAAGAATAAAACGCTAATATCTCAGTTTGTGTACGAGGGAAAGAATGGCAAAAAATGAAGACAATCCATTGATCTCAACTCACCTACAATATACCTGGCACCTGGGACATAAGCAGCTATCACCTGCATAAGGAGAGCAATACGCATTCTGAAAGAAAATGTAGAGAATTTCTATCAAATATTGAATTCCTGTGAAGCAAATGTAACTCATGCAAACTGCAAATCATGGTCATCCTTGCCTTGTATTACAGGAGTTTCATTTAATTTTGGTGTATATTCTTGTCATCCCAAATTACATGTGAAATAATAAGGAAGGAATGAACGTGACAAAATTTTACCCCTGGTAGTGGTAATGTAACAATTTTTACAAACACCAACTACTGATGCCAGCCACTGAACCATGTCAGTCAGACAGACAGTGGCTTCTTTTTATGTAATGACGTAAAATGCCTGATCACCAAGTTCAATTTCCCCCAAAATACTCCTAGCAAAACAATTAACTTTTGCTGATTGCTTTTTAGATATTGATATTTATTCAATCTTAATTTTTTTAATGATTTTTTTCACACGAGACACCTAAAGCCAAATATGTGCGGCAAAAACATCACAATAGGATGACCTATAGAGTGATGAGAAGAACGGAGGTTGCTCAATCAATTGTGAGCTCCTCCAATTATTTGATTGCACAGGGGCATATTGAATCTTAAATTTCTTTAGATTTAATTTTAGATGAGTAGGCATCAACTCTTTTCTAAAGGCAATCAATCTCAAATTGTTCTTGTTACGAAGTATTTGGTAGAAGTGTTGGGTAGAATATATGCAGCAGAACCCTTGGAAAACAATTTTACACACCCCTTTAAAAGTTTGGAAACTCCAAATCACTAATTAAGAATAAAGCAAATTTAAATATAAATAGGCTTTTACATGTAGACACTATCCAATGAGGAGTACAAACTTTTGGAGGGGAGTGTACCTATTACTTCCTAATTCAAAAATTTCCTTACACACTGGTAACATTTATGTTCAATTATCCATAAACACCTGGTTGTCTAAAGACTTTTCGCATTTGGAGTTGGTATGTTAGTTATTTATAGTTAATAGGCAAAACATCCTCTCATTGGATACATTGTCCTGTGAAGTTGACCGAATTACAGTGAAACCTGTAAAGTGGAACACCTCTAGAAGTGGAACACCTCTGTTACTGGATCACTTTTCAGTCCCAAGACCAACCGACTTAATGTTAAATGAACATCTATAGGTGGAGCCCCTCCTAAGTGGAACACTTTTAGAGGAACCAAAGGTGTCTCACTTTACAGGTTTAACTGTATTTCAAATTTAAAGAGTATAATTAGGGTGAAGCTCTAAGAAAGGGTATCTTACTTTGAATACTTGTCATAGAAGGGAGATCTGAGCAAGTATAACAACAGCATGTAACATCTACGCTTTAATTCCACACGTTCCTTGGGGGTCAAATCATCGGGGTCTCCAATCATAAACAAACTGGAATAAAATTGAGAAGACTAAAATATAAAATATTACTAATGTTAGGACCTGTTTGGCAATAATTGCAAGATGTGAGTGTAAAATGAATCTTAATACAAGGCACTAACATGTAAAATGTCACTACCTGCCATTTGTTACAAACACTGAACTCTAGACACCAAATGCCGAACAACATCCACAAAAAAGTTGGAGACTATAACAATGTGTCACCACTTGTGGTGGTGACATAATCAAGGTGGGTTTATTGGTGCAATATTAAAACCCTTGCAGATTTTGTCAAGATGTGTAGTTAAGGTAGAATGAAAATTTAACATTTTGTGATAAAATTATCGAAGAACATACCTGCTGATATCTATTGCACTTGCCAACAACCAAGGCTTCCAGGATTTTAGACCAAATTTGTACAAACTCAACACTATGTATAAGTTAAGGATGTTTCTCCAAGTAAGTAAGGCCAGAAGATGCATGGACTTGAATGTTTAAATCAAATCATCAAGTACAATCAATACATTAAAGTGCCAATTCAGTAATTTCCATTTATTTTTCTTTACACAAATAGATTCAATGGGTATTGGTTGGTAGAAATAGCATACAAACAGACTCACATCTTCATCTGATTGTCTTTCAGTGCCAAAATAAGATTTCCCGGAAAATAACATGACATCACAATCAGAACCGGTTATGGATTTTAATCGACAATGCGTCATGCAACTCGAAAGTAAATTCAAAAGTGTTCATGTTATACTGTGTTCTGATTGGCCAGAAAGGAGTAACGCTTCTAAAAATCACCTCATGGTTCAATGCCTTTTGGTTGTAAGATTTTTAACAGCATTGAGTTATGTAACAGGATCAACTCAAAGTGTATAGTTTCTATGCTGTATTCTGATTAGCCAGAACATAATTCTGCATGACTAGCTTTGTGAAAACGCACCACAGGGTCGGGAGCTCTAATTGAGGTATTATATTTTTCGCTCATTTGAGGAAAAATCGTGGCTCCAAAGTCACTGGCGGATTAGGGGGGGGGCCTGGGGGCCCGGGCCCCCCCCCCTTGGGTGGGCCCAGGAAAAAAAAATTGGGCCCAAAAAAATTTTGGGCCAAAAGAGGCCTTCAGGCCCCAAAAAGTGAGCCTTTTTGGTCATAACTGGGCCTTTTAGGCCTTAATTTTAATTTCAGGCCAAACTTTGAAGAAAATGGGCCTCAAAATTTGGGCCCACTTTTGGGTTTTAGGGGCCCAAAATTTTTTCCTCGCCAGCGCGGACGTTTTTTTTCTCTGACTTGAAATTTGGGCCCCCCCCTTGTTGATTCCCAGATCCGCCCCTGAAAGTTAAGATAAAGTTGAGTCATTTCCGCACTGCATTCAATGCAGTGGCAATCAATTACACTGACACTTTATGAGCATGTTCCAAGATCATAAACTCCAGCAACATGTTCAAAACCTGTTCTGATTGTGATGTCATGATTGGCACTTGACATTGGGTTCTCAAATTTCACATTTATAGAAAGATTTACAACAATGGTACATGGTTTGACTTGTAAGTGGTGTTTACTTCATTTAAAACATGTATAAACTGAATTTTGACCCCATGAGCATCGCACAGACACTTTAACAGATTAGGCTGAGTATGCAGTATTAAACATGCTACCCTTGCAAAAATGATCTACCCTCAACGAATGCTTTTGAATAGCTTTACCCTGATTTTTAAATATAAATGAGTTTCGTAAATGTGAGCGCAGACTTAAAATATCAAAATTATATGATAAGATGGTAAGAAATACAAAACATACTTGTGTGTGTCACAAAAGAAGAAGTCTATCTTTATATCAACTAATGCCCTCTTTGTATCAATGACATATCTATTTCATTTTCCCAAGTTGATGGTAAAAGGTCATAATGCCACCTTTATATGGTTTCATAATATTTTTGAGCCCAATATGATTATCAACAAAAATTCACATGCCCTTGATATTTTATTTGCAGTCAAACCTGTATTTTCAAAAACCTAACTAATCTGAACACGTCCTCTCAATGTGAACAATTCACTTGCAGTCCCGTTTTTAAATCTACCAGACTTCCATGTTAAAAAACCTTGAAATTCGAACACCTACCATGGGCGTAGCGCTATTTTTCTAAATAGTACGCCACCACCACAGGAACAAGAGTTGAGTGAATCTGGGGGTTCTCCCCCAGGAAAATTTTGAAATTTGGTTGTATTTGGAGCGAATTTGCAAACATCTAGTACGTCTGTGCGTACCCAGCGTACTGGGCGCTACGCCTATGCCTACCAATCCAAACACATTTGCCTGGTCCAAATGGCGTTCAAATTAGACAGGTGTTATATCCCCATGAAATCCTTACAAATGACTACAAAAGGATACAGTGTATAAGAGGTCTGGAGATATGCAGTCCCTCAGCCCACAGCCTGTGTTTATTCAGAGGTGTGGGGGATGTATCAAAGTTCAGCTGCTTTTTACTAGTCTCCTTGAGTGGTTCCTCGGGGAGTTGCCAGGATCTGTAGTTCAGGGGTGGAGCTGGATTAGAAGGAAAATATCAATATATTGATTCATATATGTTATGAGTTATACAGGGTGGGGCAAAAAAGGTAGGCAAACAAATGTTCATTCAGTCATTCAAACTGGGGTTTAAGTTCATATTTGGCACAATTTAATCTTGACAATTAATTTTGAGTGTGCATCAATCTTTAAAAAACTACTTATAATTTGACAGGAATTAATCAATGTACAATTACATTTTTCAGCAGGGGAGATTATCTTATCTGAAATATATTTACAATGCAAATGCAAGTAATAACATTTTGGACAGCATCAAAATTAAACAAGGTATTAACAGATCTTACGGATGCAGACCGCCAAACACCAACCACTGACCGCCAAACACAGTCCACAAAAAAGTTTGTGACTATAACATCAACATTTTTGGTGGTGACATAATACAAAAAGCTTTGAAATCTTGACTCTCGGTAACATTCATTACAAAAATGCTACTTTCGACTCGACACGAATATCAAATATGACAATAGCGAGAATTCATATATAGTTTATTTGCATCAACTTACTTGCACTTAGTGTTCTGACAACTTTCCCCGACCTCTTCAATGTGAATGTATCTGGAGCTTTCTTGTCTGGGTCTGCACTTGAGGCCAGAAATGGCTCCAGGCTCTGAAAGAGAACTTGTAATGTAATGATACTTTTCTGAACAAGAAAAAGAAATAACATGTGCAGGTATAGGAATTTTTTCCAAAATGTTATTTTCCAGCCGTACCTTAAGATTTTAAGGTTTTTGATCATTAACAGACATTTGTAATATACATGTACATGTTTAGGTTTTGTTAGATTTTAGTAACAAATAGTATTGGTTTTAAACTCAATCTGAATCAAAAAAGTTTCAATTTGAAAATAATGCTCCTCATTGACAGGAAAGTAATCACCCAGTTCCATATTAAAAGTCATTCTCATTTGTTTCATTTGGTTTGGCGTGACAATAAAATTTAATGAAACCCTGAACTTCTGAAGACTGAGAAATTGCTCTCACTTGAATTCTTTGACAAAATAGTCCAATAAAATGCTACAAAACATCCTTTCAAATAAAAAGGATTGTTTTAAAACCTCTCAAATAAACTGATCTTAGATAGTTAAGTATGATTTGGATGGTAAGTTTTTATATTAAATCGGTTTTAACTGAGGAAATTCAATGTAGAATCCATCAATTCCAGTCAAAATTATATTTTAAGAAGTTCTTAGAGAGTGACCAGATCAGCTTGACCTTGGAATTTTAACACAGGTCATCAATTTCACTCCCAAATATGGAAGTTGCAAAATAGAGCTGTCAATCAAATATTGACTGCATGGAAGTAACCTTGATTCTAGATCTGAAATGTACTGCTCTTCATATTTATCAATCCCAGAAATGAAATTTGATAACAATGTCCTTAATTTCATTTGTATGCATTTAAAAGTTAAATACACATGAGTGTGACCTACTTGTCATATTTGTAAATTATGGAACTCAAATTCTATTAGATTTAAGTTTCAAAAACATATACTGTAGATTGGGTTAATTTGGCGCCCGCTTTAATTTGGCGAATTTGGCGAAATTGAAAAATTCGCCAAAATTTAGAATGAATCTCCTGGAATTATCTAGGGTATTTCGTCCAGTGTATTTAGGTCACTTCCGGTTAAGTTTTTCCAAAAATATGAAAAAATGGCTCTCATAAATTGGCTTAGAACTGGTCAGTCACTCATTAATTCTCAGGGAAAAAAGTGATTGAGGTGCATCGATCGAGGTGCAAAATGTAAAGGATGATCTCACAAAAATGTACAAACATGGTGAATATCGCCGTTGGTCCTCAACTTTTGAGGACTTTTAAAAAATGAACATAGCCAAACATGCCCATTTACATGGTAATTCGCAAACAGCGCGTAAGTTTAACATTGTATTAACATTTTTTTACATATCCGCCAAATTAAATAGCCGCCAATATTGTTATATAAGCTTGTCGTTACGTTATGTTATGTTGTTATATAAAATCCAACATAAAATGTTAAATGATGTTCCAATATTTATTAATGTTCAGGATAAATCCTACGCTAGTTGTAAAAGTTACATGTTGATATTATCCTGTTTGTTAGCTCAAAAGCTAACGGTTTTAAGTATTAATTTAGAATTTCGATAGCAAGTTATGTATTTTTGAAGTTTAAATCTAAATGATGTTTGTGTTGCTTAAACCAAGAATGTCCGAAAAGTGATTCTATACTGGAAAGATGCTATCTTAACCAGATTCAAAAGAATGTTAAGACCGCCTCTTTTCCATATAAGGAATGCTAACGAAAGTAACACTCTTATAATTTGAACCATACAATATGCCCCCTTCTAGTAAAATCTGATTTCCACATCAGATAAAATGAATTTAACAAGGAGTACAGTAATAATGTAAAAAGTACAAAAAGGTAGTTAAAATAAATCTTAATTTACATTGTGTTTTACAATAATTTTAAAAACGAAAAATAACCATTTTACTAAATCACAACCATACAACATGTTTTCTTCAATTATTATTTCATTACGTTATGTTCATGTTATATAAGCTTGTCGTTACGTTATGTTATGTTGTTATATAAAATCCAACATAAAATGTTAAATGATGTTCCAATATTTATTAATGTTCAGGATAAATCCTACGCTAGTTGTAAAAGTTACATGTTGATATTATCCTGTTTGTTAGCTCAAAAGCTAACGGTTTTAAGTATTAATTTAGAATTTCGATAGCAAGTTATGTATTTTTGAAGTTTAAATCTAAATGATGTTTGTGTTGCTTAAACCAAGAATGTCCGAAAAGTGATTCTATACTGGAAAGATGCTATCTTAACCAGATTCAAAAGAATGTTAAGACCGCCTCTTTTCCATATAAGGAATGCTAACGAAAGTAACACTCTTATAATTTGAACCATACAATAATATGCCAAAAATGGCAAAATCGCCAAATTAAGTAGCGCCAAATTAACCCAATCTACAGTACTAGGAACAAAGAATTTCTGGAGGGCAAATCTGGAAAATTATTAAAAAACTATGATATTGTCATAGAGAAATTAAACCCATTAATCTGTGTTTTTTTGTAAGTACTTATATTACAATTTCAATATTATATTAACATTGATTGAAGAAGCTCCTTTGATGTCATAATGCATTTGTTGTTCATAGCTCAAATATTCGTTAATCCAAAGATTAAAAGTGTATAGAGGATATCCTATGATTTTTGTGGGATACCATTTTTATCCATGAGTGGATATCGCCCATCTCTACGAGTGAGCGCAGCGAATGAGTGGAGATCGGCGATAGCCGAGAAAATCATAGGATATCATATTTATCCTATGGTCGCTTTTTTTGTATAGACTTAAAATAATTAGACCTAAAAGTTGTTGTTTTCTAATTTTATTTTCTAATTTTTTCATTTTATTTTCTGTGAACTTATTCTTACAAAATGATTGCATTTATACTGAGCACATAACCTTAGAACTATATTGTCAAACAGACAAGTGGTTATCACAATTTTTTTCAAAATTTTTGTTTACAATTTTTTCAAAGAAAACTTCCAATTTTTTTTCATTTTAAAACTTTTTTATCCGTCGGATACGATTGGATATCGCATCATATGGATCGGATACGATTTTAGTGGCGCATACAAAAATCATCTTGTGTCGTTATCCCCATATATATTTAGTATCCATCGGATAAATAAAGTTATACTTTGCAAGTTATGCAGAAAGAAAACTTTATTTTTGTGTCATGAAATATTGAAGTAAAATTAGGACAAGAGATGAGAGTTAAACTGACACTGTTTGACTGATATCAAATAAGTATAATTTAGCGTCATGTGATAAAGGATAGTTTTTCAGGGGATGAGTTGTCTTGGGGATGAATCAATAAGCCAGGTAGATGAAAAAATAGTATTGACACTGCTTATCAACCCCCCTTCGTGAATTTTTCACTCTGAAACACCTGTGAAACATTATCATGTTAAAATTCTCAAATGATATATAACATGGGGACTAGGTCAACATAAAAATGGCAGTTATGTCTTCTCTTTCAGTGATGTGCTAAGAACTCTTACAATCTAACTGTCAGTCCTTTAAATATATTGCCAACATTAGACAGTGTTACTGATTAAAATAGAAGACACATCTAAAGGAATATTCTAACTTATTTTACTTTTGGCTTTTTGGTTTTATTAATAAAATCATTCACTTAACTACTTCACAATCAAGACTTATATGTATATTCTTTTTTGTAAAATATTACACACATATCATTAGGTATAAAAGTTTTGATTGCCTACACATACATTTGATTTTATTCATTAATTTTATTTATTAAAGTGCCATGGTACATATACGTCATCACATTAAAAACATAAAAAGTTAATTTGAAATACTCCAGGCCTACAACAACCTTTATGACAACAATATGCCACTCTTTAACTTTGATAATTTATACTAAAGTTAGTAACAATATACCACACTTAATAAGTATACAATAACCTTCGGTTTAGGTTGGCATGTATGTAAGTTTATAATATTTTTCAAAATATTTCCACATGCGTAACATTTTGCGTCCTGTCTCTGGGCCACTACCAAAATGTACAAACATATTTTTGTGTTCCTTATGTGCAAAAAGTTGCATCATCTTTTCTTCATTTGATACGACTATCCAATGAATACAAAGTTCTTCTTTACCCATAACAGGAATATTCAACATCTCAACCCAAGCTGCAATTTGGGCATCATCGGGGAACGTCAATGGCGTCATACAGCTTAATTTATAAAAGTTCGCAACAACATCTTGTGTTATCACAAAGAAAAACCCATAATGCATCGGTGGGTAAAACCATCCACTCCACTTGACATCACTCCTTATATGGTAGTATATATTACTCCTGCGTTCAATCACGGGATTCGGCATAGAACAGCCATAATAAAGTCCCTCTTTAGGGAGATCTTTCAATGTTGTAAACAGTTTATAAGGATTAAACATTACATCATCAGTAGCATGGAGGTGGTATTTCGCATGTGGACAAAACTCCATTGCCCATTTTAAACTCAAATGTGTCTTAATCGTAAGATTCTCATATGTATCCATGAAGTTTGCTTGTATTATATCCTTACGTCCTCTCATTTCTCCATTTATTTTAATTTGTATACTAGGATCATCAGTCAGGCCCATTAAAAAAACTAACACTATTTTTTTATCGACAAATTTTCCAGCTCCGCCTATTGTTTTGCGCACCGCATATCTCCTATGGGCATCTTTTGTCCCACTTAGCACCATAACGAGAGCATCAACCTCCCCGACACATATCTGTTTTGGATTCAGTATAAACTCTGCGCTCATTAATTTGGAATTGTTCCAAGAGAGGTCATAGTATTCCTTAGGTGTTCGGGTTTTATTCGTTCTGGGGTGGATTTTCAATAAATTTTTCTGTTTTATCACATCTTCACATGTGTCAAGCTTCTCTGTAACAGGATTAGTCTCTTGTCCTGTAAGGTGGCCATATTTTGTATCATGCCCCATATGGTCCAACTGAGAGCTCTTTGTTCGATTCATTTTCGTTTCTGTATTAGATTCACTATACACAAAATTCTCTAATATTCTTAAAGTTGCAAAAATCGCCACAATGAACAGAAATGCTTTCCATAGTTTTTTGTGCATTTTAAAATGAGCTGTTGCCTCTCTGTAACTCAGTATCAAAGAAAATATTTCAATTAATTTAATTGACGGCTTTAACAAGTTAGCCAGAGGGTTAATTTTTATACTCATCAACAATATTATCATTTTATTAGAGCTAAAATAATGCCCATAGGGAAATTTGAAATTAATAACACTCAAAACGGGACTTCAGTCTAATTCAGCTATCAATAATAAAGTAGGAATAACAGTACAAATTAAGTAAAAAATCTGAAAAACATTTTTTGCGAATTCAATATGGTGCAAGGAGGATTGGCTCCCAGGGTTCCAACTTGATATTATGCCATATATGGAGTTGTCATGATTAGAAAAATCAAATTCAAACAGCAGCCATTTTGTTCACTTAAGAATTTGAATTGCGAGTTTTGGTCTTATTTCCAAACAAAAAATTCCAAAACATTCAAGAAGTGATCGAATCTTTTGGACTGTTGATTATGAATTTATAGTCAATTATCATAGGCATGGCCAAAGGGGGGGGGGGTGCGATGGGTACGAACCCATGACCAACAAATATACAACCATTAAATAAAAGCAGAAAATAGCTTTATAATGCTTTTTATTTGAAGCTCCAAGATCAATTTCGAAGAAAGATTTGTATTTTTATAAAATTCAAAACAAATCTTTAAAAGATTTGGGCTCACTTATGCTACGATCTCCCCCCCCCCCCCCCCCGATCACTACTATTGCTTTTCAGTTGTTGTCTTCTCCAGTATTTACTTGCATGGATAACCTTATTTTCACAATTCTATTTACTGTACACAGGCCTGTCAACTTGGGAACACCTAACATGAGTGACTTGGAAATGTTGAACACCTCCCCTCAAAATGTGGACACCTTGGTCCAAATCTGAACACCTTGATCCAAATTTTGAACACCTTGGTTTAAATTTTAGGACATCTTGCCAAATTTTGAACCCCTCAAATTTTTCGCGCTCGCTACGCTCGCGTTTCAAACATCCGTCAAGGGGGGGGGGGGGTAGGTACGAAAATTTTCGAACGGAATGCGTGACATATACGTAATTCGCTTGAAAAGTCCGAACGAAATGCGTACATTTTTTTTCCGGCGTTCGTATTTTTGCTGTGTAGACCATCTTTTTTAGAAATTTTTCTACAGAAATATTTTTGCTTGACAATTACCAGGTAAAATGCGTATTTGCGTGACATTTTCTGTCACGCAAAAATAACTGGCGTGACTTCAAATTCTTCAGCAAATGCGTGACAAATACGCAAATTGCGGGACAGTTGACAGGCCTGTGTACATGTACTTTGATGTGCCTTTTTCCAATCTAGCATTCAAAAACATGATTATTATTATCGCAAGGGTTCTTATACTGTATAAGTGGTAATTTTGCCTAATCATTTAATTTGCCTATTGCCTACTTTTTGCCAGGTTCGGATTAAATGTTGGAAAAACCATCTTCATAATGTTATCCAATTGGAAGCGTTTTATCATTGGGAAAATTTTCTCAAATATCACTTATACGTTATGTTAACCTGACCTGCATGTTCCACTGTTTAGCATAAATACAAAGCAATAACATACATTTAGCAGTAAATAAATCATATGCTATAAATAAACTGGAATTCATAAAAAGAGAGATGCTAAAATATAAGGCTTATTATTACACCAGTATTCCTAGTGCGGCACAAGCATTATAAAGCTGTAGGAATATACAGGGCCTTAACATTGAACATGATGAAAATGGACTTGATGCTGTTTCTAACACTGCTACTCTTAGTGCCTTTAAGTACAGGGTTAAAGGTGCTGTTGATGCCAGTACCTGGAGTATACAGTCACCTTGTATACTTCACTGCAGTGGGAGAGGAGCTCCTTCAACAGGGACACAAGGTAACATACAGTCTGAAGCACTTTTTCAATGTCTCAATCAGATACACACTGCATTCATATTTTAGATGCAAAATATTTGTATATCATGAATTGCACGTGGTTTGGCTCATAAAATATGTGGCCTCTTGTATTTTGATGCTTCTCTGACATGTTTTTTTAAAATATCTTAGCTGAAATTCGCTAAATCATTACCCTTTGCATTCGTTTGACTTCACTTCTTAAAAGAGAGCTTCGTCTTCACTCTTTCAAACTAAAATAAACCTGTGAACTCACCGCGCCAATCAGTGTTCGTCGGCCAAATTTGACCGACGTTCTATATATGGTCATTCCTTCTGACGTCATCGTTGAGCCCGGAATTGACCAATGGCATGCGCATATTTAATTAGAACGCATTTGGCGGGTTTCTTCAAGCTCGCTGATTGGTAGAAGAAAGGTCAGCGCGTAGGTCAGAAGTGATTTACTACCCCAACTGTCACCGGTAACCATCGTGGGGGCGGGGCTACTAAACTGTAATATGGTTTCTACTAGGCAGAGTGTAGTTTAACTAGACTCTGCACGCAGGGTACTAAATCATGAGAGGCCACAAATTAACTGCACAATTTAATTTATATGAAATACAGTTTACAAACGTTTTGCAGCTAAATATGAATGCATTTTTCAATGAAATGGCTGTTCCCTTATTTTCTCTAGTGAGTTGTTCTTCACACTCTTCCCTGGACTCCTCCCATTGGTTTGTGTGTATATATTGCTGTATAAAGCTTCAAATATATTTTAATATTTTTTCTTGTGGATTGTCACTCACATCTATCCAATATACCAATACGTGATAACGTTTAGTTTTCGTTCAGTTTAGTTAACTCTCGTTTGAAGAGCTCTCATGCATGGTACAACTTCGTATACATCCGGGTTCTTTCCCATTGGATTACACAGATGTGCTATTTTCAATGCCGCACTGCGACTCAATTAAACATTTATGTAGAGTTGCATTTGCACAAATGATAGGTATGTATGTAATTAAGATATATTACAAGGCTTTTTAAACTGTAATCCCCAAATCCGAAGAAATCTGTTGTTGAAAATGTCGTCCAATTCCAGTGACGTCACTGATTTCCCAGAAATTGCTCAGACTTCATCCAAGATCGAAAAATATCAATAATGTTACTTTGAATCTCCGATTATCTTTCTGATTATTGAATAGATTGGATCATATTACTATGCTTAAGGGCTGATGGAAGATCAGAAGCTGAGAAACGTTCAGAGTATTCGACTCGTTCGGCGGGCCAATTAAAATTTGTCCCTTCCAAAGCAATGCATCATGGGAGATATCTACCTGAACTCTAATCGCGACTAGGAGTATTAGAATGTGTGTTAATGTTGCAGTCTTAAAACTTCAACTACACTTTAATCGTAACAAACTATTCAATATCAAAAAATATCAAATATCAAAGGAATGTAAACATATAAAAAATCTATTGACTTCTTCGTCATCTATTGGCAGACCTAGATGTAATAAGAACAAACAAAAAATAAATAATTTTATTTAAAAAGCTGAACAAATATATTGGAATTAAAAACCTGACTCTGTATTTATTTTGGCGGATTTGCTGTTTTGAACATTTGGCAGCTACTTAATTTGGCTGACTTGCAATGTTAAAATGTATATACAATATTTACGATTGAATTATGAAATATTGAATTTGGCGGCTACTTAATTTGGCAGACTTTAACAGTTTGGCGGATCTGCCAAATCAAAATGGCCACCAAATTAAGTAAAAGTACAATGTACAGTATTTTCTCTAACAATCATGTAACATTGCACAATGTTCATATTCACTTTTAAAAATCAAAATCCATGTTATTCAGCAAAAGTAGCATTTAATTAATTATGATGCAATTTTTTTTAATTTTTTTAAAAATTAAAATCAATGTAACATATTTACAGGTTGTAGTGGCTATGACCCCCAAGAGGGAATATTAGGTGCCACATAATGGTATTTACAATGAGTTGTGAAATATTATGAGAAGTGTACAATTTCTATTTAATTATGAGCCCTGTTCTCAATGAACTTATATTTGTTTATTCTAGGTTGGGATTATGGTGACACCAGACTTACAAGGCAAACTCCCTACCAGTTTCAAGAATGCAAATGTTCAAATTCATCTTATCAACACCAACAAATCTGAAGATGAAATATCAGGCCTGGTATTAAAAATGGCGAATGACCAATTTAAAAGAGCCAGTCTGTTTGATGTGATACCATCCATGAGGCGAATTGTCGATGTGATTAATGATGCTGTAATAGCTTTTCTAGATGATAAAAAGGCAATGAACTCCCTGAGGGCGGGCCACTATGATATAGCCATTGTGGATGGTTTTTTCATGTCAGGGTCTCCATTTATTATACCCTATGCATTGGATATTCCTTTCTGCTCTTTGAGCTCTATGTACCATGGAACCCTAATGGGTATTCCAGCACTACCTTCTTTTGTACCAAGTAAAGGTGCATTATACACAGACAAAATGACATTCTTACAACGTGTATCAAGCTTTTTTGGGACAATCATTTTTGATAGAATTATGTCAAAAGTGATTTTGGGGGAAGCTGGTGGTGATTCACTAGTGAGAAAATATGCCCCAAATAAACCGGTGATGAATATCTATCCTGAATTAAAGCAACAATCGCTGATATGGTTGATTCAACAAGACAGTTTGCTGGAATTTCAATGTCCGGTGATGGATAATGTTATCATGGTTGGTGGTTTATCGGTTTATCCACCACAAGCTTTATCCACAGAGTTGGAGGAGTTCATTTCCAAAGCAACACATGGTGTTATCATTGTGTCCTTTGGATCACTTTTAACTACACTGGATGCAACCATAACTGATAAACTAATTACTGCTTTTAAAGGCTTAAAACAAAGCGTGATATGGAAATTTACAGGGAATAAAGAAGATCTACCACCCCATATTAAGCTGTTGAAGTGGTTACCCCAGAATGATCTTTTAGCACGCCCCGAAGTGAAATTATTCATCACCCATTGTGGCAATAACGGACAATTTGAGGCTCTACACTATGGAGTGCCCATGCTAGGGTTGCCCACCACAGCTGACCAGCCCCATAACGCAGTCAGGATGCAACACAAAGGATATGGCATAGCAATGAACATGCTCGACTTTACAGCTGAAGATCTATCACGTAACATTAATGAAATCCTCACTAACAGCACATACAAAGAAAATATCCAGAAAGCATCAATGATTCTACGATCAAAAGGAAGTCCTAGAAAAAGAGCAGTGGAGGCTATTACCCATGTGGCAAAGTTCGGTGGGGATCACTTAAGACCTAGTTCTCTTGGGATGCCTTTCTGGAAACTCTGGATGCTTGATATCTATGTTTTTCTTACTATAGTTGTGATTATATTAATACTTTTGTTGAAGTTTCTGTTAAAATGTGCATTCAAAATGGCTGGTAGAATGTACCAATCAAAAATAAAAGTGGACTAAATATTTGAAGAAATCGATGATGCAGAAGAAATATTTTAACATAAAGAAACCTCTATTGCACAATATGACACATTTAAAACTAATACAAACCAGAACAACGGCAACGCCAAAGCATAGCGAATCCCATCGAACAGAAATGGCTGGCATTTTTACAAACGAAATATATAGCAAACATCATAAAACAAAACACCAGAAAGGCCACCATTTTCAAAATGGTTGCTCACTAGCCAAGTTGTCATCAGAAGAAATAATATGCTTTTAAGTAGCCACCTATAAAATCTTTGAAAAATCGCATACATGTACTTGTAAAATAACACACATAAAAATGGTGGCCATTTTTCAAAATGGCTGACTACTCCCTAAATTTTTATTAGACAATGTGCCATCATGCTTAAAGTATTCACATATCAAATATGAACAAAATCGCTCCACTACTTTTCGAGTTATAGTAAAAAATGCAAAAATGACAGCCACTTTTATAAAATGGCCACCTACGATCTGAAGTGTCATGAGACAGTGTGCAAGGCTCATGAGTATTCACATATCAAATATGAACAAAATCACTTCACTACTTTTCAAGTTATAGTAAAAAACGTAAAAATGGTGGCCATTTTTTAAAATGGCCACCTACTACCCAAAGTGTCATTAGACAGTGTGCCATGTTTATAGTATTCACATATGAAATATGAAACATACCAAATATGGACAAAATCGCTTCACTACTATTCGATTTATAGTAAAATACATTAAAATGGCGGCCATTTTTCAAAAAAAATTTCAAAATGGCCGCATTCTACCAAAAGTGTCATAGGACGGTGTGCCATGCTTATAGTATTCACATACTAAATATGAACAAAATCGCTCCACTACTTTTCGAGTTATAGTAAAATACGTTAAAATGGCGGCCATTTTTCAAAATGGCCGCCTTCTACCAAAAGTGTCTCTAGACAGTGTGCAATGCTTATAGTATTTACATACCAAATATGAACAAAATCGCTCCACTACTTTTCGAATTATAGCAAAAATCGTAAAATAATGAGTAAAGGCCGCCATTTTTCAAGATGGCTGCCATGTGCTTCTTTAATGTCTACATTTTTAGTTTTATTAGCCCTTCATAATTTTTTTACATTTAAAACATATTGCTATTACAGTTTTACATATTGCACCTAAATTACTGTAAAATCGGCACTAAAATGGCCGCCATTTTGAATTGAGCGGCCATTTTGAAAATCGGCTTTCGAGCAGAACTTTTACCCCCATAGGGTATATGTGTACAAAATATGAACAAAATCGGGCCAACGGTATTTGAGTTATTGCCCGGACGGACGGACGGAGGCGTTCCCTATATCCCTCCGAACTTCGTTCGATGGGATAATTAAGAGAACAAAACTTTATTGTATATAGGAGGGGTGACATTCTATGCTGCACATACTGGGAGAATTTCATTAGAATTCAGTAAAACCTGTCTGAGTGAACAGTGAACACCCCTCTTTAGTGAACACCCTTCCTTCACACATACTTTACTGACTTCTGTATGAATAACCCTCTCTGTAGTGAGCATCGTTTTTCTTGGCAAAAATGTTCAATATACACAGGTTTTACTGTATATTCAAAAATAAAGAAATCAGAGAGATATTATGAGAACTTGTTGTATGTACTTAAGTTCAGTTCTCATAATTGTCCTAGTTATTGCTTAATTGTCCAAAGACACATTGCCATTTTTTTAATACCAGGCTGATCGATGTTTTGGGAGGATATCTCTATCTAACATTTCTAAGCCATTAATCTCTCTATATGCTGTAATGTATAGGGAGGCATAGATACTTACCAAGTCAGTTTGTTGTGCTTTTTCATCCAGTTCCTTCTTGCGATTTAGCAGAGGTACAGCTGGACTGGCTTGTATTCCAGACTTGTGTTTAAGGAGGAGAAGTAATCTCAATGCAGACCTACAAATAGAAAGGGTCCATGCACTCGTGTTACTATGGTAACCATAAAACCGGCCAATCAAATGCTAGTAACTCCATACTTCATATTTATATTTATAAATGTACAAGGAACATTCTGACCAAGTTTCATGACATTTGAAGCATAAATGACAAAATGCCAGGGTCATTGACGTTACTTCTTGGACACCCTGTATATAGAAATAGCAGTGATCTCCCCAGCATTAAAGCAAGTGGGCGCAGAACCCACCTGAGATTTGGAAAATATGCTGCGAATCACCCGAAAATCCATTTGTACCCACTTGAAAATGAGAAAAATCATAAAAATGGCATATTTTGACCAATTTTGGTCTAAATTGTAAAATGATAATTTTGCACACACCTGAGAAAAAAAACTGGGGAGATCATTTGATAGGTTCATTATCTTTATAAAACATTGTATTAATAGACACTTGATAGACACAGACACTTTTTACAACCCCTTATTGCCAAATATGGAAATGACGCACTGCCTTTTATTTTTTGTGATGGACAATTATAGAACAAATGCCCGACCGTAAATATTTTCCCAACCTTGTATTGTTCACCTATTTATATGTATGTATATGTGTTGATGACCAATATGATGATCAAACATGGTCGCAATAAAGAAATATATATACTAATACATATCTGGTATAAGCTTGATTATCTATTTAATCAAATTTGGGGTAGGCGCAAAAGTTCATTGTGTATTGTCATCTCATATCTCTTTTTAAAAGAATTAGAAGACATGAAAAAATTAAAACAGAATTGGAAGGGATAGAGATTGTGAAATGTTGGGGGCAATCTTCACAAAAATCATACCAATGTTTTTCTAGTAATTTTATATGCTAAAAGAATTAATTGAGATGTTCAAAATCATTAGAACTGAAAAAGGTTACATCGATCTCCACTTTATTTTTTTCACAAGGTTACTTAAAAATCAAAGGTTTATCCCGAAATGAATTCAAAACCATTTGACTATTTCATAAAAGATAAATAATAGTCATGACATAGAATGTTGAGAGCAAAAATATTGTAATTTAATATCCTAGATGCGAGTAGAAATAATCTTGATTTACCTCATTATAAATTCAAAATTCAGTCAAACTGATGTCATATTTGGAATCTACATGTAAAATAACGTCTAGAAATATGGTTTTGAAAAGAGTTTATCAACTCTGAAAATTTAATTTTCTTTGAAAATGTGACTTTTAGGTCAGGGAGATTCCCCATAGCCCCCATGTTGTAAAATCACAAAAATGGAAATATCTTTTCTTGTGTTGGGCAGATAATATTTTCCTTTACTGGACATATTTTAATTTGTATAACTATCAGATACATAAGGGTAATATGAAAAGTAATACCCTGTCATGTTATTTCCCCCGAATCAGCCACCTGGTGGCGAAACTGGTTACTACCTACTCGCATCTGAGTAATTGACACAATGTTTAGAACTTATTCTCAACTTGTCTCTATCCCCTTGAGTCTCTTTAAATAGTACTGCAATGAGAACAAAATCTCAACCACCAGCTTATTCATAATTTCAAATTCATTTTGAAATTTACTAATAAATATCGAACACCCAAACACTCCACTTTTAGCTTATAAAATGACTTTAAGATTCACAACCTTCATTCATGTCTGAGTACATGATCTGGTAGATTTAGATGTTGAATTTAGCCAACTGAAAGAGCTTTGAAAATACTGATCTATGGATTTCACTTCATAGGATTTCACTTATAACTGTAATAAGTGTTACATGAACTATTTTATTTTAATAAATAAATTAAAAAAACATAAGCCTTTTGTTTTCAACTTATAGATCAAAATCTTGAAAGACAGCAGGAAAGCGTGACAAAATTTAACAACTAAACCTCTCATTGTGAAAGCTATAATTTAAAGATCTAATAGCAAAGGTTTTGCAAAAAAGAATCAATGTAGTATAAAACAAATGTATATGTATAATGAAGAAATAAATATATAATGAAAAAATAGATATGTGTTTGTAATATTGGTATTAACTTAGGATTAAAAAGTGTCACTATCTCTTTCATTTTTCAACAAATATAGGCTCACGTGACATGTGACGCGGGGTAGGCAATTTTGACCTATCGTAGACCATATCAGTATCAAATTGCCGATATTTCAACCTTGTCTTGCGAGGCCATTTTGATTTGAAACATCTAGAATTTGGTGTCAAAATAAAGCTGGTCAAGCCCACTTTCAGAGTTATCAATGAATCATTTACTACGACTACTATATTCATTAAGGAGGCGTGTAAAGTTAACCAATCAGAAAGACAATTGTTCCATATATGGCAGTTCATTAACATATTCAGTGTTTACTGCTGCTTTTCGCGTCATGACAACACAAGTAGTAACCAATCAAGATGCCGTATTTTATCATGCGAGTTCAGAGTGACATGCAGTACACGACATGTACATAGTCTGAGCTGATTGCGATGTTGAGCAATTTTTTCTCGGAATTTGTCCTGAGAAATCAGAGATTCTAAATTAAGGTAGGATCTGCCATTTCTTCCTGCACAAGTTATAACTTACCTCTATCGATTCTCTAAGTTTTGGATGAAGATATGAAGCATACGTTTAAAAACGAAGCGATTAATTTGACCGTGATTTGACGATCTGATTTTGCAATTTGCAATGGCCAATTTACTGCAAGTCTTATACGTGTATTTGACAAGAGATAGCACCAAGTCTTGTATTTAAATGCTTATTAAGCCACTCAAAAACAAGTTCCATATTTTCTAAATTTGATATCTTTGCAGAAAACCAGTTTTCATTACCTGTTTTCCGCGTCTAAATTCAAACTGAGTAGGATAATAGGATCGCTGGGATCCTCAGTCAATGGCAACGGGTCTTTCCAGAACTTACATTTTTAGTTGATTCTCCGTCATGATAGTACTTGTCTCAAGTCCCCATATCTGCTCTCTTACTGGCATACTAACTTGGACACATTTCCCCTCCTTAAATTATCCTCAGTCAAATTACACCCGCTCACCGATTTATATTGCCATATCCCAGAACCCGGGAATCAGAATCGCTGATGATTGCCATATTGAACATTTGAAATATGTACTGTTATCAATCTGTAATGCTAGGCATTGCCTGCTACGCGTAATGGTCACGTGACTAGCGCGATATAGGAAAAATGAAGTTTTTCGAAACTACAATTTTTGGGCACTTTTATTGCAAATTTCAGGTATTTATAAGTGTTTGTGGTATAAACTATAATCCACAGACATAAATGAACATCCAAACTACATATTTTATTAAGTTTTGGAGCCTTTTTAGCTCTTAAATTAACATCTTTAAAAAACTTACTTTGCTATGTGGATACAGACAATCATCAGCCATTTTCCGCTGTTGCCCCTCAGCTTGCGAGTGGCCAGTTCTAGAAATACTTCACTGTACTCAATAATGGCCAGGCACATCTCAATGCGTTTTTGAGGTAGCGGCTGTAAAATAATTGTTCTATAAAATATTACAAAACCACACATACACCCTCAGTCATTTTATTAATAGAACATTACATCCAAATAAGCAACAGATATTCAACCAATAACATTTTTTCTGTAATGCGTTTCCGTTAATTTCATTCATTAAAAGTTGATTTTTTGAAAATCCAAGTGAAAATTAAATCGACACTTTTAAATCTCAATATATGGTAGTGGTGGTGGTGGTGGTGGGGGGGGGGTAATCCACAAAGTTTAACATTTTGTCTTCATCCCTTACATTGTACTTACCACATTTTCCTTCAGTCTAGCAGTCTGTCTCAGAATTGAGTGATTGAGTAGGACCAGTAGATTGGATGCAGAATATAACAGTTCAGACAGCACAGAATCTTCCGACCTCGCTATATAAACAGAATAAGGATAAATTATATACATCACTGATGCAATATCACATCCAACATCCAAAACTTTAAAACTTTGCTGATTTTTCTTTCATCACATTTAAGGTGACTGTTAACTTAATCGATTTTCAGAAAAAATTGAAAATTTCACAATCTTGAAATTTTCAAACTCTTCCTGAGAAGTCGTTTTTATTATTTCACATATGCTTGTGCACTGTAATCATTACAAAGACATCAAAGAACAACAAAAAACTTTAGTTTGAGAAAAAAGTGCCGTTTAAAGAATTTGAGAAGATTTTTTTCTAGGAGTAGCCCGTGAAAAACCGCTGATTCAAAATATCTGAACATTTCAGAAAATATACTTCAAACATATATCAAAAACGAAGGAGCAACGGAAATTTGAAAAATTACCCGATAAAAAAATTGGGATCAAAATAAGGAAAAAAGTACACTTCTCAAATTGTTTTTTTCTATTTTTTTAATTTGTATGAGAGATTTCAAAATTCTAAAGCTCCTTCCATTTTGGGCTATATTAAAGGGATGTTTCAGAGAAATTAGAAAAAAAAATGTTCAGGGACCTTTGGCGTGCTACTCTTTTTGTCAATTTTTCTGTCACATTTTCAGAGGACTCAAATTCCCATTCCAAAATGTTTACTGTTTCTTTTGCATTACCACAGTGAGCCTGGTTATATAAATGATAAGTGGAACTAAAAAATTGAGAGAAAATCCAACCAAAAGACAGTTAATTTTGATGGTCAGATTATACTCAAATGCCATGTGCTTCCTGGTTTCGGCCATCTTGGATTTTTTGATTAAGTTATAAGTTACCTTAAGGTACAGCTGGAAAGTAACATTTTGGTAAAAAATTGCTATACCAGCACATGTTATTTTCTGCATGGGCTTCATGTTTTCTGGTACAAAATAAAGTATGAAGACATGTGTCAATTGCCTTGCTTTTTTCAGGAAAGTATCATTACACTGTCTTCTTTAAGAATATCTAGTAGGAGTTTAATGGGAACTCCAGGAAATTCTGATATTTCACAATTTCTTTTTTTCCAAATTTTCTTTCTAAGTTTCCAGACAACACAGGAGCTACCATTGACCTGTTTCCAGGTTTACTAAAAGTAGACAGTGTAATGATACTTTCCTGAAAAAAGCAAGGAAATACACACATGGCTTCATACTTAATTTTGTACCAGAAAATAACATGTGCAGGTAAAGCAATTTTTTACCAAAATGTTACTTTCCAGCTGAACCTTAATGAATGAATTTGTTGCAGACTGCATAGAAGCAGAATAAATCAATTTGGATTTGTATACAGGCTATATGGATGAACATTTCAAATAACAACAAGATTTTCTGAACTAACTGCTCGGAGTAAATAAAAATCGTAATAAAAATGTATCTCTTGTTTTGTATGTCTCTGATTTTACACAATTATGGCAAAATAGCGTATCATAGAAGCCAACAGAGGTGTATTTTGGAACAGAATCACAAGTTTTTATAGAGACTAAATAGTGGTTTACCTTTCAGCGGACAGATATGAAAACTCATGAAGTAATGAGGCATGATGATTTGGACGACAAATGGAATATTTTTTCGATTCAATTTTTTTTCCTGACTGTAACTGCCTTGTCATGTTTGGCTGATTTCATAATGTAACCACATGAGGGTCCCATTCATGAGGTAACCCCAGGGCTTTTACTATTTCAACTTTTTCAATATTTTTTTTCAACTTTTCAGATAATTTTTCAACAATAATTGAATTTTTTCAATTACTGAACAATTTTCCCGCATCAAATTCAACCCAAAGTACCTGATATAGCATAGGAAAGTATCCGCACAGTTGATTCGAACTGACTGGTCGTTTCATGGCTGCTGCAGACCCATGTTTTGTACTTTTCAAAGATTTTTGAAACTTTGACCTCCATCTTTAATTTCCGAACTGTTTGTGTTACCTCGAATTTGATTGGTTAAGACGCCTGTCAGTGACCAATCATATGACACTTAATATAATAGTTCGGATGGATTTGTGTTTCAATAAAAATTGAAAGAACTCAAATTATTAAATCAAAAAAGGCTGAATGAGAAGATTAAATGTGATTTTACACGTTTGATCGTATTGCCTATATAGGTAAGTGTAAAATGATTTAGAAGATACATATTTTAGTAAAATTATTCCAAAGAAAAAGGTAAAAAACATAAATTGAAGTTGTCACAAAAATCTTTTTCTGTTTTTTGTTGTTGAATGCATTCACGGACCTCTGCCAGAATACCTCCTCTGTGTCTAGGCTCAATAAATATACTCAAGGACAAGACACACGATCTTTGGAAAATTTATTTATCTTTGATTTTGGAGTCAGTTTTTCAATAAATATCACATGTCATACCTCAAACGATGCGTACTGTTGTTTAGCTTCAACTCCAATCACTAAAGCCACAAATCCAAGAAAGCGTCTGTTGATAAAAGCATGAAATAAGCGAGCGTATATTTAATGGAGCACTTTGGCTATCTCCGTTGTTCAAATGATTATTCCCGAAGTCAAATTCCTTTTCTGAGAATGTGACGTCACTCCGGATGACGTCACATCAGAGATTACCGGGAAGTCCCATGACGTTTCTTTAAACTCCAGTAGAAACAATAACAACGGTTTGTTAGGCTACGCGATTCTTTACTTTCATTGGCTGTTTGTTGCGATGTGACGTCATTTGAGAGAAGAACAACATCGGACACTGCTGGAAATTACCGAAGCGCTCCATTATCTTTACGCTCTGAAAATTTGAAATAAATGTCCCGGGAAAAGTCCAATTACAGCATCAATAATGGATATCATGCAACCATTCAAGCTAATACATAAAGAAGAGATTACAGGGTAAATATTGATCAATCAATGTCTGACAGATGGAAAAAATAAAGCAATATGCCATTTTTCAAATATTTTAGCTTGTGATAAGACATACAACCACTAGGGTGTCATTATCGCTGATATGTATATTTGTTTTTATAATTTTAATAAACAAATTTAAAAAAATATATATATATATAAAAGCACCAAAAACATAAGGAATAAACTTATTTTAATATCCAAATTGTACAGGGTGTCCCGAAAGTATGGGCCCCCTATAGGCAGACATATACCAATGTCGTCATAGCATGTGCCCTATATCATTTTAAAGCTTATCCAAAGTTACATTGATTCGCTTTATTCACTTTATTTTGGCCAAACACTAAATTTAAAATGGCTTTAATTTTTTCCCATTTGAGAGTTGAACCATGACACAAATAAATGTAACTTTGGATGAACTTTAGAATAAATAATAGTCGTGAATTTACTGAAGTGAGAATTTCCAAGAGGCCATACATCAGTAGATTAGAGTATAAAATTGTAAAATTATACACAAATTTTAGGGGTATGTTTCTAGACAACATTGGAATATGGGCTTTCTGTTTCAAACCACCATGGTTTGGAAATGGTGATAGAAAATCGACCACTCATTTATTCATTGACAAAACTGTGATCCAAATGCAATTTTTAGACCTGCCAAAGTATTCTCAATAGACTATAATTCTACATATTCCTATAATGTTTTCCAAAATATGTAGTTTAATCTTCCCAAAGCTCATATTGTTGATACTCATGTTAAAAAAATCCTTTCACATTAAAATGTTTGTTGGTGTTTTTTTATATTGTTTTGTAGTTCTGTTAATGTTTCATCCTCTTGCCATTTCATTTTAAATGTAGCTCACATTGGCGATATGGCGTGTCCTGCAACCTTCATTTTTATCAACACTCTTTCGAAATCCAAATTACAAATGATATCGTCATCATTTATGATGATGGGAGTTTCTACAGTGTTAGGAATTCACCAGACTGGGCTGTTCCAGGCTCCATTCCTCAGGTTTTTATCTCAAAATATTCTCTTTTTCAGTGGCCACATAGCAGTCAATGCTGATGTTAAAGCATTGGAGTTCTTACTTCATGCAGCCTTTTGAGCATTTCTTTGGATGACCTCTTTTCTCTCTTGGAGTTGACCATATATTCAGAATAATACAACTGGAATAATATAACATACAGGGTGTCCCGAAAGTATGGGGCCCCCCCTAGGCAGACATATTCCAGTGTCCTCATAGTATGTGTCATATATCATTTTAAAGCTTATCCAAAGTTACATTGATTTGCCAAGTATCATGGTTTAACTCCCAAATGGTAAAAAGTTACAGTCATTTTAAAAGTTAGTGTTTTGTCAAAATAAAGTTCAATTTTACACCACATTACTAGTCAATGAGTCCCCCCTTGGCTATGTTAACACCCGCAATTATTATCAGATATGACCTTAAAAGCCCTTCAAATAGCGGTGTGGAATTTTATAACCTTCTTAAAACCTGTTAAGGCACTTTAGAAGAGTTTCCTTAGAGTTTCTACCCTCACCATTCTCTTTTTCCAACTCAATATCCATCCGACCGGATAAAGATTGCTGCTGTTTTAGATGGCCCAGGAGGACACATTGACGAGTGATTTGGTGTAAAATTGAACTTAATTTTGACCAAACACTAAATTTTAAAATGCCTGTAATTTTTTCACATTTGAGAGTTGAACCATGATACTTGGTGAATCAATGTAACTTTGGATAAGCTTTAAAATGATATATGACACATACGATGACGACACTGGTATATGTCTGCCTAGGGGGGGCCCCATACTTTCGGGACACCCTGTAGATATAAAAGTTTTGTAACATGACATCATAGATCTTTTCAAGTATAATCATTTGGCTGTGTATATTTTCAATACATTGTTTTAAATTAGAGTTTGAAGGAATGTCAAGTCAATGATTGATTTTACATTTTGCCCAACTTCTATGTGATTTTATAATTTAGTTATTTCAAACATAACTAACTTAATCTTACACTTTTATATATCTTAAATATAAATTGCAATATTTTATAAATGTATTCCTAAATGTATTAGTCAATATAAATTAAATACAATACAATAATACAATATAATGCAAAACATAATACAATACAATACAAAAATACAATACAATAGAATACAATATAATCACTCTGTTTTGTTATATTTTACAGGAACTGCAAGCCAGACTATATAAAACAATGTGACCTGGTAGCTCTCTATATAATACAGCAATGAGCTAGGGCAATGTGACCAGACACCTTTGTTTAATAGATCTTCAGAAAATATCAACTGTCACCAGTGTCCTTTAGTCAGTAATACTGACTTTGTGTGGTAAGTATAAATAAAATACATAAGGGTTATGTACTGGGAGGTTTTGGATACAGGGTTTATCCCAAGGGATAAATCCTGTATTCAAAACCGACCGTACATAACAGATGTATTTCATACCTACTGAGGTTTTAGGTACCTTATAAAGTTCGAAAATCCCGCCCCGCTCCTCGGTGATAGATCCCTAGATACAGTATATATTCCCGCTCGTTATTTACCTAGAACCTTAGTAGGTATGGAATACATTTCTTTATATAAATGCCATGTTTGCCATTAAACACAGCTATAGAATTAACGATATTTCATTTTCATCACAATGAGAAATAGGCAAGTAGTCATGCAGATTCCATGCCTTTCTCTGAATTTTTTTCATAATTTGAATGTTTTTCTGGTTTTTCAATATCATTTAGAGTTATCTTTATTCCCTTGTGATTTCACCCCTTTTATCTTTATTGTATGTATCATTATATTTGATAACATAAATCCCATGGCATTTTCGATGTAATTAAAATTTTATACCAGACTGTCTCCTCCCATTTCTATAAATACATGCGTATGATGTTGTTCCTGACATTATGTAACATAATGCAGTAGGTTTCATATGATGTATCATCCATAGAATTTCTCTAATTTGTTAGAGATTCGAACATGGCTGTATTCACGCCTTCTTTAAACTCTGAACAAAGTCAACATTTCACACGGGGTATATTTGTGAACAAACCCCCGGTAATATGAGTAATGTGTGACGTCATAACGGCGGGCTGTAGTAATGGCGGACCATAAATGAATATTCAAAACATTTTTGTGAGTTTTCATGTTCGAATCGTAATATAGACCTCAGAGCAGGTGTAATATCGTTGAAAACAACCCTTAGGTATAGGCACAAAATCCTTCGGTCGTTCGGGGTACAGAAAACATTTGTGCCTAGCCCTGCGGGGTTTATTCGACAATATTACCCCTGCTCTTCAGTCTATATTTCTTAATTCAAAACACCAATTAATGTAGAAATTAATGAATGAAATGAGCCAATTATTGCCTTTTAAAATTGAAGAAATGTGAGAATAGTAAAAATTCAATTTGGATCTTGTGCTCCATACTGAATGAGCAGTTTTTTTCAAGTGTCCACATTTTCATTTTTTTATATGAAAGTTTGTACCAAAGTCTGTTAGAATGGGAAAGTTTCAAGCATTATATTTAAACATTTTGATTTACTTAGTCATTTAGAATACACTGGTCTTTTCAACAATCAACATTGGAATTAATTATCTTTACAATTGTAATTACCTTATATGGCTGTTTGAATGATATATCTAAGTCCATCTGTTTTGAAATATTCAGCAATCAATTCTTTGAGTTAAATGCCAGTTTTAATTATTTTAGTCATTCAGACGCCAAAATGTCTTATTACATTAGAATCCTGTCACCTAATTATTGAAGTGATGATTGCATAAAAAACAAGTCGTTTTATTCACTTTATGTTACAGAATAGCGTGAATTTGAGATATATTGACTTTTATGGTACCTTTTATTCATCAGCCTTTGTTATCTTTCGTTAGAACGGAACTAGTGTTATGTAATAGCCTGAATAATGATGGAATATATAATGTAACTTAGCTCTCATAAATACGAAGTACTGCTTGTTGCATTTTGTAACATTACATTAACATCGTACATAACAGCATTAGCTTTATTGATAAGCAAAAAGGATTAATGTAAACAATAATTCATACTGAGGTAAGAAAAATGATGTTATTCAGTAAAAGCAGCATCTAAGTTTTATTTGTTAATCCTGATCAAATACAATAAATAAAGCTTTGGATTGGCTTATGTAACATACTTGTGCTGTATTATGCAATTATATTCAACATTCTCAGAGTTATTGATAGAATTTTAGGAATCAGTTAATTGTATCTTGGTGCAAAAATTACAATATATTGTACCTTGGCACAAATCCTGCAAGAGTCTGGTTTTCAATTAAGTTTATACAGTATATAAAATTGATATATCTAATCTGTATTATGTTGACATGAGAAAAATATTTTAGATATCTGGGTGTTGTATCGTCTTGTTACCAAACTTTAAATTGCCTCTGATTTTATTATAATTTCAATAATGTTTACATTTTTTGATAATTTTGACAATGTTCAGAATATTTTACCAATGTCCTTTTCCCATTTACTTATAGTACAGGAACAATTAATTGATTTAATTTAACTTGTAATAAGCAGTTGGTGTTCAGTGGTCCTTGTTTATCATCTGTAACAAATGGCAGGTGGTAACATTTGGCATGTTAATGCCTTGTTGATTGGTTTTGCAGTTTTATCATGTTTCTCAAAACATATACTGAAGATATTGCAAGATGTGTCTATGTCTTCTTATTATTAAATTAATATCATATATTATTAGAAATATCAGGAAAAGTAAAAGATTATCACTTGACTATCATATATCATTAGATATACCAGGAAAGGTAATAGATTATCTCAACTCAGAGGACACTTTAGCAATTTACCATTCATAAGTGGCCATATTGAGAAATCAATACACAAATTTAGATAATGAATTAAGTTACCAGGCTCTGATGTATGTTTATCAGGAATCAATAACTACAAAGTGCTGCAATGAGACCCTAATATAGGAGCAGAACCTCAGGGGGCACATTCCATTGCTACATTTTGGCTCTGTAATAAATTAAATTGCTTTAATACCAAAGAAAATGTCAGATCGTTCTCGTTTATTCCGAATAGAATCTGAGTGTTACCTGGTGTCTAGATCTGGAAATAATCTCAACGAAGAAATTTCATTATTTTAACGATGGAAATTGAAGCCGAGTATTAAGAGAGGAACTTCCAGTTCAGGAAAATATTCTGTAAAAAAAAGTTTTTGATGGCAGGTCTATTTTTGATTGAAGTCTTCTAATAAGTAGAGATGCAGATTGTCTAAGTTCATATCCAAATACTGATGCTACATACTGTACCTAAAAGGTTGCGATATTTCACAACATATTTTGTTACATTTATTATTACATTTTGTTGCTAATTGATTTTTTTAATTTCAGGTGTGAAGGGCTGGCTGGCAGTATGATCAGACTAAAGAGGAAATATATATTTTTCTTTTTTGTTCTCTGCTCTATATCAGTTGTTACTATGCTCTATTTAGCATTAGGGGCAGAAGGTAAGACTTAGTGTTGTTCTATTGGGTCTCTCTACTTATGCAAGGGTTTCACTAGCATTTCTCAAAACAGGCTAAATTAATGAAAACAACAACAGGCAAAATTAATGGAAATCATGAATTTAACATGGAAAAGTTGAAAAGTCCCTAAAAACAACAGGCGATTTTGTGAATGGGTGCAAAAGTTTGACATTTCTCATTTACAAGTCACTGGGTGCAAATGGGTTTTCAGGTGCTGTATGTTTCATAAGTTTGTTGTTATGATCTTCTGTAGTTGTTGGGTCACACAGTGAGCCTATGAGATCGGCCAGGCGTCCGTCCGTCCGTTCATCCGTCCGTCCGTCAACATTGGCCGCACAAATTAAAACTGCTATTCAGCATACAGTAAACATCTATAGACATATTCTAGAAGTCTTCAAATTTTAGGCAATATTGGTTGCCATTGCAACAACTTATATTATTTGTTTTAATATAGCAACAGCTTTAGAAAGAATTGAGAAGTAGTCAAAGATAGATGTGTAAACTTGAAACTCATACTCTAATACTGTGTATCCTGTCTGACTGTTTACATATTACTTATCTTTGTAAATTTCTGAAAGTTTTTATAAATTTATGGTCACCGACAATGACAACCATGATATCTCTTCACTCATCTGTTTCTAGTTCCCCAGTCTATATCTGCTGACAATAATGTGATGGGATTTAATGATAGAGAGGCTAAGCTTGCGCAAAGAGTAAGGGAGGTAGAAGAGCAGAACCAAAGGTTGAGGAGACAGCTAAGGTAAAAATATCCCTTATCAGTCTGCCATCAAAAAGGCTTTGCTTACTTCCTTAATAAGATGAGGAGGAACTCCCCCAGAGCTCATAGATAGACCTTTATATGGAGATAAGGCCATACATGAATTCCGGGTGTTTCCCTCTCTTCTTTTCCCTAGTGTTTTCCTGATGAATATATACTTAAAAAAAACATATATTTGAGTCAACCCAAGTGACACAAGTATCTCACCATATACTTCCCCATACTATAATAATCATACCAGGAAATTTTAAAAATGAAATTATAAAAGATAATTCTCCTTATAATGACTCAAAATAATAAAAAAAAATATTTTCTGGGAAATTAAATCTCATAAGAATATTTGATCTTCAGACCAAAACCATTGATCCTACTTCATATAATAAAATACCATGGGCCAGTGCTTATGTAGCACCCCAATTAAAGCAACATTGACAAATTCCTCCAATGAATTTTTTCCAGTTTATCTCAGAACCAGCTGCAGTTTGTACAGGAAAGTGCCATGGCAGCAAACAATGAGGCCCCTCCCAACAATAACAACATATCCAGTGACTGCGACACTGGACACGAAGTGCCAAAATGTGAAGTATGTAACAGTTTTATATCATTAAAATAGAAGGGGCAACATTAGTGATAAAGGTCACAAAGAAAAAGTAGTATTTATTGAACAGTTTATAAGAATGGTAATACCATTTATATGGGAAATAATTTGAGTAAATCCACCATATTTATATCTTGGAAATATATATCCATAGAGTGCATCATACTTCTAATTGAATGAAATAATCACTTATTGAAAATTGACATATCTAGGTGATACACATAGCTATAGTTTGCTCAGGCTTCAATTCAACCAGAGATGTAGTGACACTAATCAAAAGTGTAGTGTTCTACAGAAGGAACCCCATAATGTATTATACATTAACATTTTAGGTGATACATATAGCTATAGTTTGCTCAGGCTTCAATTCAACCAGAGATGTAGTGACACTAATCAAAAGTGTAGTGTTCTACAGAAGAAACCCAATAATGTATTATACATTAACATTTTAGGTGATACATATAGCTATAGTTTGCTCAGGCTTCAATTCATTTAGAGATGTCGTGACACTTATCAAAAGTGTAGTGTTCTACAGAAGAAACCCCATAATGTATTATACATTAACATTTTAGGTGATACATATAGCTATAGTTTGCTCAGGCTTCAATTCAACCAGAGATGTAGTGACACTAATCAAGAGTGTAGTGTTCTACAGAAGAAACCCCATAATGTATTATACATTAACATTTTAGGTGATACACATAGCTATAGTTTGCTCAGGCTTCAATTCAACCAGAGATGTAGTGACACTAATCAAGAGTGTAGTGTTCTACAGAAGAAACCCCATAATGTATTATACATTAACATTTTAGGTGATACATATAGCTATAGTTTGCTCAGGCTTCAATTCAACCAGAGATGTAGTGACACTAATCAAAAGTGTAGTGTTCTACAGAAGAAACCCCATAATGTATTATACATTAACATTTTAGGTGATACACATAGCTATAGTTTGCTCAGGCTTCAATTCAACCAGAGATGTAGTGACACTAATCAAGAGTGTAGTGTTCTACAGAAGAAACCCCATACATATCCACTTCATTACTGAACCAACTGCTCAGAGGATCCTTGAAACCATCTTTGTCACTTGGAAACTGCCATCAGGTTAGTTTTTATGTCACCACCTGTGACATATTGTTAAAGTCTCCAACCTTTTTGTGGAAGGTGTTCAGCGGTTGGTGTTCAGTGATCAGTTTCTGTAACATATGGCAGGTGGTGATATTTTACATGTTTATGCCTTTTTTATTTTGTTAAGAAGGGGTGACAGATTGTTATTGCCACTATTATTGTGATCAGTGTTGCCTAACAGATTGTGTCATTTTTGTAAATTTACTCACGGGGTTTCAAGTGAAAGCCAACGATTTAATCAGATGGTGGCATTTTGATATGTAATGCTTATTTATTTATTTTTTTTTATCTTCAAGCTCATATATTTCAAAATCTTTTTTTACGATGAATGTTCAAAGAATTAACAATTAATAAAATAATACCCCAGAGGATTGGAATTAGCAACACATGTCTTTTCCCATGAACAAAGTTAATATGTAATGTTTATGCATTGCTCCATTTTGATGTAAACATTTTTCCAAAACATGTCTCATTTACTAAAATAAAAAATACTTAATTGTACATAATACAATGACAATGTTGTCATAGTGCTTTTTGATTTATTTGTAGTTGAAGTGAGTTTTTATCAGGCTGATTCATTAAAGGTATGTATCTTTATCTGTATTTTATTCTATTGTACAATAATTTGTGTCATTAAATTTTCAGATCTGTTGGTAAGACTTGAGATACAGATCAGTTTTATTATTTTAAGTGATTATTTTTTCCCATCACCAACCTGTTGGATATCGGCATCATAAGGCAGTGTGATTTAGATTTTGAAATATCCTCAAAGTATATTTGTTATATTCAAATCAAAGGTATTAAAAATGTGAAATCTTTTTTATTTGTGTCTTATGAGCCCAACATGGCAGATCTTATTTAGGGAATCAATTTAGATATTCAGTCAAAATTCTTTGTTTTTTAGGAGGAAGTTTCTTGGATTCCCAATAAACATTACTCTGGTGTCTATGGTCTAATGAAACTAACACTGCCCAGAACATTGCCTGATACACTTAACAAGGTGAGTGCATATTATATGTTATATGGTCTATTATGCCTATAATCATCATTACTATGGTCTATTATGCCTATAATCATCATTACTATGGTGTATTATGCCTCTAATCATCATTACACCATCATGATACTCAAATGGTAATTCAATAAACAAAACATCATCTTAGAATTTCAGTAAGCTGTTCATAAAAACATAATGGGTGATGGCAGATTTGATCTCTTGTGCTGAACTTTCCTATAACCATGTTATTACTACTCTTTATTAACTTTTTCCATTTTTTGGGGTCCATTCTTGTCATTTACACAATTGGTTCCAGGCTCATATTTTTACCTTGGTTTTTCAACTGAATTTTTACCCTACTGTTCTGTCTGCCTGTCCTTACATTTTGCAATAAGCTTTTGTTATCAACTGATTTTATTGCCATTAATTAGTAAAGACCATACACGAGGGACCTAGTCGCCGGTGGCATTATACTGTAGTGTCCCTCAGTAAATGGTTTCAAATGATTTCAAAATACCATAGAAGAGTAAATGTGTTGTTACGTTTCAGGTTATAGTACTAGATACAGATATAACATTTGCCACCGATATAGCTGAACTGTGGAAAATGATCCAGAAATTGAACAGTAAACAGGTGAGTAAACAAGTGAAATGTTTTAACAATAAACTGGTGAGAATTTGAAAAGAAAACTTGAAAATTACAACTTGTACTTGTATAATTATGGTACAGACTTGCCTACCTCTCTATCCATTCAGACAGTGAAACCTCTTTATCTAAACACCTCTCTGAACTGAACATCACTCAATGTGAACCCTTTTTCTTAGTCTCAATTTTGTTTTCCCCAAATAATTGAAATATGAATAATGTTAATATGAACTAATCCCAAGGCATTCAGATTAGACAAGCTTAAGTGTGTCTTGTATTTTATCTTACTGCAGGCCATTGGACTAGTAGAGAACCAGAGTGACTGGTACCTTGGCAAGATCTGGAAAAACCACAAACCCTGGCCTGCCTTGGTAAGTACAAATAGTAGAAATGAATGCTTTTAAGTCATCACCAAGAAGTGCTACATCAGGCCCGTAGCCAGGGGGGGTCTTCAATGGGTTCTTTCAAAATCATGCAGTTTTCACCATTCTGAGCACTTTTTAAGTGATTTTGGCCATTTTTGGACCAAAATTGTCAAAAGTGAACCCCCCTGGAATTTTTCAAAAAGTGAACCCCCTTGGCAAATCCTGGCTACGAGCCTGTACATTGTTTGCCACTAAATGTGTCACTTTAATTTACTGATCTACCTATTTATCATTCATAGAATTTATGACATTAACATGAGCTTCTTTAACAATAAAAACATAGACAAAGTCTTGGAATTTATATCTACTTCTTCTGGGGCCCAACTATAACAAATTGTAGTGAAGCCTCAGAGAACTGTTTTTAAGAGAGCTGTTTTGATTGGAGAGAAAACATATTCTCAACCATGGTGATTATGAAAGATTTTCTGGTGAAAGTGATACCGTTATGTCAGCCTCAATATTATGAGCTTTGAAGTCTTGCATCAAGTCTCTGGGACTTCCCTGAACTGCTTCCCCTCCCTCATGTTGTTATGAGGTTTGTGTGTGTGGGGGGGGGGGTCTCAAAGGCTTCATGCAGGACTATCACTTTTCAGTTACTGGGAATGTTGTTTCCCTCAAAATGAGACAAACAAACCAATCTGAGGTACATACAGTGTGTAGTAGCATGTATGTATGTAGCATTGCTTCAATATGAAAGTATTCTCTATGGTTACTTATATATATATTTTTTTTTATTTTATAGTATAAACTTTATTGAAGTAAAGTCAATACATTTTCGGCCACCAATCGCCATATTGGCATTATAGGTTGGCCATCACTTACATGTAAAAAATTAAGTACAGTCTTTAGCTGTTTGAGGACGACTGTGCATCGAAGGGTATCCCAGGGACCAAAGGGTTTGTGCCAAGTAGATGTGTAAAAAACAAGATAAATATATTATGAGTTCTCCAGGGCTTAGATGAGACCTCTTTGCTATGTCTTGTTGTCATGGAGAAAATTGCTGACGATGATAAGAAGTTTACTTAGTTCTGCTAAGGATAATGTCTCGTCACCATATAAGAGAAAATTAAGTTTATCATCCATGTTTGTTAGTTGGCTGATCTTATAAAAATTATTGCTGACCTCTTCCATCAGGGCATGCCTATTAATTCGGCATAGAGGACACTTGAAAAATAAATGTTTTAGTGTTTCAGGTTTGCCGCAAGAACAATGAGCCGAGTCTATAAAAGTAAATTGGTGTGCAAAAAGTCTTACTTATATTACACCAAGGCTGTGGAAATTTGGAAACCCGAGAGAGGGTTTTCCATATTGGATAATGTATAGAACAAGGAAATCTAGAAACCTTTGAAAGGGTCAAATGTACTTACTTTGACATCATTTAATGTTTCAGGGGCGAGGATTCAACACAGGAGTCATCCTCCTAGACTTGAAGAAACTGCGTCACATGACGCCAAGTTGGAGTCACACATGGCGACTTGTGGCAGAGAAAGAACTAATGACTATGTTATCTACTGGTTTAGCGGATCAGGTAAATATAAAAGTGCTTTCAAAACTTTTGATTTTTTGCAAGATTACATGTAGCAATACAGGGTTATATTGGGAAACTTTTGTAAATATGGCAACCACTTTAATTAAATTATAGCATTTGCCCTCACTCAGAAGAAAATCAGTAGTTCTAGTTATTTTATCAGTAATTTAGACAGTAACAGTATTAAATGGGAAAACAAAAAAGATTGTAATAATTTTGAATGATTATCAAAATTGTATCTCCCAAAGTTTCTCAGTTTCAATGATTCAGACTTGTTCCAACGTTTTTGCACTTCATCCAATGATTTGTGTTTCAGGATATATTTAATGCAGTATTAAAAAGTAACCCCCACCTGGTGTACAAACTACCCTGTCAATGGAATGTGCAGCTGTCTGAACACACTAGGAGTGAGACATGCTATAGCGAAGTGCAAGATCTAAAGGTATGTAAAACAGAACTATTGGTCAAGAAACAATAAAATATCGAGAAAAATATTCTGAATTGTGTTTCGGGAAATTAGCTCAAGAAAACACAGAATTAAATTCTGCGCTAAAGGCTGATTTGAAAAGTGAAAAAGTCAGGATGCAACAGGTAGGATCAAACCCATGACCTTTTGCTTATTTTTCAATGTCATCACCAAAATCGCCACTTAATAAATTCTTTGGGTACTCTTTGAGGACAAATCGTGACTTCAAAGTAGTCCCAGTTGAATCATTGCTATTACCACCACAATTGCTGACATATTGTTATAGTCTCCAACCTTTTTGTGGATGGTGTTCTGCATTTGCATTTGGCATTCAGGGTTGGCATCTGTAACAAATGGCAGGTGGTTACATTTTGCAGGTTAATGCCTTGTATAAGCTTACTGGCATGCAGATTAGATATATAAGCGTGCGGACAGTTTGAACTCAGGTAGCACATACATTTAAGCCCATTACTTCTCTCTTTGGATTATTTACTTAATAAATAAAATAATATAATATAACTAATATAATAAATAAATAATAATAAATATGACAGACTTCTATGGAATGTATTCTGCTTCATTATTCGTATTTTACTATATGTAAATAGAACTTCTGTATTTGTTAAATGCACATTTATGTTTTCGTAACTTGAGTATTTTCATTCATTGTGTGTATTTTAACTCTTTAACTCACATTTATATTATATATATTTGTATTTATTTGTAATTTATGCATTTTATTTGTAAATGTTACATTAATATTTGTATAATGGAATTTATTACAAACGAATAATTAAGCAATAATGACGCTATAGACTTCTAACTAAAGTGTAATGATTGTTCAATTGCAAACATAATGTACAAGTTAATTTGTTATCAATTGAATCAGCCAAGCTGATTATTTCTTTTTACACTTAATTGAATGAGAGATAACATAAAGGTTATCTGGTTAGAAGACAATTTTTGTTTCAGTTAAACTATGAGCAAGATTCAGCTCTGTAATGGGCATTTTACTTGGTATGATTATATGCAGTCAATACTTCATTAGATGCAAAGTTGCTCTTACAAAAACTTGTAATTATGTCACCACCAAAAAGTGGTGACATATTGTTATGGTCTCCGTTTTTTTGTGACGGCGGTTGGTGATTGGCGTCCGGCGTCCGGCGTCTGGCATCCGGCGTCTGGCGTCCGGCGTCTGTAACAATTTCTTACAACTTCCTATAACTTAACAAATACTGTTTAGACTGACTTCAATTTTTTTCTAAATCATCTACATCTTCTCAGAAGTTCAAATCTGACTTTAGATTTGACATTTGACCTTCAATGACCTTCTCAAGGTCAAAAAGGTCTTTTTTCAACTTGCTTCACATTGACTAAATTTTTTTTCAAAATCATCTACATGTTCTCAGAAATTCAAATCTGACTTTAGATTTGACATTTGACCTTCAAATCTGACTTTAGATTTGACATTTGACCTTCAATGACCTTCTCAAGGTCAAAAAGGTCTTTTTTCAACTTGCTTCACATTGACTAAATTTTTTTTCAAAATCATCTACATGTTCTCAGAAATTCAAATCTGACTTTAGATTTGACATTTGACCTTCAAATCTGACTTTAGATTTGACATTTGACCTTCAATGACCTTCTCAAGGTCAAAAAGGTCAAAAAGGTCTGTTTTCAACTTGCTTCAAATTGACTAAATTTTTTTTTCAAAATCATCTACGTGTTCTCAGAAATTTAAATCTGACTTAAGATTTGACATTTAACCTTCAATGACCTTCTCAAGGTCAAAAAGGTCTTTTTTCAACTTGCTTCACATTGACTAAATTTTTTTTCAAAATCATCTACATGTTCTCAGAAATTCAAATCTGACTTTAGATTTGACATTTGACCTTCAAATCTGACTTTAGATTTGACATTTGACCTTCAATGACCTTCTTGAGGTCAAAAAAGGTCAAAAAGGTCTGTTTTCAACTTGCTTCAAATTGACTAAATTTTTTTTTCAAAATCATCTACGTGTTCTCAGAAATTCAAATCTGACTTAAGATTTGACATTTGACCTTCAATTACCTTCTCAAGGTCAAAAAAGGTCAAAAAGGTCTGTTTTCAACTTGCTTCAAATTGACTAAAAAATTTTTTCAAAATCATCTACGTGTTCTCAGAAATTCAAATCTGACTTTAGATTTGACCTAAGATTTGACATTTGACCTTCAATGACCTTCTCAAAGTCAAAAAAGGTCAAAAAGGTCTTTTTTCAACTTGCTTCAAATTGACTAAATTTTTTTTTCAAAATCATCTACATGTTCTCAGAAATTCAAATCTGACTTTAGATTTAACATTTGACCTTCAATGACCTTCTCAATGTCAAAAAAGGTCAAAAAGGTATTTTTCTATCTTGCTTCAAATTGACTAATTTTTTTTTTCAAAATCATCTACGTGTTCTCAGAAATTCAAATCTGACTTTAGATTTGACTTAAGATTTGACATTTGACCTTCAATGACCTTCTCAAAGTCAAAAAAGGTCAAAAAGGTCTTTTTTCAACTTGCTTCAAATTGACTAAATTTTTTTTTCAAAATCATCTACATGTTCGCAGAAATTCAAATCTGACTTTAGATTTGACATTTGACCTTCAATGATCTTCTCAATGTCAAAAAAGGTCAAAAAGGTAATTTTTCATCTTGCTTCAAATTGACTAAATTTTTTTTCAAAATCATCTACATGTTCTCAGAAATTTAAATATGACTTTAGATTTGACTTTAGATTTGACATTTGACCTTCTCAAGGTAAAAAAAGGTCAAAAAGGTCTTTTTTCAACTTGCTTCAAATTGACTAATTTTTTTTTTCAAAATCATCTACATGTTCTCAGAAATTCAAATCTGACTTTGGATTTGACATTTGACCTTTAATGACCTTCTCAAGGTCAAAAAAGGTCAAATAGTCTGTTTTCAACTTGCTTCAAATTGACCAAATATTTTTTTCAAAATCATCTTCCATCTTTTCAGAGGTTCAAATTTGACTTTACAAGTTCTCAGAAGTTCAAATCTGACTTTAGATTTGACCTTTGACCTTCAATGACCTTCTCAAGGTCAAAAAGGTCTTTTTTCAACTTGCTTCAAATTGACTAATTTTTTTTTCAAAATCATCTACATGTTCTCAGAAGTTCTTCTTAAGGTCAAAAGGTATTTTCCAACTTGCTTTAAATTGACCAAATTGTTTTAGGTGGTGACATTTTGTCATGTTAATGCCTTGTTTTAAATATTACACCACCCAGATGCATGACAGCCCTTACAATAAATTTAATCGAGTGAACCTATTTTTTGAAAACCTGTCCCTGAAAGGATTACTAGACTATTGAATTTCCTTTTACTATTTCTCAAAAGTGCAGTTATGCATCTCACTGTCAAGATAATTGATTTTATTATAGCATTGTCATATTCCTCACTCTCTGATTGGTCCATGTTCTACATGTGACTAAAAAACAATAAGCGTTATTCAATGGAAGTCACATGACTTTGTTATATTAAATACCGAGAATGGTCCTTTCATAATGTAATGTTGGTTGTGTTGTGGTCGTGTCCTAGTTGGTAAACCGACAGGTTTCTCACTAGATAATTGGAATCCTTCTTTTACTTTTTTCACAATTGTCCATTTATTGTCCACCTCCAAAAAGTGTTGACATATTGTTATGGTCTCCATTTTTTGTGACGGCAGTTGACGATCAGAGGTTGGCGGTTGGCTGTGGTGACATTTTACATGTTAATGCTATTTTAATATTTTGTTGAACTTGGCCTTTTAAAAGACATTTGAAACGTACAATAGATGGCTCTCATTTCTAAGTCATTTGTGTTTGTTGACATCAATGCAACAACAATCATTTTTCTGTTCACCAACAATCACCAAATATTTATTAAAGATGCTTTAAATAATCAAGAAAGCTAAAAGCAACAACCAGTGAATATGGTTTTTCGATACGTATTTAACTCATCAGACCGTGTCCATATTTGTTAGATTTTGCCTCAGCATCTGCCTTTAAAAAGCCATTCTCAAAGTAGATTGGAGAATATGGAGCCGCTTCTATAATATCTGCCTCCTCTTTGAAATCACACTCATTATTTTCTAAGATAAATGTTCCTTTGAGTAAAAAGGCATCCTTAGGTACAATTCCCGTCCAGTTTCCTACAAAGATGATTGTTGCATAATAACGCAGATGCGAGTAGGATGGCTCATTCGGGTCAGATAGCATGGCGGGTAAAGTAGAAAGTTCCCTTTAACTTAAATTACATCTATTTGCGTGGTTCAATTTTCATGTAACCCTTATGTATCTAATAGTTATGCAAATTAAAATATGTCCAGTAAAAGAAAATGTGATTTGTCTAATACAAGACAAGAGAATTCACTTTTTGTGATCTTGTAACATGGGGACTATGGGGAATCAACCCGAACAAGAAGTCACATTTTCAAAAAAAATTAAATTTCTAGATGTACTTTTACATGTAGATTTCAAATATGACATCAGTTTGACTGAATTTTGAATATATAATGACGTAAATCAAGATAAAGTTGCGTATCTGTAAGGTTGCTTGTATCAACACCAAATTGTTCTTTTATAAACGCTTGGAATTCTTTACCTGTAGTGAAATTAGTGTGTTTTAATAATAATTTTAGTTCATATGGTTAAAATTTTAATAAGACATTGTTATCCCAAAGAACAAATCACCAGTTGTTACCCCCCTATCACACCAAACTAGTTCTTACCCATTCTTGCCAGTCCTACGAAAATGACGTAAAACGGGCTCGATCTGGCTGCGGTCGGGATATATGTCTAAAATAATTAGCTACTTCGTTCATAAACAGTCTTCAATACGTCCATCATGTTCGCACTTCGTTCAGGTCGCACCACGTCGGTGTGCAACGTAGTATAAACCGTCCCTTAGTCTAGAAGGTCATCATGACCTTATTACAGAACGGTATGGTCGCCATCGAATTTTGAATCGATTCAAAATCCTAAATCACATACCCCGTCCGGGAAAGTCCATGAAGTTCGTAAACAGACCGTAGAATGTTGTAGCTACGTTCATTCAGTTCGCACACAGTTTAAAACCGATTCGGCAACGTTTTGATGATCACCAGAAAATGTTGAGCATGCTCTAAGTGCTGGAGGACCTACTCGTTCTAGTAGTTTCATGAAGTTTGTAAACAGATCCCAAACGGTTCTTAGTGGGTTCGTAGTACGTCAAATCCGTTCGTGCACAGTTTAAGCCCGTTTTTGAGAACGTAGTGAGAACTAGTTTGGTGTGATAGTAGGGTAAGATATGTTCCAAGGTCTTATGTGTATAGAATTTCTGATGTGGCCACTCAATTCAAAATAGCAGCCCTTTGATAAATTTGAATACTGGTAATTGGACAAAAAATGATTATCTTGTTATTCTTAATAGATTGATTATGCCCCCCAGACTTGGCACAAGCTGGCCTAAGTTAGGGTTAGAAGTCAATGTTGTAGATAATTCCAAAATAGACAATATTGCTATTTTTGGCTATTTCTTTAGAACATTATTGGCTTGTGTCTATTTTCTAAAAATCCCCAAAGGGCATGCTTTATTTCAGTCAAACTAAATAATTAAAATAGATGTTTATTATTAAGAAGAATTTAAACACTCCCCCCCCATTTTTGCTCTATGAATTCTCAATAGATTCACCAATTTATTGTATATGTTGCTTGCAATTTTGTCACCTTCTATAGATATGATCCTGCCTTTAATGTTCAAAATGATGAGTGATTGGATAAAATATGTTTTTTTGATTATTTCTTGGTAAATATTAAAATCTTTGTTAGAATATAAATGGTTTTCATTATAGTTTCAAAATAGATTAAATTGATAAATAAAAAAAACAAGTTACCTTTTTTAATTATATCTAATGTTGAAGAAACACCTGCTAAATTCCACATACTACGAAAGATTTCTGGAGTTGGGAAAGATTCTGGATCTGGAGGTGTACCGTCTGCTAAGAATGCAATTGTTGCCCCGCTAGTATATTCCTCTTTTGTTGGCTTTGGGCATAATTGACATTCCAGTGAGTAAACTCCCAATTTAGATATGGTTATGAGCATAAAAATGCCATAGAATTGGTAGCTCAATTTCATATTCGTGCTTGTTTATTTTTGAAATTGAGTTTGTAACTCTGAACTCTCGAGTTGTGTTTTTTTTAAGGTTAAGTTTTATTTCTTTGCATAATTTTATATAACAATATTTAACATACTAGGAAGGCCGAGGTAAAATTACATTGTTGGCCTCCCTATTAAATAAAAGTAGCAAAATAAAGTTGATATAAATGGTTTCAGACATGTATTGTAAATGTATTGTTTATAAGAGTCTCAGTGGCCACAGTTGAGATGATGATAACAATAGTGATGATGATGGTGATGAAATGTTGAGGCTAATGCTAAATGATAGAATCAACAAAATTTGCCGTAAGGTTCATAATATCAGCATTACATTTATCTGAGAACTTATGATCTCCAAAAAGTATGGTGTGGACTTTATCTACACTATTTAGACTGGCAAATTCTCTAAAGTTAAAATTTTGCAGCTCTTGTAGTTTTTGGGTAAAGATTGACCTTGTTCCAGTTGATAGAGGGCAGTAAAGTAATAAATGGGACTTGGTTTGCTGGGCATGTCCACAAGGGCAACTTGGGTCTGGATAGTTGTTGAAATTATGCCTAAAAAAGTCTGATTTAAGTGCTAGGTCTGCTCTTAAACGGTTTAGTTTAATTTCAATAGATCGATTTAAGTTCAATTTTGTTGTCAACACAGACCTAGGGTTTGGGTTATATTTGGTTTTCTTATACCTTGACTTGAAGGCTGATATTGAGGGGCTGCGTTTAACTTCAGGTGAAATCATTTTCCATATTCTTATTGGTGCTATGGCAGGAGAGTTTGTAAATTTCATTGAAGATTTTGCTGGAATATTATATTCGTGCTGGGCACGAAGTACACGCTCTGTACCTGGATTTTTAAGTTCATTGTATATAGATTGTACGTAACTAGGAGTCTTGTTTTTGGATACCTTATACATTAGAGTTGCCATTTTTTCTTCTCTTCTCTGACTTAGTGTCTTCCAGTTAAGTGAATTTAAGACTTTGATTTCAGAGGAGCCCTTAATGGCCCCAGAGACTAACAAGGCAGCTCTGTAGTGTAACCTATCCAAGGTATTTAGGGCATAATGTGGTGAACAATTATAAAAGATTGATCCGAATTCTAATTTTGGCAAAATGAACGATAAGTACATTCTTTCAAGGTGTTTGGATGAAATTTTATTTTTCAATGCTGTAAGTGGATTTAGCATTTTATCAATTTTGACTTTTAGCTGGGCTATATGTTCTTTGAAGTCAAGGTGGTTATCTAAGATAACTCCAAGATGTTTATGATAATTTACTCTTTCAATTATTCTGTTGCTCAAGGTCAAAATAGGAAAGTTTCTTACATTTTGAATAGATTTGGAAAAAATTATCTCTTTGGTTTTCGTGGGCTTAAAGTTAAGCCCCCAAACCCTTGACCAGTCATAGACATTGTCTAGATCATGTTGTAATAATGTATTTGATGTTAAAACATTTTCAAACTTGTGAACGGGGACATATATAGAAGTATCGTCAGCATAAATATAACATTTTGATTGGATGACCTCTGGGAGATCATTTATAAATAGCAGAAATAGGATGGGGCCTAGAATAGAGCCTTGAGGCACACCAGAGTTTATAAAGTTTTCTTCAGAAAATTCGGATAAAGATCCATTAAGGCGTGTGCATACTCTTCTATTGTCTAGGTAGGATTTCATAAGTTTCAACAGGTTATCATTGAAGCCATAAGATTTTAGCTTGTGGATAAGTAAATTATGTCTGACTTTATCAAACGCAGACTCCAGGTCCAAAAAGACTCCCCGTACATCCGCTTTGTCTTCAAATGCATTCATTATAAAATTAGTAATACTTAGTAGCTGACTGTCAGTGCTGTGGCCAGGCAGGAAACCTGATTGATTTTCATATAATAACTTATTATCTAAAAGGAACTTCATCATCTGTTGATGCACTACTTTTTCGAATAATTTGGATATATTACTAAGTAATGTGACAGGTCTGTAATTTGTAATATCAGATTTATCACCTTTATTCTTATAGATTGGAATTATTATTCCATCTTTCCATGATCTTATATGTTTTCAGTTAGAATTGTGTCTCGAGTTGTGTCTTGATGTGCAATAAGTTTATTTGATTTGAGGCAATAATTACATATAAGACAATAGAATAAACAATGAATATACAGTACGATTAATGGCCTATTATGAAAATTGTTATGAAGTAATAAATCTAATCAAGCAAGACAAAAACTGTCATTGAATGGTTAAATACTGTAGCACTTATTGTTATTTACATAATAGAATATAATTTCAAAATTATTTGCTCATAGTTGATCTACAGGGTGTTTCATATGTATGCCCCCCCCCCTATAAACTCATACATGTAGTATTGCTACCCTATCGTGTTATATATCATTTTGTTTGTCCTGGAAATTTACATAGGATTGCAAAGTTTCAGAATCCAGTGGTTTCCCTGAAAAAAGATACAACAAATTTCTGGTCATTTCGAGGGCAATTTAAAGGAAAAATTTGGTTTCTGTATTGCACATTTCTAGCAATTGTCATCACGGCATAGTTCAGTCCACATATTTGTGACAGTCATGCACAAAGATATATAGATAAGATTCATGCAGTGTCTTATAGGGAGACTATGGACCCTGGTGCCACCTCTATCACTAAAAATTGGTATGAAGAGACAAAATGAACAGATCACGGGAATGAGTCCAAAAATCACCAGAATGTGCCCTCCAGATGACCCCGTACCTACAAACTTTGATACATTATATCTTTTTTCAGGGACACCCCTGGATTCTGAAACTTTGCATCCGTAAACAACAAAATTATTATATAACATGATAGGGTGACAACACTACATGTATGAATTTATGGGGATGCATACATATGAAACACCCTGTATTGTAAGATTGTACTTCAGTGATTCATTTGTCTTGGTTGACATAATAGAAGCACTAATTAAAATAGATATGAAAATCCTTTAGATAATTAGAAATGCAAAATGTAAGTTTTTATGTCACCACCAGTTGTAGTGACATATTGTTATAATCTCTAACTTTTTTCTGGGCTGTGCTCGGTGTTCAGCATCTGTAAGACAGATCTCACAGCTTTCAATAACTGAAAAATTGCTCTTTAGACTGACTTCAAATTTTTGAAGAGATATAACCATGTTATCAATTCTAACACATATATGCCAATATCTAATACCATGGCAACAAATAAATGGACTTTTAGGAAGTTTTAGTTACCATGGCAATGAATATATGTTACCAAAGAAACATATTTTCTTTTGACTGGGTGCCCTGCATTTAGTTCTGTAACTATAGTAACCATATTGTAACCATTTGCAATAACTAACATGGATGATTGGAAATTGCCTTTGTGTTTCATTTGTTATTTATATGGCAATATTTTGTTGTCAATGCCTTGTATGGACATGATATTATCAAAGCAAGAAAAAACAGATAATGTACTGATATTGTAACAAATAATAAATTGTACTTAATATATATACACTTAAACATGCATAGGATAAGCAACTTTACCAAAAGTAAAAATAGAAGAGTGGAATTTGATTGAAATGAAATATGACCATCATGATATTGGGGGTAATCGGGCAATATCGGTGGATATAGCCACTAACTTTCCCATTGACTTCCATACAAATGCTTTGCTCAGTATGTAATATATTGATCTTGTTTAGCAGTGTAAGATGAATGTCTATACTTATTTCAACTCATTTCACTTAACATTCGTTTGTTTATTAGGTGATACACTGGAACTCTTTATACAAACAAAAAGTCAAGAATAAACACATTGAGTTTTTCCGCACACTGTACCTGACATTCTTGGAATATGATGGCAATTTATTAAGACGTGAATTATTTGGATGTGATGGAGAGAACAAGGAGGACAGTGAAGAGGTAAGATTGAGAAACCTTTAAAATGGTACATTGCATCATCCTTCTTCAGAGGACCCATTTAGGTTTAAAGGATTGGTAGTACCCTTTGCATTCGTTTGACTTCACTTCTTAAAAGAAAGCTTCGTCTTCACTCTTTCAAACTAAAATAAACCTGTGAACTCACCGCGCCAATCAGTGTTCGTCGGCCAAATTTGACCGACGTTCTATATATGGTCATTCCTTCTGACGTCATCGTTGAGCCCGGAATTGACCAATGACATGCGCATATTTAATTATAGAACGCATTTGGCGTATGTTTCTTCAAGCTCGCTGATTGGTGGAAGAAAGGTCAGCGCATAGGTCAAAAGTGATTTATTACCCAAACTGTCACCGGTACCCGTCATGGGGGCGGGGCTACTAAACTGTAATATGGTCTCTACTAGGCAGAGTGTAGTTTAACTAGACTCTGCACGCAGGGTAGATTGGTAGCGTTATGGTGAATGAATTCAACATTGATTTTCTCTTAAAGTGTCTCACATATTCGATCAAAATTTGCCATGCAAACATGTTAGTCTACTTTACTGGCCCCCCTTGCTGTAACAAGGAACCCAAAACACATTAAAACGTGAACATAAACCAATTAGTCACTTCACTATGAAAGTGGGGGTGTTAGCAAATGTATATTAGGCCATAAGAAGTAGATTCTTTGTTTTGCGTCCTGGCAAAATCCAAATCATGCAAGGGTACAAGGAAAACAAACACAAACTCAAGAAAAAAACACAAACTTGTTTGCTGAGAAATATATACATTTTAGGGGCATAAAAAAGGATGACATCCCAATTTGCAGTGATTACAAACACATATCTATACATTTTATACAATATATAAAAATATAGCTATTATTCAAGGGTAAAAAATAAGAAAAAACACAATGTATGTCAAATAATTATAACACTGTCAATTTTGACGCACATCAAATTATCCGCCATTTCATCTGATTCTGAAATGCGATGGTACTTTCAGACTCTTGTGATTGCTATTTGGATGTGTTTTTTTCTGATTTACTCAAAATCGTGCAAGCAAGGGGACGCAAAACAGAGGATCTACTTCTTATGGCCTTAGCAGAATACGCTGTGTGCATGGACTAACACAATATCAGTGGTCATTTACTGTGTCAACTTAGTAACCCTTGCATATCGTGCTCACTCAAGTATTGAATAATTTTTTATGATCTAAATGTTTGTGGTTTATAAAAAAAGTGATATATTTTAGTTAGAAATACATTAATTAATATATTCATTCAAACAGCACTAGAATGCGGGAAGAAAGAGCAATGGTGACAAAATGTAGACAGAATTTTCCGTAAGGGTTTCAAACATTTCTGGACACAATCATACATGTATATAGTGTACTGTTATTTTTAGTGCTGTATTTATAGATATAATTTCACGTATTAAAATCATATTTTCCAGCAATGACTTCAAATTCAGAACCACACCCATATCACATTTTCTTCAATAACTCCAAACATGTGTAAACATTGACCATGTGCATATAAATTCAGATTTCACGAGCTCTTTCATATTCGAGTACCTCATACACCCCTGCATGGATTTGAGTTGGATTCGCCTTTTATACGTGAGCCGACACACATGAAACGCTGATTGGATAAAGATTGCGAGAATCTTTAAGCCAATTATTGAAAACATTCTGTAAAAAACATGATCCTTTATGTAATGGTCATTTTCATTTCATTCCGAACATATGGTACCAAGAACAAAACAAAAGAAGTGTCTGATGTGTTTTCTAAAACTATATATAGAAAAGTAGATAAATTTTTCTCATATCAAATTCTTACCATTCAAAAGTTGACAATTAAATTGACAATCTTTTCAGAATTTTTTGAAGACTGGTTTAAGAGAAACATGTGTCCAATTTAGTTCACCATATCGATACCAAGTCTTTGGAAAGAAGTGAAATACCCTTGGACCAAGGATGGCATCAAAGCAATCTGTTAAATCTCTTAATAACAAAAGCTTTTAGGGAGTCATTAGTTTGCAAATTGGCTTTGTATGGCCATGCCAATATTTATTCCATAGGTCCATAATTGCATACTTAATGTTCCATAGTGAATTTGGAATATTCCTCACCCAGCCATAATAAATCACATCTGATTTTTTAGCTAGAACCGAAATCTTGGACCTAGTTGGAAACATTTGAGAGAAAGTAGATTCAAATTCTAATCTTTAAGATATTACCACTTAATGAATATTTGAGTGGAACATTAAAGTAAAGTGTATCACATCCACAAAGCGCTATTTTGATGCAGTATGAGTATGAAACGAAAAGATGAATGAATATACCCTTTGCATTCATTCAACTTCACCTCTTAAAAGAGAGCTTCGTCTTCACTCTTTCAATTGACAATAAATCTCTGATCTTACCGAGCCAACCAGAGTTCGTTGTCGAAATATGGACGGTGTTTTATATGGTCATTTCCTCTGACATCCCCGCATAGTTAATGAGCACATATTTTGCGTGTGTTCCTTCCACTTTGCTGATTAGTTGAGAAAGGATCAGCGTGGTAGATTTGAAATTATTTATTACCCGGGCTGTCACAGGCACCAATCTTCGGGGCGGAGCTACTAAACTGAAATATAGTCTATACTAGGCAGAGTGTAGTTTATAACTAGACTCTACGCGCAGGGTAGAATGAATAGGGTAATACGATTCTTTTTCACATGAACAGGGTTGTACATGTATATAAGCATTTTCCTTACAATAAAAATGTGTACATTTCCTGATATTTAGGTGACATCCCTAGAGCAAGAGGATGAATGTTACGATTTCCGACGAGAGAGTAAACTTCAGCATAGAACACACCTCTACTATATTGACTATGAATACACGCCTGTCGTTGATGACATCACACTGGTTGCCCAACTTAGTATGGATCGACTCCAGATGCTTGAGACAATATGTAACCATTGGGATGGGCCGATTAGTCTCGCCCTCTATATGTCTGATGCGGAAGCTCAGCAGTTTCTCAGATATGCCCAAGGGTCAGAGATTCTGATGAAACGTAAAAATGTTGGCTATCATATAGTCTATAAAGACGGGGTTAGTTTAGATTTTTTTGTGTTGATTGGATAAATTTGCTCAAATTTATTACTCATGGCTGCTGTATTGTACAAATCTTGCGAACAAAAATTCAAAGGATCGAAATATTTCCATTTTTAATTGATTTTCAAATTCTCTACTAGGGATTCATCGACCCTCTTCCTATCTGAACAAGAAAATATGATTTATTCACTATGTAAAACAAGTGATAATACTTTTTTCATAAAAATATTGTCTATTTTTCAGGAATTCTACCCTGTGAACTATTTACGTAATGTTGCAGTAGAAAATGTAAAAACACCATATTTATTTTTATCTGATATTGACTTCTTGCCAATGTATGGCCTCTACGACTATCTTAAAAAATCAGTTGCCATGGTAGACATGGAAGTAAAGAAAAAGGTGAGTATATAACAATTGTATGGGACATGTTTTAAAGGCCTCCTCACATGTGAACGAATCCACTAAACGCAACCTTGCGAATTGATAAGAATTTGTGTTACAAGAAGATTTGAAGTAAATAAATTCGATAGAAAAGCTAATACCTGAATTGAGACAACCTGAAACTGCCTAGATTTGTATCGAATAGAATTTGAATAGAAATAATCTTTATTTTCATGATTGATTCAATGACTATAAATATTCAAAATTCAGTCAGTCTGATATTTGAAATCTAAACTCAAAACTGCATGTAAAATTGTGATATTAAAAATTGTTAATCAACTAGGTGACCCCTGTAATGATATCATATTTTGTTTGATTATAGGCATTGATAGTGCCTGCATTTGAGACACAGCGCTATAGACTGGTGTTCCCTAAATCCAAGGCAGAGCTACTCTCCATGTTAGACATGGGAACACTCTTTACATTCAGGTTTGTCTTTGGTCAACACATTTTGGCAGTAAACTTTTAGCAGTAAAAGTACTTTTGCTTCTGGATCCCCCTTAGTACATGTATATATTAGAAACAAAACATCTAATATGAAACCTTGTGAATCCTAAGTATCAATAACCTTCACTTAGATGATTTCTGAAGAGAAAATCTCTGGACATACAAGTGCATACTCAACCAGCATGGGCTACTAGAGTAAAGTGTTTTGTCATGAATCCAATTGTGCCAGATCATCAATTTTTATAGCTATAAAATCGTGTACATTCACAGGGAAAACCTTGTAGAGGTCCCTTGTCTGAAAAATGGAACTACATTATTGTTTATGTGTTTTGAATTACAATGTTTTCTCTTTTTGCTGAAGCTTATTAACATCAGCTATTTTCATCTATATCTTCAGATATCATGTATGGCCAAAAGGGCATTCTCCGACAGATTATGCCAAATGGCAGACAGCAACCACACCTTATCAAGTAAGTTTGAAACTTAATATTCAAGTACTTTGAGAGACTCAAAGTTTAAAGAATTCCAAATAAAAATCCACATTATGTATTGGTTATGACAAATTTTATTTCTGATTTTTCTTGTAAATGGAAAATTAGCGGTGCAATTTTGTTCATATCTGATATGTGAACTCTAATGAGCTTGATATTGCTAATAGGCAGCTAAATGGCCAACTTTTTTATGTGTGTTTTTTTACATTTCTACTATAACTTGAAAAGTAAAAGGAGCAACAAAAACATAATCTTATATAACTCAAATACCGGTTAAAAGATTTGGTTCACATTTTATATGCTTATACCTAGGGACAAGAAGAAATGTTTAAGATGGCTGCGATTCATCAAAACAGTTTTTGTTTGGTGGGATTTGGTACTCTGTGGAGTTGCTGTTTTCTAGTTTTTCATGTGCACTTGTACATAATGAAAAGTCATCATACATTCTGCATGTAAAACATTGTGGGCACATTGTGAAAGATAGTGTCCACTAACTTGTAACAACCTCTAGTTCTTGTCTACTCGTATCGGGGTTGCTGAAATTCTGTACCAGCCATCACTTTATCATAAAGCTTGTCAAATGCCTCACTTTGTGCTACTGTAAACATATTCTTCCAGTCATCTATTTTACCTGAAATATTTTTGAGATGTAAATTATCCAAATATAATTGAAATGTTTGTGCAGTTATTCAGTATCTAGTTAATACATCAACTTTTCATACAACATTTATTTATCTAATGAATTTATTTTTGTGATTTATATCTACAATTTAAATAACAGCATTTGATGAGATTAAAATCATTCTTAATTTTTGTGATATTGAATGTTAGGGATATTCAAATATGCCAAGTGTGGAGTATTTCAGTGCATTAATTCAAGGTATATGGCCATCTGAGCAGAAACATTATTTAACAGTGCATTATGGTTTCATAATGAACTGAGCAGTGTCATTATTGGTAAAAGAGTGATATCATCACAGTGCATTATGGTTTCATAAAGAACTAAATTGCAATAAAGAACCCTGTTTCATTCTTTTTCTTTCTTGGATTTAAAAGCATTCATGCATGTTCTAACCCATCCTGATAATATGAACAGGTTAGTACACACTCACTATTTAAAACTTTCAATAGAAAAAATAAAAATAGAACCATGGGTACTGGGCTCACTTGAAACAAAATGATTTCATACAACTACTCTTTACAAAGACATGGCTTTTTACAATGCAGGACACTTGAAATTATTTGTAAAGCTAGGAAATGGGCCAAAAGTGAATTTCGCGAAACAAAAATGGCGGCCATTTTGAAAATAGGTGAGCTTTTGAACCAGGAGTCATAGGGGAGTTTTTTGTATTGATGTTGAACAAAAAACTTAAAACGGGAATCCTATCAAAAGAGATTTTAAGGCAAATGGTCCAAAAGTCGCCTATCATTATTTATTCCTTAAGTAAAGAGGTCAATTTTCAGTACTATTTGTTTATCCACTCATCTTTATTCAACAGGCTTACCTTTTCTCATATGTATTGCATTTTCTCCTAGTGATGTTTTCAGTGCTTCAAATGCCTTTCCCGTAGAAGGGTTTTTCTTGAACTCTTCAAATGAGAGGTGCTGACACATTCTCTTGATTGTCTCTTCTGAGAATGATTTGTTGAAAAAGCTCGCCAGTTCTTTTATTGCCTTAGGCATATCCTGAAAATGTGAATTTGATTGATGATGTAGTTTGGCTAAAAAATGTAGTATTTTCCTCAGGAAATTCCTTATGCTTTTATTGTCTTTGGCATATTCTAGAAATAGCATGACATTTTGTATTTCTTCAGGTATATAACCGAGGGTTTATTTAATACCTGGGGCTAACTATGTGTACCAGCCAAATACATTGGATTTGAACGAGGCACATCCTGGGTATTACATTTGCCCTTGACTATATAAATAGTAAGTCATGTAGGTCCGATTCCCCCTGAGAGCATTAACATTGGTCTGGTTTAAGTAATACAATTAATATTTGAAACCCAACTATTATTCAAACTTATGATCAGACATAAGTAAGATGTGCACTTCAATGTAATATTAATAAAGTAACATCATACTTATGTCCGATCATAAGTTCGAATGATAGTTGTATTTCAAATATTAATTGTATGACATGATTTGCATTTGACCTCCATGATGTATATTTAAACTGATTTATACATGATATGATTCTAAACTACCTTGACCATGGTCTCATAGTTGAGAAAATGTACTGGAATATCCATCCTGTGTTTCCATATGTTGCTGTAGAAATCAAACCATGTCCCAAATGGCACTAAAATAACAACATAAAGAATATTGACATTACCATTTCTGATTTAGCCTTATTAATTCGAAATATAATTTCATGATTTTATAACAAAGTTCGTAGGTATATAGCCACAAATGTTTCGATAACCCAAAGACCATTTGTCAGATTTGATTTAAATTGTACATACCAATGCCTTATTTTCATAAGAATTCAAAATTGCCTAATATTTTTTTAGGAAAATTATTACCAGATATGGTCTAAATAGACGTTTCCGATAAATCTTTTGATCCAGGTCCTCAAAATTTAGACATGAGGATAGCTGCTAAACATTGGTAGTATACAGTGGCGTAGCCAGGATTTGGTGACCGGGGGTTCTATTTTTATGTTATTCACAAATCCCCCCCCCCCCTTCATTAGGGTTCCTCAAATAATGCAATTTGTACAATTTCATCCCCTCCAAAAGTTTGGCAATCCTAATATCTAACCCATTGGATTATGTATTAAAGCATCTTTAAGTTTGAATTCTTATTTGTAAAGAAAAAACTATTTTGGGAGGGGAAATATAATTCATTTTCATACCTGATCATTAAGTTAAGTAGACAATTGAATTTGAATTTTATTTAATAAAAATGATGCCTATATTTACGTCAAGCAAAGTCTGAAAGATTAGGCTTCATCAAGAAACCTCTCCCATTGAAATAACAGGACGGTAAAATGATTTTTAAAAATGACCTTGCAGCTTTGTAACTTTAATGTTCACAAGTAAAATAAACAGGCAACGTGCAAAAAAGTCAGTCAACTTATAATTGATTTTCTGCATCAAAATATATTTCGGTGAATCTTTTACTGAATACATATCCTGAAATCTGATTTGCCCCGAATCCACCATTATTTCGTCTGATTTCTAGAAGACCCTGGAGCAAGATTTGTTTCCAAGGAATATCAACTATTTCGCACAATTTGTTCTTTAACTTAAGCTACTTCATCTAGGACAAAATAAATAACCTCATGCAATGGTTTATCATTATTTTTCAGGAATTTTGTTGGAAGCCAGTTCGGGTCAAATGCAAGGTTATTGAAATTGGCGCAAACACCCTATACTCCGAAAGATAGTTCTTCTACGATAACTTTTACAACGTTTACACGACGGCTTGATAACAAATTAGGCCTTCATTATTTGAAGATTAATACCATATTCAATGTTTTTTATTAGGAGGCCCCATCGGGGGGCCTCCTATCAATTTTGTAGATATTATTATTCTTTATTCTTTATTATTCTTTATTATTATTTATTCTTCCTCCCTCTTTTTCTCCTACTTCTAGCTAGGTCTGAGTTAACTCTTATATGCTCCTACTAGGAACTTTGGCTGAACTTGGCGGGAAAGGAATTTTTATCTAGGTCAAGGTCAAAGGTCAAAATTTAGGTCAACTCTAAGTTTTTTCCAAGTTTCTCAAATCCTGACACTACACTTCAATAATTTTGGCTGAATTTTTGCATACAGATAGATATTAGTATTCTATTAGTCTTAGCCTTTTGCCGTCTAGACAAATTTTGCCTAGATTTTGAGATATTGAAGGTCAAAAAAAGGTCAAAAAAGGTCATGTTTCAACTTGCTTCAAATTGACCAAATTTTTTTTTAAAACTCATCTACAAGTTCTCAGGATTCCAAATCTGACCTTACTTTTGACCTTTGACCTTTGGTTGACCTTCAGTGACCTCCGAAAGGTCAAAAAAGTTGATTTTTCAAATCGCTTTTCTGGATTCAAATTTAGGAATATTTATTCACAAAAGACCTTCTGAGGTCTAAAAAAGTAAAATTTGCAAGGTCAAAGGTCAAGGTCATCAAACGAAATCACAAACTGTGTTTTCTAAGTTTCTCAAAATTGGAGACTACAAATCAATTTTTTTTACTGAAAGTCAAAATATATATTCCTCTAAAGGTTCTACACATATTAGCAATTGACTATTTATTAAAATTTTGCTTCAGTTTTGAGATATTAGAACTCAAAAACTGAAAAAAGGTCAAATTTCGAAATTTTTCGAGGTCAAATTTCAACATGCTCTAAATTGACCAAACTTTTTTTTAAAAAGCATCTACAAGATCTCAGGAACTCAAATCTGACCTTAGTTTTGACCTTTGACCTTTAGTTGACCTTCAGTGACCTTCGAAAGGTCAAAAAAGTTGATTTTTCAAATTGATTTTCTGGATTTCAAATTTAGATATATTTTATCGCAAAAGGACCTACTGAGGTCTAAAAAAGTAAAATTTGCAAGGTCAAAGGTCAAGATCATCAAACAAAATCACAAACTGTGTTTTCTAAGTTTCTCAAAATTGGAGACTACAAATCAATATTTTTAAATGAAAGTCAGAATATATATTCCTCTACTAAAGGTTCTACACATATTAGCAATTGATTATCTATTAAAATTTGGCTCCAGTTTTGAGATATTATAGCTCAAAAACTGAAAAAAGGTCAAATTTCGGAATTTTTCAAGGTCAAATTTCAACATGCATTAATTCGACCAAACCTTTTTTAAAAATCATCTACAAGTTGTCTGGAGTTCATATATGACCTTGTATTAGAGATTTGACCTTTGGCTGGCCTTTGAATGTTCAGAAACGAATATAGGGCCTCCGTAAGATTGCTTGCAATCTTAGATCGTTAGATCTCTAGTTATGTAATTTATTCGCTAAACATATCATGACATTAACATGAAAATGGAGAGCAAGTAAACTGGAACGATAACAATTTGAATTCTATACAATCTCTTAGATGAGTGGAGTGTATCTGAAAAAACAAAATCATTTTTTGCAATGATTGATTTTTCTTTGGAAAGGTGATGGGTAAATAAATACTGAACAAATGAAAGAATGAATGAATTTGAACAAATGCTTGTGTTTATAAATGATATACGCTTTTAAATAATTCATTTCACAACGTTTCTAATTATTTAACACAATTGGTTTCGGGGACTTGCCAGCCCCGGGGACGTCCCGAGAAATGTTTTAAATTTTAATTGAAATAAAACAAAACAGAGATGTAAGGGAACATGGGGCAAAACGGCCCTGTTGGGCAAAATGGCCCATCGAAATATCTTTTGAACTATAAAAAATGGTTCTTCAAAAGTCACATAATCGAATTTTGAAATTTCTAGCACCTTCTCGACCGCCCATTTTTAACCTAGCAGCGTCTCGCTATACGTAAGAGGTAATTCTACTTTTCACTCTCTTTTTTTGCAAATTACTCCTCCCACGAGAATCTCTAAAAAATCCGGCAAAAATACAATATCGTTTTGATTTAACATTTTGCATAGGGTATGCATATTTATTCTTTATTTGTAAACATTTCGAGCTTCAAATATTAGGCAAATTAAAATGACGTCTTTTTTAAAATTCACATGTCTTTGGGGCAAAACGGTCCACAAAGGTTATAACATACAAAAATCGTACAAGAACAATTGATTTTCAAACATAACAATTCTAACGTTTGGTTTGAACCTTACTTCCTTCCGACACATATCGAATGACTAGAATTATGGTAGGGGTTAAGAATACTTTATCTGTCAAAGGTTTGAACGTCTGAGAAAAGATGTGTGTGTTGACGAGTCCTGTAATTGATTAATTTTTGGTTTTAAAACCCATGTAACAGAGGGAGGGCCGTTTTGCCCCACCCATGGGCCGTTTTGCCCCACTCTCGACATTATTTTTGGCAATTGAAAAATCACAGAAGATAGTCTTAGGTAAATATAAAACACTCGAAAAATAAATTTTTAGGGCCGTTTTACCCCATGTTCCCTTACACATTTGAAAGAACATGTGTTTCATCATATATATATTGACTATTCCAGATATTTATTCGTCTATGTTGTAAAAATCATTCGGAATATGGAAGGTCTGCATTGTTTTCAATAACTTCGTACTGATTTAGCCATTGACCAAGATGGGTTATTTTGTCCGACAAAAAGCAGCTTTTAAATTAATTGTGCGAAATTATTGATATTTCTAAATGTAAAATCTCATGCTCTGGGGTCTTCCCATGAATTAAATCTCACCCCGTGCCTAAGGTTGCCAAACGTTTTGAGGGAAGTGTATCTTCACTATGACATGTTTTTAACAAAATAAGGCTCTCGTGTTCACCATAACAAATATCAATTCATTTACTGCTCATATAATTTATGCAGTTTTCAAATAGCACAGTAATTTAATGTTTCTGGTTATATGCATTTTCCCGCAAAATTATATTTTGGGAAATCCTGACCGGGGGTTCGTTCGAACCCACCGAACCCCCGCTGCCTACGGCTATGGTATATACACCCCATGCAGACAGATTGCCTAAAATTACATTAGGATGATGTGAGACTCGACATTCACCAGGAAAGTAGAAACATTTTACCACCCATGATGCAAATAAATTTTTTACTGCTTAATAAAAGATGAATGACAGTATACCGTCTAACCGTCATATCGTCTTGATATTTCAAGGTAACTCGTTCGAAAAATGATGACGGTAAATGAAATGATGATGTAAAGATAAAACTGCAACAAAAGATTTCTTTAAAAAACTAAGAAATATACATCTCATATTGAAATTTTCAAAACAGAAAAAACATTCCCCCTGAGAGCATTAACATTGGTCTGGTACAAGTCATGCAATTAATATTTGAAACCCAGCTATTATTCAAACTTATGATCGGACATAAGTATGATGTGCAATTCAATGTAATATTAACTAGACATGTAAATTGAACTAGTTCAATTTATGACTCCAGATTTCAGACTTTTTTTAAGCTGAGTCATCCAAATACTTGTAAGCTGAGTCATTCAGAATAAGCTGAGTCAGCTAGAATATAGACATTTAGACAACTCTTAAGAATGTTATCTTCGACTCCATTGGCTTAACATGGGGATATCATCATATCGACTTTTCGAGACTTCAAACCGCTAATAAAGTAACATCATACTTATGTCCGATCATAAGTTTGAATGATAGTTGTATTTCAAATATTATTGTATGACATGAATGAGACCAATGTTAATGCTATCAGGGGGAATCGGTCCTGCAGGCCTTATTTTTCATACATGTTTTTTTCTGTTTTGAAAAATTCTATATGTGATGTATATTTCTTAGTTTTTCAAAGAAATCTACAAATATTTCATTATGGTTTTATCTTTACATCGTAATTTCGATCACAGCTATCACTTTTCGAACGAGTTACCTTGAAATATCAAGATGTCATGCTATTCTCATACTTATAGAACTCAATGTTACTATCCTTGACCATTTATTAAGCAGTAAAAAATTAATTTGCTTCATGGGTGACAAAATGTTTCTACTTTCTTGGTGAATGTCAAGTCTCGCATTATACCAATGTAATTTTAGGCGATCTGTCTGTATGGAGTGATATAGGTGTTTGACAATGGTCAAAAAAGTTTTGGGCTTGAAATGGTTAGAAAGTAATTAGGAACAACACAGAAGCAATACCTTGTTATTTAGGTCTTGTATTACTAAAATGTTTCATTTTTAAAACGATTTTGGTAACTGGACATAAGTATATTCTGGTCAGATACAGAAACAGGTTAGGTTCCTCAAGACCTACTCCACTTCTCAATCAGGATTACTGTTACCTAAACTACTTTTATTTTCAATGAATGCAGCATAGAACTCATCCCATGTTGGTTGCCTCTCAAACATCCCACCAGGTACACTGGCCATGCCTCCAACGAGATGATAAAAACTTGTATATACAGACTTTGGGTTCCTCACCATTACAACAATCTATAGATAAGAAATCAACTGAGCTGTACAGGGTGATCATTAAGTTCTGGGAGTTGGTCTGCCATTTAAAGATTTCACAACCATTTTCAGCAACTGTACATTGTATAATTCTGAATTGACAAGCAATATTTCATATACATAATTATGACATCTACAATTTATTTTATTGAAATTACAAAAAAAGTAAAAGTGGTCCGCGGGTCAGCAAATTTTGACTGATGTTAATCTGAAAATTTCCTACCAAAACATATTCATCTTGCCTAGATGGTTGCTTCAAACTACTTGTACTAGAGGCAGAACAGTATTCTTGAAGTCATTTATTCTTCAGTAAGCTTCATTGCTGAGAGGATCATTTTATTTATAATTGTTTCCATTAACCTGGACGCACATGTGTTGTTGACAAACTTAGTCCATAAAGATGTATTCCAGTTCTCCCTTTGGTATCCCTTGAAGATTTGCTCAAACCGTTGAAATCAGTCCCTTATCAGAATCAAACTTATGACCTCTCATATAATGCTTTAGCACCCAAAATGTAGTGAAGCCTAATGGTGCTTCATCTGGTGAATATTGTCTGGTGAATACGGGGCAGTAATAACTTGTGTGAACCCTAATTCTCCAAGAGTACTATGGGCAGCTGGAGTAATGGGAAGGAGCAAAGTCATAATGGAAGTTAACTCCCCGCTATTTTGAGTCATGATTGTGACTTTGAGATGCTGATGAATGATACGAAAATAGAGCAAAGTATACTCTCATATAAAAATACAGATGTTACTTTAGAAACGAAAGTTAGAAGTATTTGAAAATATGAAAAATCACTGAAATATGTCCACCAAATAGGCATTTATTAACCATACTTTTGGATCAGGCAAAATTTGAATTCATTTTTATTTTACTTGACCCGCTACGCCATTTGTCATGTTGCTATAGTAACAATAATTATCCATTGTGATATCATATGACAATGAGACTGTTTTCTCCAACCCAAAATTGCATTCCCCATTTACCTTAAAAATTTCAAGTAAATTGGTTGAAAAATAAAGAAATGACAGATACATTCCCAGAACTTAGTGATCACCCTGTATGTCAGTAAAGCCCTGTATACACAGCAAATTGCAATTTCAATTGTTTCAATCAGTTCAATCTTTTCAATGCATGCATCATTTCCTCAGTTTGGATGCTTGCGGCATTTTGATTCGCCTTTGAAACAAATTTAAAGTTTTACTCTTTGTGCCTTTTTCGCAGTTTCAAGCATATGACCAATTCAGGAAAAAGACGGGCAAAACAATTGAAACGAACATGCACATTTTTCATTTCAAGCATTTCACCATGGCTTTTCAACCAATTTAATAATTTCAATCGCTACATCTTGGAAAATGAAATCACAGTTTCTCTGCTCGTCGTTTCAAGCATTTCAATCAATTTGCCTGAGTTATTTTCACTTTTATTTCAAGCAATTTGGCCATTTCGCTCCCATTTCAAGCATTTCGTCTGCCAGTGTATATACCCCTTAACAGACAGATGTCTTTATTCAGTACACTCTGTTATATGAATGACTGAACCAACCCAGAGCTGTCAAGTGTCCCGCGAATGGCGGGATTATCCCGCGAATTTGATCAAAATTAGGCTAATTCGCGTGTCCCGCATTGTCCCGCGAAGTCCCGCAAAATGTGGCTTTGACCTCCGCGAATTTCCGAAATTGTTGCAATCCCCTATATTTTGATTATCTTATCTTATGTAAGAAGCTAAGTTTTTGCACTTTTGAGGAGTAAAGTTTACCTAATTTTAAGTACCTAGCATGCTGTTGTTTGGTATCAAAATAAAGGGGAAGGGTTCAACTTTCATTTTAATTACGAAAATAGGGATGTAGGTCACAAATAGTTCCAACGTTGACCTTTTTACTACCCGTGTGGCCTTCATCTCAGAACTGAGCAAATGTTAGCAAACGCGAGTTACAATAAATGTACGCTGATATCTAGAAAGGGTTTGTATAAAAAACCGGGTACCGGGTAGTAAATCCTCCATGCTGGGTTCAAACTTGGTACCCGGTACCCGGTCAAAAAAAACGGGTACCCAAAAAACGAAAAATACGAATATATAACATAATTAGATTATGAGAAAACATGTAAGATTTGTTTTGAATTTGCAAAAATGTATGTAACATGATTCAAAATTGAGCTAGAAGCTTCAAATAAAAAGCATATTTTAAGGCACTTTTCTTCCTCTATCGTTATGGCCATATTTTCATTGGTTATGGGGGGGGGGGGGTGCGATCGCACCATCGCACCCTCTCCTGGCTACGCCTATGACATTGTAAGACATAACAATTTACAATTCAGTGGACATTTTGTCATAAATTGGGATAACTTAAATTATGATTAATAATCAAAATCTTACACGTTGCATCATGCAAATTAACACACGTCACCTCTCTGCTAAAGCAACGATAGCTATTTACAGATTTAAATCATAATCAAAACAATTCACGTACCAACATACGAACTATTGAAAATAGAGTAAGATTGATTTGTCTTGTTTTTCAAATCGTCTTACAATGTCATTGGCGTAGCCAGGAGGGGGTGCGATCGCACCCCCCCCCCCTTCATTACCAATGGAAATATGACCAAGATGATAGAGGAAGAAAAGAGCCTTAAAATGCTTTTTATTTGAAGCTTCTAGCTCAATTTTGAAGGAAGTTACATACATTTTTGTAAATTCAAAACAAATCTTACACGTTTTCTAATGATCTAATTATGTTGTGTATTCGTATTACTTCCTGCGAAAGCTATTTGGATTTTGATATAATAGCTTTCCCAGGGAGCATTTGGACAGCTCAATGATCGTGACCTTTGAAATCGAATTAATAAATCGAAAAAGAAGTACTCCAGCGCTCCAATACTTACACGGATTGATGATACTGATGTAAGACACAGTTAGAGACCAAAAGTAAGCCGCGGATCGACTTAATTCAATTTCAAAGGTCACTATTGATCAGCTGTTCACTTCTCCGTTTGAGAGCCATAAGTTTCAAAATCTAACATGGCTCTCGAAGTGAGTAATATTCGTATATTTCGTTTTTTGTTTTTTTTCGACCGGGTACCAAGTTTGAACCCAGCATGGAGGATTTACTACCCGGTACCCGGTTTTTTATACAAACCCTATCTAGAAAATTAACCTCATTCCCTATAATTTGATGTAGATTAATCGAACCCCTATATCATGGGCTTTCAATTGAAAGCCCATGCCTACAGTATATGAATAGGTACATTTTAATATATAACATTATGGGGGTAAGCGTTTCATAGTTGGTCACGACGCCAGAAGTGCAAAGTATTGTTCCGAATTTTTGAATTTCGTGTTAGATTACGGTAATCACACCTGAAGCATGGTTTTTGTTTTTGATAAATTACAATAAATTTCAATAATATTCCTATGCGTATTTTGTGAAATTTGTTGTTTAAGTTACAATGTAACGGTGCATTATATTTGATTAATCAGTATCTGAAAGTTTGATTTAAGTACTTCTACACGCTTTTACATTAGTCCCAATCACGCAAATCCCTTGAATGTCCCGGGACATCCTGCAAATTTAGGTGGATGTCCCGCGAAATCCCGCAAATTTAGGGCACTTTGTCTAAAAAATCTGTCCCTCTATGAAGTTTTTGGTGGTACACCTGTTAACTGTCCCTCAATTAGGGTGTTTGTCCCTCGAATGGTCCCGCGAAATCCCGCGAATTTGATAAAAAATCTCCTATTAGCGCAATCACGCAAATCCCTTAAATGTCCCGCAAAATCGCGCGAATTTAGTAGATGTCCCGCAAAATCGCGCGAATTTTGGGCACTGGGTTTAAAAAATCTGTCCCGCGAGAAAATCTTTAGGGGTTGACAGTACTGCCAACCACACCAACCATACAAAACAATTTTGAATTCTCTGATTTCTTCAATAATCTAGTGTTGGGAGGGGGTCTTAGACATTGTTTCTTTTCATGTTGGATTATAGTTTGGGATAGTTGGGGCTTAATTTTTATTACTGAAACACACGCAGACATTTTATTTTTGGGCTTGGTTCTGTAACAATTTTTGTCCTCCTTTGGCACTTATGCGTACATATATTCTGATGAATGATCAATAGATGGCTTAAAATTGTTAATAAACTACTAAATACTAAACTGAGCATCTGCAAGGGATTCCACTTACCTTACATTTCCCTTGCTTTACTTGCTCTGGCCAGAATTCATATGAGGCATGCGTGTGCAATATACGTGGTGATGGTTTGGCTGCTGCAGTAATTAAAGGGTTTGATCCTGCATCTAATGGTCCCTTTAACCCCTTACCAGTCATGACTGAAATACAATTTTCTCTTAAAAGCATGTTTGTCATGCTATACAGGGCGGGCCAAAAATGTTCATAGAATCTCAAGCGGTATAGCATTCAGCTATAGCTAGGTGCTGACGCTGTAACCATGAGGTTGTGAGTTTGAGACGCATGAACTCCTTGCGTGTTATTGATTTTTAAGGTTATTTTATTTCCATATATGAATCATATAACATACAATAATATAATAATACATAAATATGAAGAAACAAGCTTACGTTTGCTCATTATTGGCTTGATCATGACCAAAAAAATGTTTAGCTACAGCGTATTTGATTTCTGTCTGATCATGTAGCTCGACTTACATTCAGGGCTATTCATTGTTGGCACGACTCTCTGGTGGATGTGGGTATTCCTTAGTGCATCACAGTCACCATTGTTCCGGATCAAATCCACCAGCTCAAGTGAAAAGTGGGTTCCTAGGTAAAATATCAAAATGTGACAGGTTAAACATAGTTTTTAGTTGACTTAACATAAAAATAAGTTACAGTTGGCATTGTCAGATTGTCGGAGGTACCATTAATCAAACTAACTACACAATTTTATTAATTAATATATTCAAAGTCTGGATCTAAATATATGTTGATGTAAATGCTACCTTTGGATGGATTCAATAAATTATACATAGAAATGACATTTTGATTATTTTTGATGCACTTTGCTCTCTCTATATACCTTTTATTGACTCTAGGTGGCATGGCATGACATATTAGTCAGTACAAAAATAAATAAATTACACTACACTGCATTGCTATGTTATTTATATATGTAACATAATGCGGTACATCCAGAATGTTCTTCAGACAAGTTCATGTTTTGAATGCTGTATTAAAGAAACTCTTGTTTTTGGACATACTTTCCTTCAAACAAAAACTACATTTTGTTTCTAAAGGAGAAACCAAATGTGGTCAATGTACTTGTATGTGTCGAAGTGCTGTATGTAGGTCATAGCACCAAATATAATGTCTTTCAAACTCTCCTTTAGAAATCAATTACCCAAATGCAAGTAGGTAGTTACCAGTTTCACCACCAGGTGGCTGATTCGGGTCAATTAACATGGCAGGTATATAAGAAAGTTCCCTTAAACTTGAATATTATCAATTTAAGTGGCTCAATTTTCATATAACCCTTATGTGTCTGTTACTTATACTAATGAAAATATGTCCAGTAAAGCAAAATGTTATCTGTCCACTAAATGAAAAGATATTTCATTTTTTGTGATTTTATAGCATGGGGTCTATGGGGAATCTCCCCGAGCTAGAAGTCACATTTTCAAAGAAAATTAATTTTTCAAAGTTGATAAACACTTTTTAAAACCACATTTCTAGATGTAATTTTACATGTAGATTTCATGATATTACTTTGACTGAATTTTGAATTTTTAATGACGTAAATCAAGATTATTTCTACTCGCATCTGGGTTATTGTTGTTAATGTACTCACCAGATCTTGGGTATGTTACAAAGAATATATCATTGCTTTCAACCTCTAGTGTTGATAAATCATAATATGCTTCTTTGCGTACAGATGGTAGCACCATCAGCCCATCCTTATACTGCTCATTACCATAGACACAGTAGGACTGTCTTGATATGTCCAGTATGGTCCTGCTTGATGTCATTTTGGAGTCAATTAGAACAACGGTGGCACACACAACATGCAATATAACACTATACTTTGCTCATGTCAAGTCATAATTTAGTGCGTTAAGATAAGCAATGTGAAGTGACTTGACCATGTTACAGTTAGTCCCCAAAATGAGGTCAAGAGGAATAAATACAGGGTAAGCCAGAAAAAATGTACATATATCTTTATTTGTCAGTAACTTTTTTATGATAAATGGATTTAAAGATATCTTTGATGGCGATGTTGGATTCCATATCTGTATTGTTCTTAAAAAGGATGAATACATCTTCAGTTTTTCTGCATTCAAAAAAAGGTGAAAGGTGACCATGTAGGACATAAATAACCCAATCTTCAATGCCAAATATATCTTTTGCTTTTGACTAGACGGGGTTTTAGGGGATGCATGTCCCCCCTAAAAAGTCGGAATTTTAACTGGAAATCAAAATAGATGGTTATAGATTGTCAATAACACATTGCATACGCTGAAATCAGACCCGAGAATTAGACCTACACTCTGAAATCATATAGTGCATTAATGCACTGAAATACTCTAATCTGATTGGCTGAGTCACACTTGGCATATTTGAATATCCCTTCCATACAACATCACAAGAATTAAGAATGATTGTTTACATCTTACCAAATGATGTTATTAAAAATATAGATATAATTTAGATGTATAAATATGCCTATGTTACAATTTGCAACAATTTGTCCAATAGGTGACAGTCATTTTTATATGCGCAGCTATGTCTGTTGCCTTGACATTGCTGTTATCTAGTTTTTCTGATGCTACCTCTTGTTTTTGTCATTATGGTTGAAATCATTTTGAGTCATTTTGAGACTTTATTTATTGATTTAAACAAGTGTACTGACTGCAACAAGTTAGCAAAATAAACACGTTATAAGATGCTGAATTTGCAAATATACTCATTGTTAATAATCCTTTATTTTTAGATAGCATGGGAACCTGACTTTGAACCCTATGTTGTCATTAAGACAGAAGGTGCTCCTAAATATGACCAAAGATTTGTTGGCTTTGGGTGGAATAAAGTCTCACATATAATGGAGCTAGATGCTCAAGGGTAAGCCATTAATATACATAATAGCTCTCTATATGACCTAGGTCAGAATATCACTTCTTTGGTAAAAAGTCAGGGTAGTGAAAATAGTTGCAATAAGGTGCTTTGGAAAAACAATTGAGAGGGGACAGTATTCCCTGGCATGGGCGTAGCGCCCAGTACGCTGGGTAGGCACAGGCGTACCAGATGGATGCAAATTCGCTCCAAATACAATCAAATTTCAAACTCTTGTTCCCATTGTGGCGTACTACATAGAAAAATAGTGCTACGACCATGCCTGGGAGTCCTTATATTACATGATGTTCACTTATAAGATATCTTAAAAACATGTAGCTTAAACTCCAAATTCTATGCTTATAGAGCCCATTCTCCTCTGCTAAAGTTGATGGACAGAGGAATTCAATATCATTCATGTTCTTTCTTGACTTTATGTCCCCCAAATGAAATTACTTCTGTGAAAATTAAATTGACATGTGGGACCTTTCAAAATCCTGTTACCCATTTAACTTGATTTAAAATAAACCTCTGTATTAAGTGGAACACCTCCCAAATGGAACATTGTTTTTAGGTACCAAAGAGGTTCCACTTACAAATGTAAACACGTCATGTTTTACTGTACATTATATACACATATAGCTGCATGTTAAAGTTAATGTTTCCATGTTTTCAGGTATGAATTTACTGTCCTACCAAACGCCTTCATGATTCACATGCCACATGCTCCAAGCTTTGATATCGCCAAATTCCGAGCCAGTAAAATATATAGAAGGTATGTAATGTTCAAATTGATATACAGCAGTTATTTTTATTTAAAATATGAGTTGGATATAAGATATTTGTGAATCATATCTACTTGTAATAAATAAAAAATCAATACAATAGCCTATACAATAGCATATAGTGCATTACTTCTGGGACAACCCTCGTATAGAGATGTGAAAAGAACAAAAGAATGTCCCAAAATCTGTAAAACATTTTAACTCGAGGGTCAACATTGAAAATTTTTGATACAGCATCCATGCAAAATAAAGAATTTTTCAGAAAATCAGAGTATTCACACGGTGCTCATGTTCTTGCATTTTAGTTGTCTTAAGGTGCTAAAGGGTGAATTCCAGAAAGATTTATCCAGGAAATATGGACTTAAAGCATTGAAATACCTCAATGTGGAGAAGACTTAACACCTGCTCAAATTGAACACAATCATGTGCTTAATAATTCTCAATATTCCTTGCAAGGAAAATGATGTGCTTAATAAATGTTGGTGTACTTTTGTACATCTTTGTTTACTGGGCTTCCTTTGGAAGGAAGAAACAGCATTCAGAGATGGCAGTTGCATACTTTAGGGTACAAATGAATTGTATGTGATTACGCTGTACGTGATAACGTTGTATTATAAAGTAGAAAGACAATGCACAAAATGGGCTGGTACGGTTAATGCAAAAAATATTTTTAAAAGTGACAACATGATGCTGTAGAAGTCTTAAAGTTGCTATTTTCACTGTTGATGAATACTGTGAATGTATTCCTTACTGGAGACAGTGTGGCAGCAAGTGTCATCAAAAGTCCAAAATGTGAACTTTACAGTACATGTATTAATTTTCAATATTTTTTTAAATCATGAGATGCATAAATTCAGATCAAGATTCTCCTAGGCGTCACTGTACCCAAACTGCCAAAGAGACTCTCACATGTTTTTCTTAAAGGACGCTTGTGTGTATTTTTAGTGAAAAATATTCCACTAATAAGGATCAAATAACAGGCTTCCCTATTTTTATTGGATTAAATTGGATTTAATTAGATCAGCTCTTTATTGCTAAAAATGAAATGTACCTCATTACCCCAATAATGCTGTGAATGTTTCTTGCACACTTATCTCCATTGGAAAATTTTAGCTAGTCATAAAAAATGTGCACATTAATTTATGCTGAATGTACAGTCTAGGCATATTTAATATATTTATTTATGTACAAGTTATAATGTATTTGAATCCATATTTATCATTAAAAAATCTAGTGATGAATTTTCAATTGTTTGAGAAATATTTGAATATATGTGAATAGATATGTTTGCATAATGTTCAATAAAATACTTAATTCTGCTAGAATCATGTTGAATGTAAAATCAACATATTTATCACGTGGCTTAATATGGATATTTGGGATATGCCTGCTGAATTATTCCCCTATGTGATAAACAAAATGTAGTTAATTTGTCATAAATCATTTGTCATAAATAATTTGTCATATCTGCTGGGCACAGAGTACTCTGTCTATAAAACAATGCACTATGTACATTTGTTTTGTATCTTATGCAACAAGTTTGATTTTTGAGAAAAACTACTGTATAGCCTACATTAGAAGACTCACTATCCATGATTTTGAATATACAGATGCATTTTGAATCCACCCTGTAATTGTCACTTTGTGATTTAGACTTTAGTATACAATGTACATCAATATATTTTATATTTTAACACTGTACAAAACAGATTAAAGTTTATTAATAGTAAGCTATTACTACTTCACCTAGTCTACATACTGTATTCGTCTTTAATTTCATGAGTGTTTTAATTTGGCAAATTTGGCAAATCAAAAAAATTGCCAAAAATAAATACAAGTAGCCGCCGAATTCCCTAGGAATTTCACTTGTTTTTCTTTCGCTGAACTCCTGGTTATAAGATGGCCTGGGCCGTTTAAATTGTTTAACTTAGATCATTTTTAATTGTTCATTACAACAACTGGATTAGGCAGGAGGGTATATAATGTAGATATGAGATTAATCCCATTGAAAAACTGCCAAATTAAATAGACGCGCCAAACTAAGTTACGCTAAATTAAAGACGAATACAGTATCCAAAGTCTATTTCAAGCACAAACCAAAGTTGTAAATATTTGTTTGCTCAATTTGTAGAAAGACAATTTTTAGCATTGCACCATACGTGTACTTTGTACTACATGTACTTATTATTTGTACCAGATCTATGAATTTATGAATCTGATGGCATGTATGTAGAATCATAAAATGTTGTGTACATTTAGAATTCACATTCATTCTGCCTTAATCAAGTTGTTACAACTATCTATGTCATAGATTTTAGTAATTGTGAGCATATTGTGACTTTATCACTAGTATGCTGAGGACTTTGTATTTTGTAATCAGGGTCATTCATATCCCAAAACCTTAAGAGGTCTTGTAGATCTTTGCACTTAAGACTGTGACTCTAGCTAAAATGATTACATGCTTTTAAAACCCTATATTGCCAATTCTCACATCAATTTATCACCAGCCATGTAATGTCATGGAGCAATTGTTTGAAAATTAACATGGCAGACATACAATTTGGTTGTGACCCCTGGGACAACATTTTTTAGTTTATATTCGATTATGATATATGATTTAAAATATAACTACTCTATTGCAAAGAGGAGATACCATACCACAGCTGAAGCATATTGTTTTATTTCTTATTTTGATTTCATCAAAATATCACTTATTTTAAGCGGCAAAATGAAAAAATCCTTTGGAGTCTCGTCATAAATTTTTTTAAATTTGCATAAGTAATAATTTTGTCCTGATTTATACATTAACCTGACGTGTTATTGAGTTTCAGTTTTATATTTGTACTAATTCATGTACACATAATTTTGTAATTCTGATTTATTGTTAATGCCTCAGTAACATTTGATCTGCAGCAACCGTATGATGGCTATAGCTTCCCAAAATCGAAAGAAATATGCAGCATATAATATAGGAATTTATAGTACGATTTACATTTTCTATTTCAATTTTGTAAAGCTACAGCTGCCGTAGAGCAAATGTGACTGAGGCTTATATCATATTGAAAGAAGCTAGGCTAGTAAAAATACCATTAATGAATTGTAATGTTATTTGTAAATTGTAATGTGTGAACCTTAATATAATTGGTGCTATTATAACACATAAAGTAGAATACTTAATCTGAAATATAGTTTTTGTAACATACTACATTTATTTGTTTTATTCTTATTTATTTTAGCAAAAGTAAAAAACTCAAATTCCATCAATACCAGAGCTAGAGTAATCTGTAATTCACCTCCCAGATGTAAGGTATAATGACCCTCTGCATTAAAGTATAAGATAATCAGGGGTCCCACACCCATGATAAAAAGTACGAACTACTTGTCACATGTTTCCTTTGTGAAGATACATGGATGATGTTGATTCTTCATTTTCAAAATCCATGCCTTTATCTGCTGGTGACTCCTTTTATCTAAAAAATCTAAAAAACCCAAGATGTAGATCCCATGTTGAAAATAAAAAACCTATAACTGGTTCTACTTTTTTTAGTTTGAAGTTTTTCACTGAAAAATCCCAACATGTGGATCCCATTTTGACGAAAAATCCCAAGAACTGAGTCTACTTTTATATTTGAAAGAAAAGACTGTGGATGGAGAGAGAAAAAATTGTAGATTTTCCCAATGGAGAGCTGCTAACGAAAATATTATTTTTTACCTGTCTAAGAATCTGTAATATGCAAAAGTGTTATTGACAGTTTCTTATTATTTATCTGTATCCCCGGGAACATCACTTAATAATTACGTTTTCGTCTAGTGTATGCGGAAGTGACCTTGGCCTAAAAACAAAACAAAGATGGTCTTGAAAACAGCGATTTTCTTTGTGATTTCTATCGCAGCTTTTGCTGTGATGTTTACCACGATGGCACCATTGACTGGGTTTTTATCATACCACGATGTCCCAAGAATTGTAAAAGACAATAATGGTGAGTATCAGTAGTTCTCTTGTACTAATATGAGCCTTCAAAGTGCGAAAAGGTTTGAATCAAACAAGACACATCTGTCAAAATGTCAATGGATTTTATGCCTGTGATAATTGATCAATGAATGAGATCTTTTATATTCTGTTTATTGTTTTGATCATAGGCCAAGGGTAAAGTAATAGTAAGCCATATATAGAAGAGACAGGTGAACAACTCTGACTTGGACTACTTGTTAAGATGGAGATTTCAACAATATTTAGTGTATTATTTTCAAAAAGCCATGGGGAGTTGATAGAAAATTGATAGTTTGTAGCTCTTACCTATAGATTGAAACTCAGTCAGATGATATAGAGTGAATAATGCTGTCTAAAAGAGAGAATTTCTGAAAACCTGCAATTGCCTGGCAAGTTCATTAGTAAACAAGTGATCTGATTGGTCACTGCTGACCTCCCTGACCTCCAACAGTGACAATCAGTTTCAGCTTGCCAGGCAATTGCAGATATCCATAGTTGTTGTTTTATATGCAGTATTATATGCAGTTTTTAGATAAAGATTTGAAAAAAACAATGATATAAGTTTGAAAAACTCTTTGAAGAAGATTTTGGAGAGATTTGGGAATACAATTTGATACCAGTAAGGAGAACTAGTGCCAAGACTAAAAAAAATTGAAAAATTTTCAATCTTACTTGTGGACCTGTCTCTTCTATATTCAGCTTACTATTACTTTTCCCTTGGCCTATGGTTTTGATTTATTTGACTCCATTGATTCCAAATTCATTTGATCCTCTGTCTGTTTACAACTAGATCAAATGAATAATTGAATTGAAAAAAACTACCCCCGTAAATGTGGGGTTGATATCAACCCCACATTTATGGGGGTATTTACAACAAAATGATATTAGAAAAGATTCACTTGTTGTAGTTGTTGGTATCCTTATGGTGCTTTTATGTCACCTTATAGTCTCTCTGTGCTGGTTTATCACTAGATTGCTATAGCTCTTTGTGCTGTCTCTTGTTTACTACTTATATGTAGCTTCGCATATCTTTTACTCCACACTTCTGTAGTTCCACCTGCCTTGGGGCAGGTATATTCCATGGACATCTCATCCTTCCTCTTACATAGAGAGTTCAGTTGGTCTCTTTTCAGCGTTGGAATCAGGTACATATAACATGCAGAGGACTTTCCTGAACTTCACATCATGAACTTACAGTTACTGTCTCTCATGTTTTCTGTCAGTCCTTGTACCATAGTTCCATTAAACCCAACCTCTTTCTTATCCTATGATTTCTTCCACTTTATTTTCACTCCATTTATTTCCATTCCAAACTTTGTTCAATTCCTTCTCTCTCCCCACAGCTTCACAATTAAATTTATTCTTATTCCAAAATTTATTTAATAAAACATGAACTTGTACATGAAGAATCTTTTTATTGAATCATGGGCTTTCAATATTGAATGCCCTTGATTAAATGTAGGTAACACATTATTCTGTTAAATGTTTTGTTTGGCAATCTTTTGAACTTTGAAATAAATGTGGAACAAAAAACTATCCAAATGCGTTCCTTTAGTTTTACTCTGATAGCTAGGGCCATAGGCTTTTGCCAATAGAGATAATTTTTATTAAATAAAGAGGCCAGCCCAATCAATGTGTTTTTATATTTAGGGAAAGGATTCTATCACTGCTGCCATCTTTATATGGGCCCAAAACATATAGCTAGGACTTTATTTAGACAAAAATGTCCAAAATAGTACTTTGCCTCATTGCTATACCTATTTCTTATTTTTCAGAAGAGACCAATTGGTTTGCCTTAACAGAGTCATTGCTTTGGGACATCTTCCTGGTCTTATTATTCATTGTACAACACAGCATGATGGCAACACCAACCTGGAGAGGTCTCATATATAATCTAGGACTTGTTGTAGTTGAAAGAAGTTTCTACATTGCTGCAACTGCTTGGGCGCTTCAGGTATAAAGTGTTATTGATTGGGAGTCTTACATCAAGGCCCTATAATCAACCCCCTTCACCCTGTGTTCTGCTACTCAGTAAGAGGATGGGAGGGGGGTACAATATTGGAATGCAAGTTTAATTGATTGTTCTTTGTTTGGGCCTAGGGCCTCTAGAACGTTTTCTGTATTTGTGAAAATACATCTTTGAAAAAGAATGAAAAAGGAGCAGGTAGGTTATCGCAAACAATTTCAAAGAATTCTAACTTGAATTATGAATATTTTCTGATCATGAACATGGGTGTATCTTTTAGATCCATTCATTATCTTCAAGAAAAGTATCTCGTATAATGATAATTTAGTTAATCATACCTAAGTGATATTGAAGGGGCAATGGACCAATCAACATACTTTTTCAAAAATGTTGACCTAATTTTCACCAAAAATGCAACCTTTTGTTTTATTGTTGAATGCATAATTAGAATGTGCTTTGAGACATGTTCGATTTCCTAAAAAGAAAAGTTGATTGCTCCAGGGACTTTAAAGATACTGAATTTGGATGACCAAAATGAACTGAAATCAATGGAAAGCATGAGATCTTCAATGGAGAAATAACATGGGGAACACTTATCTTAAAGCAAGTTTTTCTCTCAAGAACTATTTGATACATCAAAATAAAGAATAGTAATTCATTAGACATTGTAAAAAATGATTGCATTTTTGGTAAAAATAGGCTTCTTTGAAAAAGTGTGTTGATGGGTTGATTGCTAGTTAAATATCTCTGTGTTTGTTTGACTTAATTATTACTGTATATGATTTTCTTTGAGATAATGAATTGATCTAAAAGATAAACCTGTCTTCATTGTCAGAAAATAGTCATAATCCAAGATATAACCAAGGGCGTTACAATACCCGGGAATTTATCGGTTCGTCCAGTACTTGTTTGTGATAGCGCCCTCTGTAGGTCACTGTGCTTATAGCCTACAGTAATACGGGGTAGGATATCAGGAATTCGGTCAGTTTCTATCCGTCGATTTCGCTATGAATTGAAGCAAGTGTGACCACTTTATCCACTTAAACAATTTGATAATTGATTAAATCTTTAAACAAAATCGATAAACATGTTATACACTTCCTATCTCCTTAGAAATTAGCATGTATTTATGGATTGTGTTTTCGAACAAGGCTCGACCCACACCAATAGGGAAATCCTTATGCTAATTAGTATGACGTCATATTTTCCTGGGGAATCCTAGATTTCAAAGCCTCAGTCTGTTATTGTGTCAAATGTAAACGCTCTTGGGACGCTCTTTTGCAGACAGAAAATTGACAGATTAGCTTTTAACTTTCAGCTTTGATGTTTAAATATTCTGTATTTCTACTGGACTTCTTGCTGAATATCATATAATGTTATAACTTGATTTGGACCATTGCCTGATTGATCATTCTGAAATTTTGATTGTGATTGGCAAGAAAAATAATTCCTATTGTTTTCCAGCGAAGTCAAAATGTTACAGCATGAGTTATAATGTCGAGTTTGCATCATCTTAAATTCTGCTAGTGATTAGAAGTCCATGCACAAGCATACACATACTAAGACAAACACACCCAGGCTCCAGGCCGTGGATGGAAATATAAAACTATTTAAGGCACAAACTGGTATTAATAGACCGATATGTAGTGTCTGCCATGTATTGAAGGTAAACCAATCTGCATTATTAATGTTTCTTCTATCAATACATGGATTGTGCAATGGAAAAGCAATGGCACAATCAAAAATGTGCATATCAATCGTGAATATCTCTCGGTTCAAAGCTTATTTCCAACGGAATCGTGTCAAAATATGTGTCTGAGTAACAGTTATACATTATAAGATCGCAAACTCTTACCAATTATCAGCCGAATGGCTCATTTTCAACGAAATGTCCTTAAGACAACAGCCCTGGGTCGCGCCTGAGACCAAAAACTACTTCAAATAGCCCTCCCCTAATTATATTGGATAATCACATTTATGCGTGCGCGCGCAGCTCATTCAATGAACGAAACGCCACTTCCCGCTGAAATCACCGGGTATTGATCTTTCCCTTGATATAACCTTCTGAAATTGTATGCGATAACCTACATGCTCCTTTGTATTTGAGATTGCAATAAAGTAGGTGTGGATCAGACTAATAAGCCATCTCATTTGGGTGACACTAGGAGATAGCTGACATGGCTTCTTAATATATCATGGCCTCACCAACCAACAAATAAACAAACAAACAAAAAGGCAAAGAAATACTGGAATTAGAATAAATTAATTCTTAGATATTCTGTCATGATCTACTATATGTTTTCTTATTATCCACCCAAGTATGCAAAAATCCATGTGTTGAGTAAAGCCAGTAAACATTTTCAGTCCCACATTCCAATCTAAAAACTCATTAAATTCTTGATTTTCTTTGATCAAACCTATGTCCAATCAGAATCTACAGTCAAAAAATAGGAAATAACATTAATATTTATGAAAAGTATATTGAGATTGTTCAGATCTTTTTGTATGGAAACTGCAAAATCACCTGTAAAGTCAGAGGATATTCTTGATATGTGGTATTTTCTAGGGTATTTTAATTATTTATTTCAGTACATAATGCAGAGCTGGCTGGTGATTCCAGACTATCCACTTTGGATTATTGATACCTCCCAGAGCACACCCTGGTGGTGGTTTTTCACACTAATCCACGTCATGGCTTGGATAATTATTTATGGAGCAACATTTACAATGGATCTACCTGAACTTCTTGGACTGAAACAGGTAATAAATAGTTCTAATATGGGATGGGCTCTGATTTTGAACTCCCGTGCAGTGATATATCACTGCGGCGTGCAGGTATCTCACCGTAAGCATGGTAACTTCGTAATAAACAACTGACGTGATTGGTTCTAGTCCCATGCTCAGGTCGAGTGATTGTAAAATTTAGACAATTTCATTGGTTGAACTAATTAACTAATATTATATATTAACAAATAAACAACACATGCTGTAAACTATTATCAACACAACTTTTACTCAGAATTCCTTCCGCGGTGATTTCTTCTAATATTTTCTTCATCTGCCCGCTGCAGTGTCTATACCGTGACACTGCATGGGAGTTCGCTCTGATTTGTACCATATGTCTTACTGCAAGATTCACAAATAAGGGCATACAGTAGGACCTGTATTTGTGAAACCTGATGGAGACGTGCAATGTTATAAGTCATGCATCAAGCCCAGATTATGTGAACTTTTTATTGGTTATTTTATCTTTGTATCTTGGAAGTTGGAATTACACATTTTGTTAAGATGATGAAGACAGGAATAAAAATTTAAATTGTTTTCTGGGGATGTGATTATTGGACCATGCAAAAGTTAGACCATGCAAAAGTTATCCAATAGGAGATTCAGGATATTGATTTTATCTAGAGGCAGAATATAGAGAAAAAATATATGTTGGAAAAAATAAGACTACAAACAATAAAATATGAAAATGGTCTACATTAATATTTATATTTCAATAATGAGAATATTTACATTTATATACACTGTACAGTTAACTGATTATTCCATTTTCCATTTGTTTATGAAATCTCATAAGAATGCAATTTTGAGATTCAGTTCCACATTTACTTTAGGTATATGTCCATTTGTAAAAACTTGCCCAGAGCCCAGTCCTCTCTTCCGAGGAATTTAGGAGGCCCCAATTTGAATTTCATTGTCAATCTTAGATTTTCTGTATATGACACCTGGTATCCAGTGTATATAAAATGCCATAAAAATTACTACATTTGAGGTGATGTCCTTGTAAAATCCCTCGTTATAATCAGAGGGAAGTGTACTTAGTGCCTGGTGATCCAGGGTAGGTTATTCATAGCTGCAATGGTTGTTGATGTAGAAATATTTTAACACAGATTTTGTTTCTCCTACCACCCATAGTGAATGTAGTCTGTGCTTCTGTCGGCAGGTGGCGCCCTGTGGACACCTAAAAATATAAATTATAGACAGCATATAGTCCAGTGTAAATTTATTCAAGGGGTGGGTGAACAATCGGTTAGTTAACAATCAGTGAAACTCTGTTAAATGCCCATTGAAAAATATGATGACATCATAGAGAAAAAGTACTCATGAAGTATTAAATGTGCATTTAATAATATAAAATGAAAAAGTATTCCAACTGAAAGTTTTTCATAACAGAGCGATTGAAATTATATTTTAGTGATAATTTTAGTTTTTGACTTACTCTGGCCTTGGTGATAGATCAGAACAGTCTCCCCTGCTATATGCCTGGAACACCCCCTCCCCCTTGAGTATTGTCCATGGTCCTTCTCGAGGGACATCATCTAGCTGCTCTGGGGCTGGACCAAACCACACATCTCTGCAACCATTAATGAAAATTTACCAAACAACTTATCAGCTCAAACATTACATATGTAAATAGTATTGAACATTATATATATGCAAATAGTATTGACCATTACATATGCAAATAGTATTGACCATTACATATGTAAATAGTATTGAACATTACATATATGCAAATAGTATTGAACATTATATATATGCAAATAGAAATGAACATTGCATATGCAAATAGTATTGACCATTACATATGTAAATAGTATTGAACATTATATATATGCAAATAGTATTGAACAGTACATTTGCAAATAGATATGTAAATAGTATTAAACATTACATATATGCAAATAGTATTGACCATTACATATGCAAATAGTATTGAACATTACATATATGCAAATAGTATTGAACATTATATATATGCAAATAGAAATGAACATTGCATATGCAAATAGTATTGACCATTACATATGCACATAGTATTGAACATTATATATATGCAAATAGAAATGAACATTACATATATGCAAATAGTATTGACCATTACATATGTAAATAGTATTGAACATTATATATATGCAAATAGTATTGAACAGTACATTTGCAAATAGATATGTAAATAGTATTAAACATTACATATATGCAAATAGTATTGACCATTACATATGCAAATAGTATTGAACATTACATATATGCAAATAGTATTGAACAGTACATTTGCAAATAGATATGTAAATAGTATTAAACATTACATATATGCAAATAGTATTGACCATTACATATGTAAATAGTATTGAACATTATATATATGCAAATAGTATTGAACAGTACATTTGCAAATAGATATGTAAATAGTATTAAACATTACATATATGCAAATAGTATTGACCATTACATATGCAAATAGTATTGAACATTACATATGCAAATAGATATGTAAATAGTATTAAACATTACATATATGCAAATAGTATTGACCATTACATATGCAAATAGTATTGAACATTACATATATGCAAATAGTATTGAACATTATATATATGCAAATAGAAATGAACATTGCATATGCAAATAGTATTGACCATTACATATGCAAATAGTATTGAACATTATATATATGCAAATAGAAATGAACATTGCATATGCAAATAGTATTGAACATTACATATGCAAATAGTGTTGAACATTACATATATGCAAATAGTATTGAACATTACATATGCAAATAGTGTTGAACATTGCATATGCAAATAGTATTGAACATTACATATATGCAAATAGTATTGAATATTACATATGCAAATAGTATTGAACATTGCATATGCGAGAGTATTGAACATTACATATGCAAATAGTATTGAACATAACATTTGCAAATGGAATTGAACATTACATATGCAAATAGTATTGAACATTACATATATGCAAATAGTATTGAACATTACATATGCAAATACTATTGAACATTACATATATGCAAATAGAAATGAACATTACATATGTAAATAGTATTGAACATTACATATATGCAAATAGTATTGACCATTACATATGCAAATAGTATTGAACATTATATATATGCAAATAGAAATGAACATTACATATGTAAATAGTATTGAACATTACATATATGCAAACAGAAATGAACATTATATATGTAAATAGTATTGAACATTACATATACGCAAATAGTATTGAACATTACATATATGCAAATAGTATTGAACAATACATATGCAAATAGTATTGAACATTACATATGTAAATAGTATTGAACATTACATTTGCAAATAGTATTGAACATTACATTTGCAAATAGTATTGAACATTACATATACAAATAGTATTGAACATTACATATATGCAAATATTATTGAACATTACATATGCAAATAGTATTGAACATTACATATGTAAATAGTATTGAACATTATATATATGCAAATAGTATTGAATTATACATTACACATATGCAAATAGTATTGAACATTACATATATGCAAATAGTATTGAACATTACATATGAAAATAGTATTGAACATTACATATGCAAATAGAATTGAACATTAGAGTTGCAAATAGTATTGAACATTACATATATGCAAATAGTATTGAGCATTACATATGTAAATAGTATTGAACATTGCATATGCAAATAGCATTGAACAGTACATTTGCTAATAGTATTGAACATTACATATGCAAATAGTATTGAACAATACATATATGCAAATAGTATTGAACATTACATATATGCAAATAGTATTGAACATTACATATGCAAATAGTATTGAACATTACATATATGCAAATAATATTGAATGTTGCATATGCAAATAGTATCCTTGCAGATGCAAATAGTATTGAACATTACATTATGCAAATAGAAATAAACATTACATATGGAAATAGCATTCAACATTACATATGCAAATAGTATTGAACATTACATATATGTAAATAGTATTGAACATTACATATATGCAAATAGCATTGAACATTACATATGCAAATAGTATTGAACATTACATATGCAAATAGTATTGAACATTACATATGTAAATAGTACTGAACATTACATATGTAAATAGTATTGAACATTACATATATGCAAATAGTATTGAACATTACATATGCAAATAGAATTGAACATTACATATATGCAAATAGTATCGAATGTAATGTAACCACCAGGACCGGTTCATCCTTTATCATTTAATTAGTGAAATTAAACCTGCACATCGCTCCAAAACGCAATATGTTGACATATATTGTTTTTACATTTTTAAGCTCTAATATAAAGTTTATGTAAATAAAAATTGTTTTTTTCTGCGTTATATCAAAGAACAATCATTTAATTAAAAAAAATAAAAAGGCGAACGCGGGATTCGAACCCGGGCCTCCCGCGTGCTAAGTGAGAATTGTACCCCTAGACCCCTAGACCACCGTCTTATGTTGGAAGTAATTAAACGCTACTTATTTTGAATGCTATGATTCGGAAGTGACGTCACGTTCTTCATTTAGAAACTTTTCCAAAATCATATCGTCGGCGCCGATCGAAGCAATTCAATGAATAATCTTTGAAATGACACATTTATCGTAAGTATTTCTACACAAGATTTGCCCCATTTGTTCATCATTCTATAATCTTTCATTAAGCTCAAAATGATAAAGTTCACCCCCGAAACAACCCAAGATTGCGTTTCGGAGCGCAGTCCAGCTTTAAGTAACAATCAAATTAGCGGTAAGTAAAACTTATAAAAATCCTTCAAAAAGTGTGTACCAACATCACTTTTATGAAACTCAGTTGCTTATTATGGCAAAAATATCTGAAGAAATCTGAAAATAAACAGAACTGTTTTTGATAATTTGATCTCGAATTGACCCGCTTCCTTGTATACTGAACCAATGCAATGATAAAATTTGGTCTCTAATCTCATAATAATGAGATCATCTACGATGCACCGGAATAACACCATAGTTTGTAAACATTCTAAACTGGATATCCTTTCATTTCAACGTCATACTATGAGGTAATGCATATACTACCCTCATTCAAGGATATATTTTGAAACATTCTTTTTCACAATTCAACAGTTTTGGCATTTCCTTGCTATAGAGCTTTTAAAAACATGTGTATACACACTTTTGCATGATAAAAAATGAATCACTGTAGGAACATATTTTGATAATACATGTAGTGTTCATTTCGGACAGGTGTTCACTAACAGAGGTGTTTATTAAATAGATGTCACATAATTAACAAGTTTCCAATATTTTACTTACGTTCTACAACAAAGGTCATTGTCAGCATCCCGTTTTACTCTTTCTTTTTGAGCTGTATTTAAGTTTTGGATTTGTTCAAGCGTAAAAAACTGCCCTGGGAATTCTTTTCTGAGGTATTCATCCTTGGTCACTGAGGTTTGGGGATATGCTGAAACAACAAAAATATGATCAACAAATACATGTTTATGAGCTTTAAAAGTTACCTGAAATTGAGCTTTAAAAGTTACACAAAGTTTAAAAAAAATATAAAATGAAGTAACAGTTGAACTTTATAATGTTCATCATATAACAGAAATATAACATGAAGTTAGAAATTAAAAAATTAAACTAGGAAAAACTTCATTGTTTCCTGGAATTCCTGAAAGTTATAACCTTAAAAATGATATGTGAGTATAGAATTTAAACAAGGTGCAATGATAACCAACCATATAAAGTCAAGGGAGTGGTATCGATATGGAGAACTTTTTGAACACACGTTTCTCTTAAACCAGTCATAAAAAAATCTAAAAATTTTACGCATCGTCAATTTAATGGTCATCTTTTGAATCGTAACAATATAATTTGAAAAATATATACTTTCATCTATATTGTTTAAGAAAACACATCAAACACTTGTTTTGTTCTTTGTATGATGTTTCCAGAGTGAGATGAAACATCTTTCCGAACCTCATTGGAACAAAACGACATAAACACAACATGTTTAGGTCTTTCAATATTGTAATTGTATAAAGGAAATCTTGGTTGATTTTAAAAAAGTATCTTGTTAATGAAATAGAAGGTTTATCTTGATTTTTATCTATTTTGGGGAGATTTTGTTTTAATTTTTTGAATAAAATTAAAATCAACCAAAAATTCCTTTGTATAAGTACATGTATAATATTGAGAGGTCTAAAAACATGTTGTATATGCTATTTTGTTCCAACAAGGTTCGGAAAGACATTTTATTTCATTCTCAAGAATTGGTAGAAAGGAGCAAAAACATTTGCACTAAAAAAACAAAAATGTTAACAAAAACAGTTATACAAAATATTTCTAAATAATTTTCGCATTAAAATGTTTTCAATGATTGGTTTAAGAGAAAAACATTGTTGAATTCAATTCACCATATCGATACCACTCCTTTGTGTAAACTGAGCTGAGGAATCGTCTGAAAACTTCCACACTTTTCCAGTTGGAGTTTTGGAGGTAGTAAAAATTACTTGAAAACCTTGCCTTCAAATTACTTAGTATAGGTGACAGTGGATGGATTTTTTCTTGTTCGTGTATTTGTTTGTTTGTTTACTTACCAACTGGGTGATCTAAAGCAATTCTGCCTGTCTGACTATATCTCATATTAGGAGGTAGTGATTTCTGAATGACTGGGAATAAGTTTGATGACCCTCTGGCGTATCTAGGTTTGCCCCCTGCCCCTCTTACTAAACACAGCACATGAACAAGGAAAACCTAAAAGTAATTAGGCCCCATTAATTCAATATTTAATGAAAAAGTAATTATGTTTTAAATAAAATGTTGTGAAAGATGTATGGAAAGTGTATGTGTATATATTAATAATGCACAAATATATGTGTAAAATACATGTTTAAGATTTGATTTTATTTTACTGAGAACTTTAATTTACATATAAAATTAAAATCAGAATAATGTTGAATTCTAATTAACTACATGTGCATTTAATCTTTTGATGGATCCTCAAATATTGATAGAATACATAAAATATTCAATAATTTTAGAATACATAAAATCCTTATCTTGTCAGTTTGTCTTAAGTCTAAGTTGTTACTTTACCTGGCAAGGTAGCGCATACCACATTTTGAAGATCAATCAATTTCAGGGTCTTTGGATGTCCAGCAACAAACTTTACACTTGACTTTCAATACCACAGACTATCAAACTCCTAATCATGTGGCCAAAAATTAATCCCTGAGATCATTCATTTTTATGGTTTTGTCTGTTTCTTTCTTTATTCTGCATTATATCCTGGTGTATTACCCCCGTCGTGTTTTTGTCAACCAATGTTTGGCCACTAAATTGTGCACCTAGGTGGTTTGACGTATGAACATTTTTCTTTTGTATTTCTTGGTCAGCACTTCCTCAGTACACTTGGAGTACTATACAGGGGACATTCAAATAGTTATGCTAATTCCCGACCACAATATTTGTAGATAAATCGTAAATCCTGTGTTTTACATGAACTTTAATTCCAAGTCAGTCACTTCTTTTATTTCTATTAAAGTTGCTCTTAACTTTTTAACATCAGTTTGTGTTTGTTTGATTGACATGTCACAATCAAATAAAAGGTAAATGTCAATTTGATTATTTACAGAGTTGTTTGAAAATGCATGAAAATATTGAGTTTACAGTATATTTGAGTCATTATTTTGCAATATAAATGGGTGAACCATAATTATACGCATACATTTTTATACCTTCTTTTGTACCTTCATAGAAATGTATAATTATCTAACATATACCTGCAATATTACTGAGAGACCTTGCTGAATGTGAATGAATGAATGAATGAATGAATGTGTACAGGGTTAACTTTAGCTATAAATAATTAAAAATAAAAATTTGTTTTTTCTGAGAATCATTGACTACATTTACTGTAGTTTCCTTATTATGAAATATCACTGATAGAAAATTGCAAAAATATGATATTATTTTTAATTAATATGCTGAGGTTATACCACTTTATTCATCAAATGGTACATCACTTCTAATATCAATTAAATAATTAACACCTCATTAATGAAGCAAAGAGAGCAAGTTCACATATTACAATTATGACTCATGATACCTGGGAGGCAAAACATGTGGTTAACCTCGTTGCTATGGTGATGCTTTCTGAAGTCATCATTTACTTCTTTATTATCAATGAACAAAATTACTATGATTGATAAGTTGTAAGATATGGCATTAACTGCTTCAAGAAAATGATATTCTGCTCTAAATTATTTCACGAAATCATATATTTACAGCTTTAGATTTGATGTTGTTTCATACTATTATTGGTATATTCTACAGATAGATGTCACTACCTAAGAATTGTGCACCAGAGCAAAATGTATTCATCAATGTGCTTCCTTGGGTAATATCAGTTCACAAAGTTGTTGAAAATTTAAAACAAAAATCCATGTTTTTAATGTAGAAAAACTCAATGGCACTAACTTTTAGTGGTCACCTGCATTAATGCATCAACTTCACTTATATTTCAGTGTATGAATGTAAAGTAAAGTGGTAGACATGGCTTTTAGGAATCTCAACCTGTCGCTCATGATAATTATGGCAGATAATTGCAGTATTTTCTTTACATAACATTATTAGATAATTGCATTACATTACCATGTATTGTAAACCTTGTACCATTTACAATACATTTTGGATGTACAGTAAAACCACTGTGGGTGCACAGTGTTCACTGAACTCTATTGGGACAAAGATCAAGATTGTTCAAAATCCTATTGATGGCATGGGTGTCAGAAGGGGGGTGGGGGGGGGGGGGGGTTCTGTTGGTTGCAAAAAGTGCTAGAAAAGAACTATTTATAGTCTTTGAAAATGCTCAGATTACACCAAATTATGTCTTCAATGAAATAAATTCATCAGAGGAGCATGCCCTCGGACCCCACCCCCCCCCCCCCCAATATGCGTGACTGTTTTTTCTGGGATCAATTTTGTATATTTAGAGACCCCGGGGGGTTCACTGTATGAAAAAATTCTGTGGGGGGTCCTAGGCTGAACTCTCAGATATCAATATGTTCCCATGCCAATCTGTCAAATTTCAATGTGTTCCCATACCGACCAAAATAACGCCCAAAAGCCACACCAAATGTCCAAATATAGAACCGATGCCATACCAAATATCCAAATATAATACCAATGATATTCAAAATATCTTAAGCCTCGGGAAGAAGGCAGATCTTTGAGGAAAATGATCCAAAACAACCTCAAATTAAGAATATGCGTAACAGCTAGACCAATGCCATACCAAAAGTTCACTGTAAACCTCAGAAGTCATAATTTGGGGGGCATTCTCATACCAGATCCTAAAATTTGGGTCCATTGCCATACCAAATGTCAAAAAAAGGTACCCCATGTGCGTCGAGGATCCCCGTCAAGGTTTATATACAGTGAAGTTAGAGACTGACCCATTTTACAAAAATGTATTAGACAAATATTTGCATGAATCTTTCTGTATGCTTTCAGGTGTACTATTACGCATATGGATACAACCCACCGATTACATTCAAATCAAAGGGGACCCAGAAGCTGTACCGACACATGCGTCACCCTGGGGCATGTTGTCTAATCGCAATATTCTGGCTTCATCCAGTCATGACCCTTAGCCGATGTCTTCTGGCAGGCTTTTGGACAATTTATTTGATGTTTGGATTTAGCGTAAAAGAAAAGGATTATATATATCTGTGCGAACAACTAAGTCGTAAGCAGATGACGTCCAGTCACTGGGAAATGGTTGCTGAATACCATGAAGAAGAAGTAGTGATGGAGAAATAATCTTATTGAGCTTTAATGGATATTACCAAATTGGTGACTCTAGACAACAGTTATTAATATTTAAAGAACATTGTTGTAAAAGGTGGAGGATTTAATCTAAAGAATGCATTTAAATATCATGCTCAGCTTGTTAAAACTACTTTTGTAGCATATTTAAGGACATCATCGTGTATTTTGTGAACAGGAGTGTGGCCAATTTCTTAGAATTAATGTCGATAGGGTCAAGGTCAATTTATCATTGTACAGCCACAAATGTTAATACATTTTGGACAAGGTTGATTGACAGAGTTTTTAAATGAAGTTGCTTCTAATTTGAAAAAAATTCAAGACTGTCACTCTCAAAATGTTATAGCGATATTGGATAAGATTGAAATATTGACATGGCCCCTTAAATGTAATATTGCTTTTTAAAGAAAAGCTGATTTTTATAGTTCATTAATAAAATGAATATGACGGGGTGTTTAAAATGATGAGAATTTTCCAAGGAAAAAATTGCCTCCAAAGCACTGTACTTTTATTAAGCCTTGGTATTAAGTTATATAGTTTAAGAATATTGTAGAATTATACAATATAATGAATGTTCATGGTAAAATTAATATTATTTTACAAAATATAGTGCCATAATAATACAATACACACCAAACTTAGATTTGCAATTGAACTTCTTGAATTTTAAAACATTTGGTGCTCTTTTTATATAAATAGTATATAATTATACATGTATGTACACATATTAAATGCTTATACATTTGTACTTTATAACAGCATGTTATTTATTAAAATTTTGTGATTATTATACAATTCTCTCTTTGTATTGCATTCCTGACTATTTTAAAATTTACTCATTTCAATAATCAGCTTATAAGTAGGAGTTTACTTACTACTCCTAAACATAACATGTTTTTCATTTTATTTTATCAATTTTGTCATGGTTTTAGGATCTGACAAAAGCTATACCATTTTCCCAAATTAATTGAAATATAGCATAGTACTGAGAGTTAAAATGGTATAATAATTGAATGGAATGATTGAATTGAAAATTGTATATAACTGCATAGTTTTGAATATTTTTTTTATATTACATGTACTACAATAATACAGTTGTATTTATAATTGTTATCTTATTGAAAATATGAAAACTTTCTGAAATTATGTTCTAAAACTTGTTATGAGATACAGGACTAGAAGAGATTTTTTCAAAAGATTTATCTTGGGGAAAATAAGTTTATACCTCTCTTTCTAATATACACAAATTTTAGAATCTACATGTCATATTTTAGTGCTTTTTGATAGAAAATGATAGAGTCTGTGCTACTTAAATGCAATACATCAACACAGTTTTATTTTTTACCCATGTTACTTTATTTTGAACTTCTTAAAAGTTCAGATATTCATGAATAAAAGTGTATTGATGAAAGCCTTCTTAGAAATAAAAATGAAATGAAATTTTAGCTTATATCTTATAAATAGTGTGCACTATTTGAAAAACATTAACCCTCATGAAACAATACTTGCCTGTGTTTTTATTTTGATAGCCAATGGATAGTTGGGTTGGTAGAGCTTTAAAATTAGTATTACATGTAAACCCATTTATTAACCTTTGGATTATCTTGGTGACCTTGACCTTCCTTGGCTTTGATCTTTCCTGAGCCCAGTACAAGAACATAAGTGTAGCCAGGGCCTCTTTAAAATTTTATATAAAAATATTTATGCACACATTTTTTCAATTAAAACCATGAAGTCTAAGGATGGATCTCCCTTTGCCACTGTGGTCCCTCATGAAATACACATATTTCCCTCAAGGTAAAACCTGTATCCAAAACCTCCTAGATAGATATTGTGTCAAGTGTGGAAGAAATTGAAGATTTAAAATTACTAATTGACCAAATTGAATTGATTTTGATATTAAATGTTTGAACAAAAAACTATTTTCAGTAGACTATGTTTATGATGTTTATAACTAATATTATGATTTAAAGATGGCATAGCTGCATACCTTCTGGGAGGTTCACAAGGATGTATATGCATGCTGTATCTGGCCTTTACCACAAATAAAATGCAATAAAGATATTGTTTGATTGTCTGTGTGGATATCCACATTTATGATAATGACATATGCATTAAATCCACGTCCCATGCTGCAAGGGGTATGACTTGAGACTAAGATTTTATAAATTAATCATCACAACAGTGTGTCCCAAAAAAAAGGAAACCGGCAATAGATTGCTTATTTCTCAAATATGAATAATAATAAGAAAATTTCACAGCTACCATCTGATAGGTTATGATGTCCTTTTTCTGATGATATCAAAGGTGTTTATTTTTCTCCACGGATGACTGAGTTCTAAGAGATTTAAGTGACCATTAAATTTTTAAATTTTCCTATCATTATTCATATTTGAGAAATAAGCAATCTATTGCTGGTTTCCTTTTTTTGGGACACCCTGTATAAAGAGTGAAACTGTTCATGATAGAGACATAGTGGACTTTTTATTTTCAAATGACATTATTAAAAAAGTATTCCAAAACCCAATGCTACTGGGGTCCGTTTTTGAAACTGTCGTAACTTACGATTTGGTCGCAAGTCATTGTTCCTTAAAACAGAGACACATGGATTTCTCGGAATCGTAAGTTACGATCGTACGAAAAACGAACCCCTGGATCCTAACTCATTTAAGAGTGAATGGTTTTTGAATAGGTTCCAGCCATGAACCAAGAGTCTTCGTCACAATATTAGCAAATTGGATGGTTAATTTTCCAGCCACCCATCCGTTATACCTCTTTAGAGTCTGTCACCATCGATGGATGTTGGGATCCAGAGACATTTGGAAAAATGAGTCTAGTTATAAGAAAATTGGGTCAAATTTCAATGCCTGAGCTTAACTTTCGTAATCACATTGCTATACTAGTATAGAAATATCTGTTGGGGTTGGGGTTTTTCTCCAGGTCCATGGGGAGACACAAGACTTTTGGATACATGATGTTCATATTGGAATGAGAATAGTTGTCAATTGTTTCACATGACCAAAGACCATGACCAGAGACTAGAATACTATGGCTTCTAAAATATAGAGAGCCCCTGGGAGAGAACCCCCTCCTCACAATCATTCAAGATTGAATACACTCTCATTTACTGAAGAAATTCACTTGTTTAATGTCATAATTTTATCAGTGCGTTTCATGAACTAACAAGACGTGTTGAGGTTTATTATAGATTGTTTATATATTGTTTATTAATGTCATGGGCTTTCAAAGTTGAAAGCCCATGTTAATGTTAAATACGGTGAATCCACTTTATGTTACACTATTCATGTTAATGCCAGTGTAATGCTTTAGAAATGAACACGTGCTCCGGGCTGTAAATATTTACTTTTTACGCCACGCCCACCTGAAACTTTAGCCAATCAAAATAGAGCAATAGATATCATGAATAATTTATCAGCTCAAAGTTCGTTTGACAGCGCACTTGCTAGCAATCATTTCGATCAGAAAGCTTAGAAGAGTCCACACGGTTGTTTTATATTTGTACTTGAAATCATGGATGGCGGTGGTGATTCTATGCCAACAACCGTTGCAGGGTCCGGTGTACCAAATGAAGCTGCACTTCTTGCACTTATGGAAAAATCTGGATATCAGATGTTACAAGAAAACGGTCAGAGAAAGTATGGGGGACCGCCACCAAACTGGGAAGGCCCAGCTCCTCTAAGAGGATGCGAGATCTTCATTGGGAAAATTCCCAGGGACTGTTACGAGGATGAACTTGTTCCCGTCTTTGAGAAGGTTGGGAAAATATATGAGTTGAGGTTGATGATGGACTTTAGTGGTTCGAATAGGGGCTACGCTTTCGTTATGTACACAAACAAGGCTGATGCCGTCAAAGCCGTCAAAGAATTGAACAATTATGAAATTAGAAAAGGGAGGCTTCTAGGAGTTTGCCTCAGTGTCGACAACTGCAGACTATTTGTGGGAGGTATCCCTAAAAATAAGCAAAAGGATGAAATCCACACTGAAATGGATAAAGTGACGGAGGGAGTTGTGGACGTGATTGTTTACCCCAGTGCACAAGATAAAAGCAAAAACAGAGGCTTTGCTTTTGTCGAGTATGAAAGCCATAGGTCCGCGGCAATGGCGCGGAGAAAGTTGATCCCGGGTAGGATCCAGTTGTGGGGGCACCAGATAGCTGTTGACTGGGCAGAGCCCGAACAAGAGGTCGATGAAGAAGTCATGAAAAACGTAAGTAACTTGAACTTGAAAAAGTTTATTCATTCGCCGTCTGAAAAGTGGACATTGATGCAATAGGCCAGAGTACACAAATAAATAAAACTTGTATAAAACTTTTATTGTTTGGAAAACATTGTACGGTGGTGAAATTATGTAAATCATACTTTCTGTTTTCATTCACAAAATGAACGTAGGAAAATTGATAAGTTTGAACCCCGCTAATTTTGAAATGAAAAGACGGCCATTTTGATAAGATCAAAGAACAGGACAAGACTGGCGCTAAAATTTAACTTCTTATTCCATACAAAAATTTGAAAAAAGTAGGGATTATCAAGACATTTCAACGCCGGATTTCAATGATGATTTGAAATACATTTGATTACGAACCTAAATTAGCAATAAATTTACAGGGAATTTGAATAGTTGATTATTATTTCAACCGTAGAAAACATCATGTGAAGTAATCACAATTAATTTCCCACAGCAAGTCAAACGTCAAAGCCACGCCCACTCAAACTTAATCTGCTGCCCTGGAAAATACTTCAAATAGATTGTTGAAGGGGGGGGGGGTTTAAGAGATTTCATAAAAGAGGTATTTGGCCAGAGATTTCACTTAAATGTGCAACAATTAGTGCAGAGGGGCCACTCGACAACGATCATGGACCAGTGTCAAAGTATATTTAGTTTGGATATTTCATCAAGACTAACATACATTTTTATAATCTACAAAGAAACCCCCTACCCTGGTTTATTATTTCAGCTGATATTCATCTTGAAACGGGTTGGATCTTAAAAATCTATAAGTCACGCCTAACCATCGACAAGGTACAGTCACGTGACCGTGACAAAATATGCCGTAGTACACTTTTGATGTACAATGTCACTATTAACTGATTTTAAGCAAAGACTATGATGTAGGTTTGATGCAGGTTTTCAAAAATAAATTTGAGGAATACAAAAAGGATTTCCTGTTTGATTTCGCGTGTATTCGATTTCAAAGACATTTATTTTTCTAATTACGTTAAAAGATCTTCGAGCAGTGCTCGATTTTTTTCGTTGTACGTCTACCCATACAATTGTTCTGTTGGAAAAATGTTGTTTTTTACACATTTCCTTTGATAATTTTCTCCCCTGACGTTTCGGAGTGTCGAATATTTTAATGAGAATGTGTTTCTCTAAACTGCACAATTTAAGACGGGTTAAGATTTAATAAATATTCATGCATTTGGTATAATTAAAAAAATCAGAAATGTACGTTGTCAACTCACAGTGTATGTTGTCCCTGTAATTGAAATTCATGAGTTATAATATTAAACATTGCAATGATTTAATTTCAAAATGCATTAAGGGTTTTATGCGTAACAAGTGATGTTCAACGAACATGCTGCTGTATCCCTAGTACAGATAAACAGGTAAGCGTGATATCTTCCGACCTTTTTGGCCACTCGGCGTCGGTACGTTACGTTATGTTTAGTTGCACTTTTATGAATTTTAATAATCTCAAGGAATTCATGGAGAGATCTATACTAGCAAGATGAAATTTATGCTATAGGGTGTCCCGAAAGTATACCAATGTCTCCATAGTATGTGTCATATATCATTTTAAAGCTTATTAATTAAAGTCAGTTTTACACCAAAACAATAGTCGGTGTGTCTCCTTAGCCACCATGTTAACAGCAGCAATACTTTCCATATATGACCTTAAACAGGCTTCAAATAGGGATATGGCGTTTTGTAATCCTCATGAAACCTTTTTAAGGCATAAGAAGAGTTTCCTTGGAGTATCTACCCTAAACGTCATCTTTTTAGAACTCAATAGCCATCCTATCTTCGAGAACAGCACCCATATTTTCTGTCACAGGGTCAGGGCTGTTTCCAGGATACTGAAATGAACTATCTTTTTGACAAAACGCTAATTTTTGAAATGCCTGTTACTTTTTACCATTTGAACCATCATATTTGGCAAATCAATGTAACTTTGGATAAGTTTAAAAATGATATATGACACATACTATGGAGACTAAGGAGGGGGGCATACTTTGGGACACTGTATATCTGGAAAGTGCAGAAGTTCAAAAGGGCCAGGTATGGAACACAAAAAAAAGAATTAGTAACATTGACATTTAATCATATCAATGACAATTTTATGGATTAACGGAAAAAATATTAGGGTAAATATATCTGATATGCCTATTAAATATTATTACTTTATTATCAAATATGTTCCTTCTATTACACGTACATTATAGCATTTCATTCACTGTAAAATTAACTGTGAATTGAGATCTGTAAGGCCAATGTGACAACATACATTCGAGTTGACAACATACATTATCTATTTTTCGTAGTAGCATCCAAAGTAAAAAGCGGTTTTGCATTAACTCTGAATGTATATTTGTATACTTATCTTAAGTTGTGTTAGTCGTAGTTTGGCTGTTATTTGCATAGCAAAACAAAACTTAGAGAGAATTTTGAGAAAATCAGTCAAGATTTAGAGATCCCTGACGTGCTGGGTAGATCTATAACAAGATATTGAAGTTGCTGAGGATCATTTAAAGTAGATATGCATAATTGCAACTTAATTACAAATCGAATGCAACAACTACCTGATGATGAACTGACACAATATTGATCAAATCAATGCTAGTTCTTTCCTCGCTTCCTCATTCTAGAAAATGGCGATCTAAAATGGCGGAAATGACATAGTACATCAAAAGTGTACTACGGTATATTTTGTCAATGTCACGTGACTGTACGTTGTCGATGGTCAGGCGTGTAAGTGGGACTCCTTTTATAGAAGCGTTGAACTGAATTTATACTTCTTAATGCTGAAATTGATAGTTCACTATACATTTAAGAAAATAGGTATGTCAAAGAAGATGTTAAGCCAAGTTGCCCCGATAGATGCCCTATCCCCTGATAGCTCAGAAAAAGTAAAAATTTTGAAATTTTTTCTCTACAGGCCTTGTTGCCCCTTTAATTATTACTGTGGAATGTGCTTAGGGAACACACCTGTTTTTAAATGCTCTGCTAAATCAGAATGTCAACTTGCTTCTTGATAGATATGTCTATCATCTACATGGTAAGTCTTGCATATCCCCATAAATGTGGGGTTGATTTTTCAAATCACCCCCACAACTACTTGTGCATTGAAAACTTGGGGTTGTAAAATGTTGTCAGTAGTTGACACAAAGCTGAATTTTATCTAAATAACCACTAATCCATCTTATTTTACAACCTCAAGTTTTCAAAACACAAGTAGTTGTGGGGGTCCACATTTATGGGGGTAGTCTTGCACACATGCTATCATGATGAAATAGAATACTGCAAATTATGAAATGTGCAAACCCTAGTGCATTTCCACATAACCTTCTTTACTGGTAGAACACATTAAGTACATTTCATTGGATGTATTATTACAAATCCATACTGAGACCATGAAAGATCCTAAATGTTTCAATATAGTGCATGTACAAGTACCATTGAACCAAGTCAATTTATCCCAATCTTTGTATTGTGGTGGCTATTAAGATTTCAGTTGAAGTGTGCCATTACAGCTTTGCATAATCATCTTTTATCATCACCCAGCTAGTTGAACATTCATAAAATAAGGAAATACTTTACTCACTTCGAGAGCCATGTTAGATTTTGAAACTTATGGCTCTCAAACGGAGAAGTGAACAGCTAATCAATCGTGACTTTTGAAATCGAATTAAGTCGATCCGCGGCTTACTTTTGGTCTCTAACTGTGTCTTGCATCAGTATCATCAATCCGTGTAAGTATTGGAGCGCTGGAGTACTTCTTTTTCGATCAAGACTTGTAAATTGTTCATCGAGTTAAAGATTTACAGACCTATTTCCAATATGGCGGTTTGCTAGGTGCGAGATACGCAACGAACGAAATGAATTTTGAGAATTAGTTAGGTTCGGACAACCTCCGGAGATTTACGAAAATGTCCGAGCAGAAACCGCCGTATTGGAATTTGGCAGTAAAACGATTCACTCGACTAAACAATTACAAGTCTTGATCGAAAAAGAAGTACTCCAGCGCTCCAATACTTACACGGATTGATGATACTGATGTAAGACACAGTTAGAGACCAAAAGTAAGCCGCGGATCGACTTAATTCGATTTCAAAGGTCACGATCATTGAGCTGTCCAAATGCTCCGTGGGAAAGCTATTATATCAAAATCCAAATAGCTTTCGCAGGAAGTAAGAAATACTAACTATCTACATGTTTGTTTACCTCAATTCTTTCCTCATTTACAATGTCTATTGCATTTTAAATAATTCAAAGCACAATCTCAGAAAATGTACACCTCCAATCCGCACTCTAAAATCATGGTACTAAACTGGTAACTGGTACCATACCAAAATCATGGTACTAAACTGGTACTGTTGTAGATTGGCTGTGTACCCTATCCAGTATCCAATATTTTGTTTCTTCAAAAGAGAGCTTCAATTACCCTCCCAAGTTAATGTTAAATCAGACACTCTTAGGAATTTAGACCCAACATATATAAACTATTTCATGAATTTACTTTGGAATTAGATGATGTAAATAAAAGATTAATAGAACAATATATGTGTATGTTAATTTTATTTGTTAAACCTGTCTCTGTATTCCCCAACCCCTCCCTCCCACTTTTTACTGATAGCATACAGAGTGTCTCGAAAGTATTGGACCTCCCCTAGGCGGACATACCAATGTCTCCAATCATCATGGTGTGTGTCATATATTATATGAAATCCCAAGTTACGTTGATTTGCCAAGTATCATGGTTCGACTCTCAAATGCAAAAACATCATTGGCATTTCAAAATATAGTGTTTGGCTAAAATTAAAGTTCAGTTCAGTATCCCCTCCCTATCTGACCTATATTAGAGAAATAATGGGGGAGGGGGGCTACAGTAGCTACTAGCTAATCGAAGTGTAGGGACTGGGGGAGATGGACTTCAAACTGTGAACTCAGACAATGTGTCATCAAATCTAGGACAACCGGCATCTATATCCAGGCAAAGGCTAGACAATGTGGTGCTAAGTTGATCACACCTTTCATCTGGAATATAAAATTGTTTAATTTCCAGATTAAATATTATGATAATCTGCTCTAGTTATCTATTCATAAAAAAAAGTTATATAAGATGAGATTTTCAAAGAAAGTTGTCTATAATTCCTTAGAAAATCTTTTCATCTTAAAGATGTAAGGTGTCTGATAGCCATAATAAGATTAACTGATATCAATATTATGCAATATATTGTTGTCTCTTGATGTTATGATTCAACAAGAGATCTTTTGAACTTTTTCTCTCAATCACTTGTCAAAATTCTTGCTGAACTGCACCCCTCCCTCCTACCATACTTTTACTCTCCCTGTGAAGGTTTAGTCTTGCTTCAAGACTCGCCCCCCCCCCCTCCTACTTTTATCCACTGTTGTTGAAGTAGACTAGGGGAGGGGGTTCAGGGTCTTGAAGCAAGACTATGTAAAGTTCTGGAAAGAAATCATTCTGAGGTCAGTCATGTCAGTGGGGAGGGGGTACTAAAGATAGATGCAGGACTTTTGTGCAACCTAGAACCTAGACTGTGCAAAATTAGATTATGAAATAAAATAAACCTAATATGCGCATGTTTACAGGTGAAGATCTTGTATGTGAGGAACCTCATGCTCACAACAACAGAAGAAACTTTAGAAGAGGTGTTCACCAAAGCTGCTGGAAATGACGGCTGTGTTGAGAGGGTAAAAAAAATTAGAGACTATGCCTTTGTGCACTTTAGAGAAAGGCAAGACGCCATAACTGCCATGCACCAATTGAATGGTAAGTAGAAATAATGTTTTATATATTTAAAATCTGATGATTAAGATAAGTCAGTAATTGATTTGGGGAGACTGCTTCCAAATGATGATATTCCCATTCTTATCTATTGAGGATAAAATGTTAACACATCTAGCAAATTTTGTTTAAACTTCACTCTTTGGTGTCATGAAGGGGGGGGGGGTATCCAAGAATTTGTAGATATATGTGGAAATATTGACCCCCAGGTTCAACTTTACATGGAGATAGGTTCATGTTTGGGCTGTTTCTCCCACTTTGTTATATGGAGATACTGTAATGAGCATTTATGCCACATTATACTCAAAGATGTTTTATTTGTGAACTAATCTTACTAAAGGTCATCATGTAGAAGGGTCACCAATCAGAGTTATGCTTGCAAAACCAAATGGAAAGATGTCGCACATGTCACACGAGGATCGAGGTTCGATGAACCATATTGTTGAATATTTATAATTGTTTGTTTACATTCTTTGAGGATTTTCAATCTGTTTATCCTCTTGTTTATTGAGACAGTTCAGATTATAGCCTTGCAGCGAACCCCTGTGTGTCATCCTAATTTTTTCTGAACAGTTGAGAAAATAGACAGTGGGAGAAGTGCAGGGGCTTGATGCAAGACTATATACGATTGTGTATATTCTAATGAAAATAAAAGTCATGATACTAGAGACTCTTTGAGATCCCCCCTGTCATTACATCTCTTTGAGATCACCCCCTTTCATCTCATGTGGAAGGTTTGATTCAGGATAAGACTAGTGCATAATTTTGGACTTGAATAACATTAACTTTATTCTCAGTCTTGTTATTTTGAGGAAAATATTTTCAATCAAAGTTTAATGGGATAGATCACCCAAGAACTTGTGGCTTTCCACTGTTGTTTCAAAGCTGTCTCTAGAATGTGATATTGTATGGATTATGTGTTAATTAATAACTTCATTAAAACGAAGATTTATTTTGGGTTTGTTTTTGAGTTAATAACTAATTAACAACCAATACCCAGTTTCCTCTGTACATTGTTCACTTTAGTTTCATTTTGATCATTTTGTCTGACCTTTGATCATAAATCGTTTGATAAAATAAAATAACAAATTGTAAATGTGAATTAATCAATCAACTCTTTGATTTATCTTTTGAAGGGATGTTTTCTTTTGAGATTATGAAAATGGGATGATAATTTCAAAAATATATTCACACTGAATCAAATTAGAAGCAAAGGTGTATTGAAACCCTAAAAGAGCACATAGAACTATCATATATCCTGCAGATAGGTCTACACTAACACATGATATTTAATCTATTGTACAAATCACATTTTGTTTGCTTAACCAATAGACTTGTTGCCTTAAATTGTTTGATTTACTTACATTTAACCATTAATGTAAACCAAACTTGGGTGAATTAAAAGATCAAAATATTTCAAGTTAACCTTTCAATGGATTTGTTTTACTTTATGGTCTGTAATGCTATGATATTTGTCAGTAAAAGGTACCACAGTATGTTCGCAGTTCAATCTTAAAAACTTTCTTACAAGGAAGAAACTTCTTTTGTCATCTTTATAATTTTCATACTTTATACAAAAATTATTTCAAGCAATTGTAGGATGTTGAAATAGAAATGTGACTTTAGATTCAGATTTAAAAACAACATTTAGAAATTATTTAATTTACTTCAGAGCCTGATTTATTTTATTTTCGACATTTCACAAGTTTAAAAGTGGATGTCCACAGTTGCATTCTCTGAAGTAAATGAACTTATGTTAATGATCTCTGGATGAAATTGCTTGGATCAACTGGCTTACAGGCATTCAGGGATATATCACATTGATACATGTATTTATATGATATGAACAAAAACTTAAACATTTTTTGTAAATCAAACTTTTTTATTTTTCACAGGTCAGCTAGTTGATAATGCACGTGTGGAGGTCTGTCTAGCTAAGCCAGTGGACAAGACAGACTATGTGAGATACACAAGAGGTGGTCATGCTCCACAGTTCCAACAGGTAACTAATACAAAAACAATTTAATTTTTTTGATATTGAAATGGATTTAAAAATAAAATGCCATTTAATATTATCATAGATTAGATTAGATTATCATAAATTCTTCATCCCTTTTTGGAGTAATTAATCCTATATGTGGACAAATCTTTAGGCAGATGTATAATTTAATTTTATTATGAATAAAAAATATTGCTGCACCATGTCTCGCAACTCCCATTTGATGAAGCGGATATGAAATTGGAAAATACTTTCATCGGCTTCCTGGTTCTTCATAATTTCAATTACATTTCAGGGATATGCTGGAGGATTTGAAGCTGTTCCATTCACTGGAGGTGCGCCCCAATACTACGGTCAATTCGGCAACATGCCTGTTGGAAGGTAAGTTTAATTGTTGTAATATCTATTAAATTCCTGTTGCAATAACGCAGATGCGAGTAGGTAGTTATCAGTTTCACCACCAGGTGGCTCGTTCGGGTCAGATAGCATGGCGGGTATAGTAGAAAGTTCCCTTTAACTTAAATTACATCTGTTTTAGCGGTTCGAATTTCATATAACCCTTATGTATCTAATAGTTATGCTAATCAAAATATTTCCAGTAAATGATAATGTTATCTGACCAATACAACAAAAGATATTTCACTTTTTGTGATTTTTTAACATGGGCTCTATGGAGAATCAACCCGAACTAGAAGTCACACTTTCAAAAATATTAAATTTTCAAACTAGATAAACAATTTTCGAAACCATATTTTTTAGATGTACTTTTACATGTAAATTTCAAATATAACATCGCTTTGACTGAATTTTGAATATTTAACGGCGTAAATCAAGATTTTTTCTACTCGCATCTAGTCTATTGTTGCAAAACTTTACCAGTTACTATTTCATCCCCACAAGTTGTGACATATTGTTATAGTGTCCAACTTTTTTTGTGAACAGTCTTTAGCATTTGGCTAAATAGCATCTATAGCAAATGGCAAGTGGTGACATTTTGCATGTTAATGCCTTGTATTGTCTTGTGTTATTACTTCAATTAGCAATTCATCAAATGAAAAATCACCGTAGTACAGTATTTATTTATCTGAATGATTTCACTTTTTCTCATCATCTCGGTAAAAAGTAACATGGCAATTATTTAGTTTTAAACAGGAGTGGGAAGCTTTTTTGTTTTTTGTTTCTTGTGAACTGAGAGAGTGACTTAGTACAAATATTTTGGTAGCCAACACCATGCAGTAAATGTTCAATAAATCTGTCATTAGACCTATAAAAATAGTTCAAAACAAAAGGACTTTTAATATTTACATTGTTTCAATGAAAACATATTATGAGAAAATATGTTTAAAGCTTATATGTTTATTTGGCATTCATTGACCATGATTCTCTCAAATAGAAAATAAAATAAAACAATGAACAAAACTTGCAACTAAAGAATAACTGAATTCTCTTAGAAAAAGAGGAGCAATGTGTTCTACACATCCATATTTTGGGAAATCCTCATATACGAGAAATGTTATTTTTTCATTAGCGGCCAAAGTATGAAACATTCATTCATATTTATTATTTTCAGGGGATTCACACCAGCAGCCAGGGGAGGTATGAGGCCTCCAATGATGAGAGGAAGGGGTAGGGGTGCTGCAGGTTCACGAGCTGCTGGGGGGAGAGGGGGTTATACCCACCCAGGATTTAGGGGAAAACATCCCGCAGAGGTATGTTATCAATTTATTTACCCAAATAATTATTAATAAATCTATTGTAGGTATACATCCCATGGATTAATATGTTTACATGTGTATATATTAACACCATGTAGCGACTTATCTTTATTTTTCGCAGGTGTTCAGCTAGTCTAGCGTTAAGGCTCTGCATCCCCCCCATTATTAGGTCTCTTACACAGGGCCAGAAAATAAAATGAGTGGGATGATCAGAGACTTAACGGGAAGCTATCATTATTTAATATAATGTAGGGGGCACTGTACAGTAGTGCATCTCCTTGCTATTTACATCTGGTGCCCCTTCTGGCTGGGCTTGTTCACAATTATCATGTGTTCATAGTTCACCATAGAGCACAGTCTCCCCACTCCCAGGGCCTGTCTCTTCCTGGGGAGGGGCAGCCTGTTGGACTCGATATAACGACCTCCCTCATGTTGTTACCCTCTCCAGGCCGTTGCCGTCCCCAGGGGTGGCATTCTGTGCTCAGGGGGTATAATGAAACATTGGACACTTCTTCGGGTTATTTGATAAAATAACTCATTTGTTTCAATGTTACATTCTTCTATAGCAATACAATAACTTACAATATTTCCTGTATATGGGAAATGAGGACTTCATTCATGAAAATTTAACAGTCTAAATATTACTGTTGTTAAGTAGAAAAAAACAAACCTGAGTTCACTATACTATTTAGAAGCCATTGAACACTCAGTAGTTAGTACCACGTCACTGATAAAATCTCACCATTCCTTCCTCATAGTTACTCATTTATAACCTACTTAATAACAACGCTTATGAAATTTTTCAAATCCCAATGATTTTTCTGGCCCATATGGTAATACCATCCCCATGATTTGAGACTGCTTTATTACTGACCCAAATATTAATTACCTTCATCAAATGAATTAAAATGACATCTATAGTTGAAGAACCACTGAAGCTTAGTAGTGTTTTCTTGTATAAAAGGCTTAGGAACTAACAATAGCAAAAAATGTTCTTAAAATTATATTCATTTAAAGTCCTACCCACCCTTGCTGATTTTATTTTTATTAATTTGTCTATAAATGGCTTAGGAACTAACAATAGCAAAATGTTCTTAAAATGATATTTATTAACAGTCCTACCCACCTTAGCTGATTTTTTTAGATACTAACACTACTGGGCAACTTAATTTGAGAAATGAATTGACATTGGAAACTTATGAAAATTTTAAGTTTCAATGAAAATTGTGACATTATGCAATGTGATAAAATAAACGACTGTATTCTGCTTGTAAAATAAATGCATGGCACAAAATTAAATCTTCCTGACTTCCTGAAAAGGGTTTGAGATATGTCCTTGGTCAAGCTCATAACTGCATGCCTCTATGATCAAATTTGTTATACAGATTGACAAATACCATTTCACAGTTTTTATTATATCTGATTGGAAAGGGAAGTGGTGAAATCATGTTCCACATATGGTAAACATGGAAAAAAGAAAGATTGGTAAAAATAGGTGTTTACTGGGACATTGGGCTTAGGTGCTTAAATGCATGATTTCTCTCAATATTCATATTGATATCTCTAATTTCCACGCAATTTATATTTATACAAACGAGTGTTTGTTTTATTAAGTTTTGCAGTGTTGCAATGATCCAGATGTTAAAATTCTGAATAGTGTGGAAATTACGGGAATATATTTGAATGAGACTTTGCTGGTTTGAGAAGTACATGAAATACTGGAAAATAGCATGACATATAAGTCATAAAGAGAACAACCATGGAATTAGCATGAACCTTTACTAACATTTGTGAAGGCCATGCTTCTGTGCAAATTATTTATGGTGAAGGAAATTGATGATTGATATTTCAACCCCATTGAATACATATTATCAGTACAGGTTCAATTTCGAGGATACTCTTGAATCTATCATATACATTGGTGAAAATAAGATTAAATTCACAAATATGATTCAGATAATTTTATCATTTGCCATAGGTGAATATTTAGCTATAGGCTTGATTAGAGACTTATGGTATAATATTCTGTAGAATCTCAAATATGTACATTGCCCTCCTATGTCTCAAGTGCTTGCAATTTATCATGTTGTTATCAATAAAATTAGTCATAAAGGTTAATATTGAATAGGTTAATTTTTAACCGATTTGCAAATAACGAAAATAGCTTGAACACGTGGATCTGTGGTTGTTCAAATGGATTAAACGGCAACCTAAGCATCTTAATTCATTTATACAGTCATATCGATTAGGCAAATGTACCTTTTATGAATGATCCAATTTTGATTAATATATTTTAAATAAGCTAATTATTATTCATGATTATTATTTATTTAGAATTCAAATGTGGATCATTCTGATTTTATACAACGATTTTTAAATCCCCAAGAACCACATCATACCTATAGTTAAAAAATACCATTAGCTTAAAATATACTATAAGATTTTGTAATATGGTTGATTGAGTGGTATGGCCTGGTATAATAAAATGGCCGCCAATTTTGGTTTCAGTCCGATTTAAATGTCGATGATTTGGTAGGACTAGGGGTTAAGCGCCCTAGACTCGAAGTGTTGCCTAGTGAAGTACGTATTAATTGTAAATCTGATTGCTGATGCTGTAAATACCCTTACGCAAGATTTCATACTTTTCAGAAATCAAGAAAATCGGATAACAGAAACATATGCTCTGCATTTCTTAGTTCTATATTTTGTGATGTTCATTTGATAATATAAAGAGTACTAGTTAAAATGTACATGTATATATGAAATGAAGTTCAAAAATTATTTGGAAAATGAAATATGATTTCCGAGTAAGGGTAGCCGTATAGTGTAATGATGTGAATCAAATCTGCTGATTTCTCTGATCAATTCTGCAACTTGTGATTTATCTTCTTGTGGTTTCTGCATAAAACAAACAATTGAATGGTAAACATTCCTTGGCCTGTTTGGTTTAACTCCAATGGAAGCTTATTTATTCAAAATGTTTGTACTTTGTTTTTAATGCAGAAATCCAAAGGAGAATCTTTCTAATGAATCGAGAGTATCTGATTGATAAATGGAACTTGTAGCTAAATCTTTGCTTGTTTCTCTGATGAAATGTCTAAAAAATATTAAAAACGTTAGAACATCACACAGAAAACCATATCTGGTTGTTTCTTATCAAAAGGACACTATTGGATTATGTGCAAGTGATCTAATCTAATAGATTATACAAAGATGTAATGTTTTTAACAATTTCTGAATTTACCATAATTAAATTGACATTTCATTGTGAAATATATGCAAATTCTTATAGATAGATAGACCCACCAGCTTGCTATTGTGCCCAACCCACATATAGTGTAACCTTCAGCTTTGAAACATTTTTTCAACAATAGGTGGCACTGCATGTAATGTGCCCGAGATGATGCAAATGAGTTCAATTGAACTCCAACTAAAATACTGCATGTCTATTGAATTTGAATGCGATGAATGTTATAATGAAGTTTAAATTACAGGAAATTACGATACTAACACATAGGATTTAGATTTGCATGATTGACCATTGTAGGATCGGCTATTTAACATTAGACCTGGGATGAAGCTAACCCCTACTGACCCCATCACACTAAAACCACAGTCAATGAAATCTCCAGTCCAGGTACTAAATTAAAGGCACTTGTTTTGATGAATCTGCTATTTAAAGGCTCTGTATTGAACACAGGAATTGACTATTGTGAATGTCCTAAATATGACATTTTACCAGAGACTTTCATAAAAGAAAGTTTGTAAATTATGGACTTAAAATAAAAATCAATTGTTAATGCAGTTGAAATTGAAATATTTTTATTATTATTAATATGGCAATTGTAGAATCAAATCTCATCAAAGATATGAATTAAATGAGAACTGATTTTCACATTTAGGATAATCATAAATCAGCAAAAATGAATTAGCATGAAATCCCTTTAAATTCTCATACAAGAACTAACATTAAGAGCATCAATTAACATTGCATTTTGTCTTAATTATTAAACCTATGATGTACAAGTAAAATCAAATTGTAATGTACCCCCATCATATTTTAATGATAAACAATTGAGATTGAGTAATGATATAGACTTTGTTTTGGTTGGGCCTTGTAACAAGATATCTTCTTAACCTCCAATGAATGTCATGGGAAATGCTTTTGTATTTGTGATATTGTGCTATATTGACCTCATTTACTATGATTCATATTAATTTTGTCAGTAATATATCAAGAAAATCAAGTTGATTACTTTTTTTTTATCAAACTAAAATTCAAAAATCAGAAGGTGATTCATCATTTGAATATATCTCAAGTCACAATATAGACAGGAGTTTTGAACATATCTCTAACTGAAAATGAGCACACTCCAGTGTTCCAAATCATTTTGGGTGAAATACCAGTCACTTCCATCTGAATCCTTTTGTCTGTGATCACCATTATCTTAAACATTGAAATATTTGTTAATGACCACGTGCCCGACTGTACGATGATTAACAACCCTCTTTCCTTTCCTACAGACCCTTGAGGAGTTTTGCACCAAGAATGGAATGGGATCTCCAGTTTACCAGCTCCACTCTGCTATTGATCGTGAAAGCAATGGAGACGTCCAACTCTTCTTATATAAGGTTTGTACTCACATTTTTTCAAGAGGGACCCAGGTCTTATATTTAGGAAAGAGTACTTATGATAGTTTGTGGTGGTGACATATTGTTTTAGTCTTCAACTTTTTTGTGGACGGTGTTTGGCATCTGAAACAAATGGCAGGTGGTGTCATTTTGCATGTTAATGCTTTGTTTAAGACATTCTCTTGGTAGCATACCTTAACCTGCATTTTAACAGCAGTTTTAAGCAATGTTAATTTCATCATTCATTTCTTACATCATGACTTTGACCATAAACTAGACAATTTTAAAATAAACATACAAAATTAATGAAACTACATATGAATTAAAAATTAATTCTGCATTCAAATGCTTTCAGGTTGCCATCCCAGCTCTTGCCTCTACGTATCCAAATAGTGCCATTCAGCCCCCTCAGCTATGTAGAAGCGTTGAGGAGGCTAAGGTCTATGCCGCAGAGTTCGCCCTCGGCCAACTTGGTGTACCAATGGAAGGTAAGGTTGATTTTACATTTTATAGAATTTAGTAGCACAAATCATAGTAATTCTTAATTGTAAGATCCCGTGAGAATTTTTTTTAGCAAAAATGGAGGTTTTGATTACAAGCTTTTTTTATTTAGATTTTTGGGTCATTTGAGACATGGCAAATCATTGTGTGACAAGATAATCATTTATGTGGTATTGATAAATGAGAAAATTGCACTGTGATAGAAAGGGGTCTGCTTATTGTATCAAAGTTCATTAAATTGTAGATAATCATGGTAATTAATCAACCCCCTCCCTCCATCAAAATGAAACAGAGCGGAAAAATATTTTAAAAATTAAAAAAGATTAACATAATATTGATGATTAATCTGCTATTTTGAGTCTTTTTGAACTCAACATTACTTCTCAATCAACTTGATTTGCCATATTTCAAAGTAATTTTCTTGGATAACATTATATTAATAGATTAAGTACAGTATTTATGAATCAATTATAATGAGATATAATAATGTTGATGCATAAATCTATAAATGATATGTAATGTAGCTTGCACTGGTGAATGGTATTTGCTCTTGACTGCTTATTACACCTCTGCCTTCCTATTTCTTGCCTCATTCAAAATCCATGTTTCATGTAGTTTATAATGGGGAGTCTATTTTGATAAGTTTTAGTAAGTCTAAGACCCCTGACAGACCCCCAGACGATGAGTTTATTTTCATGATTAAAAAACATGAAATCGTGGTGCTTTGTATGAGGCAATTTCTAAGCTTTTAAATTCTATTCTCTCCCAGATTATCGTTTAGCATGTTGAACTGCATTCTTTGGGTATCTCTTAGTTATTTATTAATCTGTGTTGTCTCTTGGTGATGGAGAGCATGTGTCCGTCCTACCATCTGAACTCTACACCATTTTGGAATGTTTAAAAATGAATAAAAACTAAACTGAAGTTCACTAGCTGGTTTACTATCATCAGAGCTCTATATCATTAACATATTTGAAAATATGAACTCAAAAAATATTAGAGGAGTTCACTGCCTGATTAAATCACATTTCTGGATTTTTCTGTCATGAACTTCATGTCCATTCATGCTAATAATTCACAATTATTAACAAGATAACTTTAGATTGTGCAGATATTCAATGATTCTGCAAAAATCTTCAACTCAGACATCTGATTTGGATTTTCACTCAAAAAGTTTTTATAGTGCATTTTTTTACTTATCATATCATCGCCAATTCAAGATTAACAAAAAATTGATTTCATTTTAAAAATTTCATTAACACATTTTCCTTTTGCTGATAAAGTTTTACGTGCTAAATGATAACCTGAGTTAATAATGAACCCTATCCTACAGGTAATATAACTGACGTCGCCATTTCCCCCCCACCTGGCCCTGGCGTGATCCCAGCGTCTACTCTTGGTGTTACGTCACAATTGACGTCACCCACATCACCTCTAGCCAGTTCGACTCTAGCGAGTTCAATGTACCAAGGTCGGCCATTAGTGCCTGGGCTACCAGGGACAGGGTACTCACTCACGAATGCCACTAGGAATGATTTTACCTTTGCCCCCTCACTCCCTGTCTCGAGCTACGTCAACGTTATGGCCCCGGGAAAAATACCGCAAAGTAAGGAATAGTTTTATATGCTTGATTCTAGAAGCTAAACCTCGCTTTCTATAAGTCACCATCCCTCCCTTTAGATTCTATGTTTTATATATGATTTTATTACTTGGACAAAATGGATTGATAAAATTGAGTATTTTTCCCGACACGATTTATAAGTGATTTGATTAAAGTCTGCTTTTAATTCTTTAGTATCAAAGTCAGTAATGTGATTACCTGGGGGTGATTAGAAATACATGGAATACAAGGGAATGAGAATTTTATCAAATTCATACTGGATTAATTGAACTCTAAACTTTTCAGTGTTTTATTAATGTCATAGAATTTTGGTAATTTTTGTTAGAATTTTTGATCATGTGACATCAACAGCAGATAGATGAAACATAGAATCCCTGTAAGGGGTTAAAATTTTAAAATTCCCTTTCGATATTTTTGCTTATTAGGACGTAAGGGTGACTTTAGAAAGTGTCGATTTAGATGTTTAGATTACATTTATACTTAATTATTAAAAATAATTAATAGATGATTCATGAAATGATTGTTAAAACTATATTATGATTGTATTTAATTGTACATATTATTACCTTGTTATTATTTATATGTGCAGTCTAGTGGACAGTCTCAAGAAATGCTTCAACTTTAAGTGATCCTCCATTGATTTACAAGGCCTAATTGCACAATGTCAAAATTTTCTTGAGTCTGTTCACCAAACTGTGGTTAAAACCATATTCTATAAGGACATATAGGTTAAGTGCACACTTTATATTTTAGAATTGAATTTAGCACGACCATAACATTGGATTAACCCCATAAGTTAACATGAATTAACCTACCACCCCTCCCTCAAAAAAACATATTAGGTTCCAAAAATGTGAGCAAAAGAACAAATTGAAATATTTCCATGGTCCATATTTTTCACAAGATTATTGAATGATATCAATTGATGTTTACACAACTTTATGGACTGATTTTTCTCTCATAACACAAACAATATTTGTAGGGGTAGAGTATGAGGGGTATTAAATATCTCCCCCTGTATAACTATGCATCAAATTGTCATTAATTAAGAGTCTAATGTAACCTACAAAGGTATTAGGTTTTTAATTAACATGTGATAACCATTTCTAATTGATTTTACAATTTCTTTCAAAGGTTTCAATACTTGCAAACTGAGATTGTTTAATTTAGGTCAACAAAGTTACAATTTTAAGTATGGTTTGAAGGGTTTTGTCATACAGCTTCAATTGTATTGTTTTAGCAAGTTTTGCAGTCAAAATAAAGTCATAATAAAAATGAGAATTTTGCACTAATTTGAGAGAATAAAGTGTCATCGATTTAAGTTTGCTAACACCTCTCTAAATCAGCAAATATTTTGTGGTTTCTGATGGGGAATATTTGATTGACCAATGATACAATACCAATTAGGTGTTGAATGTGGACGATCATCTTGTGATACAAATTTCCAGTTAATCACTCTCACAGATATCCACCATGTAAATAATTAGATGTGTCATTCCTTAATAAAATAAATATATTTGTTTGTCTATTTGCAAGTTTGATAATTTGTGAATCTATACGCTGATTATCACTTCAGTATTTACCTATTTGATGAGCGTTATATATTTCCTGATTACCTGATGTTGATATTAGTCATAAATGATCGTAAAGATACAACATAAAAATTATCAGGTTTATTTTGGGTTGTATAGGGTTTTGATTGCTAGATGGAAGCCACAAAAGCTGTTGGGTGTACTTTCCTCATTCTGTCATTCATTTTCACTATTTTCACCTTAATTTTGTTTTGATGCCGGATATGAATTACAAACGGTGCAACCGTTTAACAATATCTGTTCGTCTAGTTAGAATAATCAGGTAGATTTGCGTATTTATGAAAGTGTGTAAACAAATGCATATACTTTATAGATACTTAAAACCATAGTCCTGAATCACAATAGATCATTTTACAAATAAAGCCTATATATATTTCATCAAATCAAAAGTCAAATTCTTGACATCATCAGTACAAAGGCACCAGGCGTAAGGTGACACATAATGTTTGCTTAATATTGCTAAGTGTCATAATCATTGAAAAGTCCAAAGTCCTCAAGTGTCTAGTGTGAAATCTCAGACTGTAGGTTTGCTGGATACCTGGATCTCCATATACAAGTCATAGTTCCCTCTTACTTTTAGGGAATTTTAAAATTTATTGTTTTGATACTGATAAGATAAAAAAAACTTAAATGTTGCTTTTATGGGAACTTAAATATGAAATGAATAGTTTCATGTGTATATGTTTAAAATACATTGTCCTGCTTTCCTGACTACATTTTCTGATTGTTTATATGCTAAATCGATGAATTATCTCCAATTCTCAGAGTATATAGAGAAAGTGAAGCTTGGGCAAAGGGTAACTGGTTGAATACCTGACTGATAAAAGAGTTCAAAGTTAACAAAGATGGCTTCTGTTCTGAAGCTTAATATAATATTGTGTCTGTTGGTAGCGAAGCTCTCTTTTAAGAAGCAAAGTTGAACAAATACAGAGTGCTGTTGGGTAAGGCCATATGATGCATTGTCATTTGTTTAGTATCCACATAAGCAATACTCCTCCCAATGTCTCCTAAAGGAGAAGCCATTCAGCCTAATTGGCGATGTTCAGTAACATAAATGCTCCCATTATTTTAAATTAATACAATTTCATAACTATTGTCATCTATTAAGGGCACACTCACAGAATAACTCTTGTTAAGAGATTTCTCTGATGCAGAATGATCTCTAAGATACTTCTAAATTGGGTGGAGTTAATTTTGGAAGATGCTAATATCTAAGCATTAATGAAATCACACATATTTTGCTCACAAAAACAATTTGGGTAACAGTAAAAAAAATCCTCAATAATGACCTATTTTATTAATTTGATGTGCATGATTGTTATATTATAATTTAAAAAAACTATTAAAATGCAAAATGTTGTTAAGTCAAATTTAGAATGACTGCTACAAAAGAAAACCGCAAATATGTTATTCCTGTAATTGTGTTAACCTCTGAATTACATACCAGATATCCAGTACCCTGTATCCTAATCATTAAATCACACTACCCTCTAACCATTACAAATGATTGTGCAGTTTTAATGCTGATTAGGTTTTAACGATTTTAAAAATAATTTCTTGTTCTTGTTGGAATTTGAATGTGAAATGAATGTTTACCGGTTTTAGACAGAACGTGACATTTTGTGTTTTTCCGATAGCATTTTCTGATTAGTTAAAGGCTCGATCAAAGAATTATCGCTAATTTACAGAGTCCGGGTGAAGTTGAGTTATTGCTTTGGGTATGGGTTATGTTGGTGTGCCTCTCAATGGCCCTCATGTGCTTCTGACATATAAAATGATGGATTTGTGTGCTTTTGTGCTTGTGCAAACAAAACATAGTCTTACTAACACTTCAGCTAGGATATATGTCAACCTCTAATGTATACCTTTAAACGTAGACCTAAAACAATGCAATGAATTATAACAAAGTGAGATCTTTAACATTGCTGTATCAGGCTTAAATCCTTAAAGGGTACATAACATGCATATTCTTCATTATTTCACTGATGTTTTCAAAATGCTAATGTGATCTGACTGTCAATTTCTTATAATACCTAATATTTCATTGTGGTATATCTAATGAGGTATTTCATAGTGGTATATCAATAAGGTATTTCATAGTGGTATATCAGCTGTCTGCATGTTACACTTTCCTCCATAGGCTTGGCAGCTAGAAGTTCCCTTTCTATACCATGGGTTAAAGATTGTTTGTGTTTGGTGATTTTTACAAATTCATCACATTTCTTATTCTTAGCTCACATGGTGAGCTTTTGCAATCATTCATCTATTCGTGGACATGTGACTTTCGTGATCTGTTGGAACAAAGTTGTGATTCAAACGTAAAAACGTGTATAATGTTGACTTTTTGTTGCCGAACATATGGAGGGGGGTGTATAATTCTAACCAACACGCTAATATGCTAACCAACAATCTAACACTTTCTTTCTCTTTGCTTTATTTATAGCAGTGCCATTCTTTATGTAGACATGACGTCCCCTGTAGCAGAGTCCCAACCAGCGCAGTATCTATACAGTGACTGTATGTTGTCTCCATCACTCGGTAACGAGATGTCCCCAAGTTACTATGGTTACCTGGCATCACCGAGTGTCAACACAGCTCTGGCGTTTAACTTCAGTCATTTAGTGACCACACATTGATATATGATCGCTGCATAGACCGCTCATGATAGGGACTCGTAATACTAATATAAGACAAGAATATAACTATTGTACAATATTTATTATGGTGCATGTGACGGTCGAGAACCGAAAGTGTTTCAGTATTTCTCTAAGCTGTATGTTATTTAACATATGCAAGCCAAGCTTGTTAGGTATAGCACAATTTCAAAATTGTGTCAGATATTTTATTTAACAAAACATACAACGCAACTTTGTGACATTATTTTAAAAGTTTACGTAGAGTTTTTTAGAGTATATTTATACACGGTTTTAAGTTTTTAGGGTAGTTTTTTATTTCACCATATCATGTTTTTAAAAATTTAATCTGTAAATGCGTTTATTAATTTCCGAGAAAATTATCTTAAATTTTGGTTCAGTGAATTGATGGAAATACATGTATATACCACACATTTAATTGTATATATTGCACGTGACATACATCACAAATTAGGTGGCGGGAATTAAATACGATATAACCAATCCAGAAATATAGCAATTTTTGAAGATGTCAATTATGGCATTTATTGACGGGAAACTATTGCAATTTCACTTAACTAGGTCAAATGAAGAATTTGATGTTTTATGTGACTTTTTCGTGACTAATATAGAACAGAATGTGTAACAATTAACAGTGAGCGTCCTCTAGTCAGAAATTGGATAACTTGCTGTGAGAAACTTGAGAAATATGCTTGCGTAAAATACAACAATGCAACAATCTTAGGTTGGAAAGATGTAAATTATATCACTAGTTCTACATCTTTGCAATATACCCTGTATTGCGTTATCCTATGTTATCAAGGAAAGAAGGCACATTTGGCCAGACTAAAGATATTTTAATGAAAACTTAATGACCATTGTAGAATGCAAGTTAGTTGATAATTGCTGTATTTTATGCATAGATAAAGCATTTATTTGTTACTCAAGTGGAGCCAATAACAAGGAATATGAGAAAATATGACTTGTACATTTTTATTTTAAGTTAATGTAGAATACGTGTAGACATTTATTTAGTGACATATATAGGGTGTTGATCAAGATGGAGCTGAAGTGGCCCTTTCAGAATATGATATCTTACATTTAAATTCACTCTTTCACATGGTTTTTGAAATGGTTATTAGTTTTTACACTTGAGACTGAAGTTTGTGGGTGAAACCAGGGGATATGGTGGAATGGGGTATTGAGAGGGCATCATTCCATATGGAGGGGAATTTACTTGGCAATTCTTTTAGGTCATAAGATCCTTTACAAAAAAATCCATCTTAACTTTCAAGGTCTCATCTTGTATGTAATTTGAGTTAACAAACTCAATGTTATACAATAAGAAAATGTTTGTTGAAGTGTCAAGATTCCATACAACATATCCTTACATTAAGGTGCCCATTAAAATGTAAAGGTAGCTTGTAAGAAAAAGCCAAAGGTTAAATTCAGATAAACACTGTGTCCTCTTAACTCATAGTCCGACCTGCCTATTGTATGCAAATCAGGCCTGACTTTACCAGTGTAGATTTCAAATATACCTGTAATCTAGCTTGATTAAATGTGACAAAGTTCAAAGGTTTCTGATACCTCAAGATTGCCTAGTAATTAACCCTTTCAATCCTTTGGTTTAACATTTGATTCCTAATGCTGATTCACTGTTAACCCTATAATCCCCTGTGAAATTCAAGAGGTGAAATAGCTATTTCTAAAAGGGCCATCTATACTCTATTGGTATTCAAATATGTATGTATTTTTGCATTCTGTAGTATTTTAAAGAGTGATGCGGGTAAATGATACGATTGTCTCGATTTTTTGAACAACGTTGCAATTTTATCAATCACTCAGCATCGGTTTTATCTGAGCATTTTAGTGTACATTGAACATAAAGGTCTGTGTAATAAGGTGTTATGATTTAAACATGATGATGACCCTTAACACATATTGAATAACTGGTGATATTGGTTTGATGATATGATATCAGTGATTGATACACAATCGGGTGATTTTGAAATATCACCTAGCAAAGATGACGGGATGAGATAACATAATATAACAAATTCAAAAATAGATAAAAATTGTGGGAATAGGAAAATAACAATTGGATTGAATATTTGAAAAATCATTGTTTTGCGTTTGAACACCAGGGTATTTTATACATATACATTCTTGCCTTGTAGAACAAAAGAGTATTTTTATATTTTTGAACGTTTTCGTTATTTGTTATCTCATGAGCACGCATGTAGCGTGTGTATGTTTGTCTTGGATATTGTATAATAAGAGATGGAAAGATCTTGTTGTTGAGCCAGACAGATTGAGTGTACACAATATTTCTCGAGCCATTTTATGAATCCTAAAAACACTAAATAGATTTTACCAAATACAAAAATGTACATTGCATGTACACAATAATGTTAAATAAATACAAGGAGCCATAGGATGGTTTTGAAGAAAAATGTGCTATTTTAACTTTTCATCTATTTTAGTCTGTAATGTTTAAGGAGAAGAGGTACTGGTAGAATTTTAATTTAAAGAAATTATGCATGATTTTAAATTTCTTGTTTTTTGGCGAATGAATTACCGTCCAATGTCCGACAATCGATAGAAAGTGCCTGTCTCAACAGATGTCAGGCAAGAGTAGTGGATCAACTTAAATGTTGATTGAATACTCTTACCTGTGTATTTGTGGTATTTTGATAGTCCCTCATGGTGCCAAAGTGAATATATTATATAGTATATATATCTGATACCAAAGTGTGTCCATGGTGCAAGTATGTAGCAGTCATTCCAAGTTGTATATTTGACTGTTCATTTTATGTAAATATTATTTGGAATATGTTCCAATAGTTTAATAGTAGAGACATTCACATTAGAGACTTTTGTACATTCATTTCAACTTAAGTTTTCTGTCACGTTAGTCATTTAAGTTTACTTAAAGCTGCTTTCACTTGTGGCAATTTCACAATTTCAACTTCAACATTTGGTCACTTCAGTGTTATCTTCAATGGAAAATGTGAAATTGTACCAAGCGGTATACAAGATAGTTGCACTCTTGCCAATATATATGAAGGCATTCTATATTTAAAGAGCCTCTGTGTTCCTAATGCATTATTCTTTGTTTTGATCATTTATGCAAATTGAACGTTTGATTCCTATTACATTCCAAAAACACATTCCAAAAGTGTTCCAATACACATTCCCTTTATAAACAGAGTAACATATGCTTGGAATTCTTTTGTTTTTATGAGTTTCATATTTTCAAAGATGTAATGTATTAGGGACACTTCGCACTGCTCATTGTAGATGGAGCAAAATTCTGCTTAAATTGCTAAAAAATTCCGACCCAAATTTAAAACTATAAAAATGGGAACTGAAAAAGCGGTCCCAATTTTGTACTTTTAATTATGGATCTGTAAATTGTAGATAATTACTGTATGATTAACTTATAGAAAAATAGATGTATATATGAGATATGTCACTTCTAAATGACATAAAGTTGAGTATTTATATTGATGTTAACTTATTAAAAAACAGAGTTTATATTTATTGCACCTAAAGAGAACGTTCATGAACTTCGACGAGTTAGTTTGAAAAAGATGGTTGTCTTCCGAACTTTCAGAATTTGTAAGAAAGAATGCTGCTTTAATAATATTAAAACTGAGTTATTGTCTGGTGTAAAACTTATGCTTTTGTTTAGGAGTGACATTCAATTTTGATTTGTTTGTGCAATTGTAAATAATCCAGCATGATAATCAATTTATTATAATCATATAATCATTTACTATTAGCCAAATGTATATCTACTTAAATGCGGCAAGTCAACTTAATGTTTCCTTTATTTGAAAATATGGACCTCTAAGTTAGTTACAGGTTTTCATTCAGGTTTCAGCGAATCTGAAGCAATGCCATGTGAAAGAAGGGGTGTTAATATAGGTTGGAAAACTGAATCTAATCCTTTATATGGTAAATGTAAATTGCAAACGATGTCTGACTCTACTGACAACGTCTTGTGTTTTATATTAGGCCAATAGAATGAGAGTACCAACATTTCTATGAGCATAGCTTCAGATTCATTAATATTACATTTAAAGTTGTAAAATATGCAATTGGTGGACAAAATGTTTACACAGTGATTGACCCTTTATCAAGTTCTAAGACATTTATCTGTTTTGTCAGTTAAAGATAAAATTGTAGAATTTGAACTCTGCTTTCGTTTTAAAATCATTATTCAAACAGATCCCATTGTTTTTTAAACAGAGTGGACTACATGGCAGCTAGTATAGTGAACTTTGCTACCCTTTCAAGATATTAAACTAACTGGTGATCTTGTATGTAAACACTCATTGTGCAAACATTGTGTCAAGTTGTCAGTCAAAATGCCTTTTTCATAAACAGGCAGCCATTAAGCCAAAGTGGCCACATTGAGGAAAAACAGTTTATGTTCACGTAGATGCTAGAGAATGTACAATTCATTTTTGTTTTCTTTATTACTGATATTTTTTTCAGTTTACAGACACAGTCTTGTAATGTAACATGAACCCACTCAGGTATTTGTATGTTTTTTACCAAATATGGTTGTTGTTGTTAAGGTTGAGTGAAAAGAACCAATCACCATGCTTGTAACAATTGATGAAATCTAGCATGTGCAATAGAACCTGATTGGTTGATTAGAATATGATTGGCATAAAAAATCAGTGCTTGTTTGTAAGGCTGATGATGATTGGTCGATATATGATCAAACATGATTGGTCAAATCATGATGTAGTAGCGCAGCGAGAACAAATCAGCAATCATGCCCTCTTATGGGAAAATTAGGGACCATTTTTGGACCCTTATGATTGGACTACAAGCTATCAGGTGACCACTGGATATTAGACATTCTCAACCCTGTGAATGATAAACAAATTCTAGATTTCTGTTCATTTCATTGCTATGTTAACTTGATTCAATCACAGCAGTTTTAGAGCAATTGGATACGTCAGATTTTTTGTTAAAATCTGACCCGGGGCAAAGTTTAAAGATTTATATGCTTGTCTGAGCCTTTTAAAAATCTAGTTGATATCTTCGAGTTTAGGATGACAATGTCTAATATTCCTTGGCCTCATTAGAAAGCATACAAATTCCTTTAAAACCTACTTGAAGTAATATAAAACAAATATATTTATAAATTGAATTCATTTGTTTTGTTCTTACATAAAATTCAAAAGATATTAATACAGAGATGGAGTACAATACAATGAACATAACAGTCTTCATATTTAGATGAAAGTCTTCAAATTACACATCAATCCCCCTTCATTTGTGCAAAATTCAGATTTTCATCAAGTTTTACACCAAATAACCGACCCTATTTAGGAGTTCTTGTTTTCTTGTTTCTTTTATGATTAAAGCAGATGTCTGATGAAAAATTCATATTGATATCATTTCATCAATCTATGAATTCAAAACTGCTATTGTTCCATCATATTTTTATGTCACCACCAAAAGTGGTGACATATTGTTATGGTCTCCGTTTTTTTTATGTCACCACCAAAAGTGGTGACATATTGTTATGGTCTCCGTTTTTTTGCGACGGCGGTTGGTGGTTGGCGTCTGTAACAATTTCTTACAACTTCCTATAACTTAACAAATACTGTTTAGATTGACTTCAATTTTTTTCTAAATCATCTACATGTTCTCAGAAGTTCAAATCTGACTTTAGATTTGACATTTGACCTTCAATGACCTTCTCAAGGTCAAAAAGGTCTTTTTTCAACTTGCTTCACATTGACTAAATTTTTTTTCAAAATCATCTACATGTTCTCAGAAATTCAAATCTGACTTTAGATTTGACATTTGACCTTCAAATCTGACTTTAGATTTGACATTTGACCTTCAATGACCTTCTCAAGGTCAAAAAGGTCTGTTTTCAACTTGCTTCAAATTGACTAATTTTTTTTTTCAAAATCATCTACGTGTTCTCAGAAATTCAAATCTGACTTAAGATTTGACATTTGACCTTCAATGACCTTCTCGAGGTCAAAAAAGGTCAAAAAGGTCTGTTTTCAACTTGCTTCAAATTGACTAAAAAAAATTTTCAAAATCATCTATGTGTCCTCAGAAATTCAAATCTGACTTTAGATTTGACTTAAGATTTGACATTTGACCTTCAATGACCTTCTCAAAGTCAAAAAAGGTCAAAAAGGTCTTTTTTCAACTTGCTTCAAATTGACTAAATTTTTTTTTCAAAATCATCTACATGTTCTCAGAAATTCAAATCTGACTTTAGATTTGACCTTCAATGACCTTCTCAATGTCAAAAAAGGTCAAAAAGGTATTTTTTCATCTTGCTTCAAATTGACTAAATTTCATCTATGTGTTCTCAGAAATTCAAATCTGACTTTAGATTTGACTTAAGATTTGACATTTGACCTTCAATGACCTTCTCAAAGTCAAAAAAGGTCAAAAAGGTCTTTTTTCAACTTGCTTCAAATTGACTAAATTTTTTTTCAAAATCATCTACATGTTCTCAGAAATTCAAATCTGACTTTAGATTTGACATTTGACCTTCAATGACCTTCTCAAGTTCAAAAAAGGTCAAAAAGGTCTTTTTTCAACTTGCTTCAAATTGACTAATTTTTTTTTCAAAATCATCTACATGTTCTCAGAAATTCAAATCTGACTTAAGATTTGACATTTGACCTTTAATGACCTTCTCAAGGTAAAAAAAGGTCTGTTTTCAACTTGCTTCAAATTGACCAAATTTTTTTTCAAAATCATCTACATCTTTTCAGAAGTTCAAATTTGACTTTACAAGTTCTCAGAAGTTCAAATCTGACTTTAGATTTGACTTTTGACCTTTAATGACCTTCTCAAGGTCAAAAAGGTCTTTTTTCAACTTGCTTCAAATTCACTAATTTTTTTTTCAAAATCATCTACATGTTCTCAGAAGTTCAAATCTGACTTTAGATTTGACATTTGACCTTCAATGACCTTTTCAACGTCAAAAAGGTCTTTTTTCAACTTGCTTCAAATTTACTTAATTTTTTTTTCAAAATCATCTACATGTTCTCAGAAGTTCAAATCTGACTTTACATTTGACATTTGACCTTCAATGACCTTCTCAATGTCAAAAAAAAGTCAAAGAGGTATTTTTTCAACTTGCTTTAAATTGACCAAATTGTTTTAGGTGGTGACATTTTGTCATGTTAATGCCTTGTTTCTCATTGTAGTTCTCATTATGCTATGCTAACTTATCCCAAGCATCCAGATAATAACACAGATGACCCATGCAGACCCTAGTTATCTATGCAATGAAATATTGTTAAAAAACCCAAGTTGTAAGTACATTGGAACTTCTGCAAGTTCAATAAACAATGAAATGGCCCCAGTATTATACAGGTTAATGAGGGGCTTGTTTGGTTCAAATTAATCTTTCTTAAAGATGGCAGCACCTTACAATGACATTTTTCCTTTCTGGTACTTTTAATTCCACACAATTCTTTATAACAGAAACAAGGAAAAAATATGTACTACAATGATTGACTTTTGGAGAACAATCCTAGCTCCCAGCACTTTGGACCCCCCCCCCCATTACAACAAGGCGTGAGAAGGTGTTTAGTCAAGTAGAAAGGGGAGCCGCAGAGGCTTTTAGCTTGACTAGGCAATCCTGTGAGTTTGGCCTTAATGTACAGAGGATTAAGAAGACAATTTGAAGGCAAATGATCATTAAATCGTATACTTGTCCAATATACCAATACCAGAGATTCTCGAAAGATACCCGCTCATGCCCTTAACCTCTTGACTACCTGGAGTGACGAGATTTCTCGTCATCTCAGAAATGATCTTGAAACCCAGAGTGACGAGAAAATCCGTCACAAAAACTTTCACTAAAATTGCTCTTATTTGAACAATTTTCAACCAATTTACACGAAAATTGTTTTAAAATGTGTAGAAATGATATCTGCCGTCTAATTTTGCCAAGATGAGCATCTAAAGTTGTAAAGGTATGTCGTAAAATCTCAAAAGATGGCAAAAATGAAAAAATTCTGGTTTCAACAGAATTTAGAGCCTGGGATTCAAGAGTTTAAAAAGTCTTCAATTTTACACCCATGGGCATTATAAATGAGAGGGGAAACTTATTTTCAAACCAAACTTTCACTTATAATCTCATGAGAGACTCATGAGAAATATCACCAGTAGCGCAGTATTTAAGAATACAATTTTAATCAGATAAAACATATAATTTAACAGTCACTTGTACTTTGAGCTGACAAAGTGTTTGTACTTTAGATGGCAATCTTAAAATGGGACTACATTGACCCTTACCAGGTCAAGTTACTAAATTTGATGACAGGTTCAATAAATACAGTATCAATAAATCACAGGCCCTTAGCCAGGAGGCAAGGAGGATTGGCTCCTAGGATCGAACCTCAATATTAAAACTGACTATAAATTCAAAATAAACAGTTCAAAAGATTCGAACCAATATCTTGATCATTTCTTGTGAGTTTTGGAATTTTTCGTTAGGAAATAAGACCAAAATTCATGATTCAAATGTTGAAGTGAACAAAATGGCGGCTGTTTGAATTCGAATTTTGTATCACAACATGCCCAAATATGAGACAGAATATCGATGTTGCACTCTGGGCCATTCCTCCTTGGCCAGGAGGGTTCAGGCGAACTCCATCCCCTAGCCAAAAATTCTTTCAAAATCATGCAGTTTTTCATCGTTCTGAACATTTTTCATAGGCTGTGTCAAAGTGAACTGCCACCAGGATTTTTTTGAAAAGTGAGCCCCCTTGGCAAAAGCTTGCTACAGACCTGATAAATCATTATACAGATGGTTACACTTTTAATTGTACGTTTATTTCTTTTCAGCTTTTTATCATTTTTTGTTCAAATTGGACGCAATGAAATTGCCCTGGGTAACCCCGACTCCAGTTGCCATGGTAACTATAATATTAACCAATCAGATGGCAGAAGTTATATATTTATATGTTTTAATTTAAATATGTACAAGGTATATTCTGACCAAATTTCAGGATGTTTGGACCAATATTTACAAAATGCCAGATATTTTTACCATATTTATTGATCACCCTGTACAAACTGGTTTTTAAGACACTTGGATTCTTTTCAAAATTAAATTAGCTTGATGAATCTGAATCATAATTAGACTTGCGTCTCTTGGATTCTCTGTGGTCAGAATGTCTCCTCGATTCATTTTTGTGTGAATCATGCCGATTTGATTCAAAATGTCTACTATCGTCATTTTGATCATGTCTTTTTGATTCAGAATCATGTTTTCTTGATTCATAGTTCTTAGGATGTTCTCTATGCTTACTACTAGAATATGATTCTCTTTCTGATCTATGCCGAGAATCGTGTCTCTCTGATCCATGTCTTTCAGAATTGTGTCTTTCTGTGCCATGTCTTTCAGAATCATTTCTCTCTGATCTATGTCTTTCAGAATTGTGTCTTTCTGTGCCATGTCTTTCAGAATCATGTCTCTCTGATCCATGTCTTTCAGAATTGTGTCTTTCTGTGCCATGTCTTTCAGAATCATGTCTCTCTGATCTATGTCTTTCAGAATTGTGTCTTTCTGTGCCATGTCTTTCAGAATCATGTCTCTCTGATCTTTGTCTTTCAGAATCATGTCTTTCAGAATTGTGTCTTTCTGTGCCATGTCTTTCAGAATCATGTCTCTCTGATCCATGTCTTTCAGACTTTCTGTAAGAGTCCTCTAGCTTTGAATCATGCCTCTTAGATACATTATTTTCTCGCTTCTGTCTGGATGAATCTAATTTCCTCGGCTGATCTCGATATCTGTTTTCATTAAGATCAGTCCTATGTCTTTTATTATCATCACGGTCATCAATATTGTGATGTCTTTTTCTAGGCTTTGATCGCTCATCTTCTGAATCTGATTCAGAAGAGGATGAACAAGGTGACCTTCGTTTTGTTTCCCTCACCTTATTACCATGACGATTATGTGAGGAATCTTCACTGTTTGTGCTATGTCGTCTTGACTTTTTCTTGTCTTTAGACTTCTTTTTTCTCTTCTGGAACATATGCATACACATTTAAACCTTTATGCAGATGCTTAAAATGGAACATGGTAAGTCAGTACTGTACATGTTTTTTTCAATTAGCAGATTGCGTGATAATAAAGCAGATGTAGACATGTTGTAATGGCATATTTAAAATATTTAACGGAATCTTTATCCCAATCGCCGTAGTACATAGTTGTATTCAAAATATTTCCAGTTTAATTTCTCTATTTCATGTTAGGTAGATAATATCTATATTGCGTTTTGTGAAATGAAAGCTAAAAGATCTTAATAAAAAGTGTTTTCATCACACAAAGGCTTTTTACATGATACTGCTAGTCTGCTAGAGCTGCTACAAGCAGTCGGTAGAAATTCCGCCACGAGTAGGACACACTATGTCTATGTATATTTAGCTCAATCGTATTTCAAATTCTACAAAGATTTGTCCATAGATGAAGAAATGCCATGGAACCAAAAAATGGTACATGTTTCGTCAAATCCTTGCTGACATTGTGGTTTTTAGTTTACGAAGAAACTGCTCCTCGTTATTTGTCCGCGCGATTTTTATATATGTTACATAGGACGTTGCTTAGTGCAAAACAGCGCGCCTAGCGAACAATCTTTTATGACGTAAAATGCCCGTGTGTGCATAATCTTCAATAACTCTGATTTCAGTATGAATTAAGCAGATTGCCTAGCCTAACTACAGGCCCTTGTGATCCTCCACTACTCATCCCAACAATTGTCAGAGGGTGTGTAGTCAAGCAGAGGGGGTGGGGGGGGGGGGGTCACATGGACTTGTAGCTAGACTATAGATAGCCTGATAAATACCTTATCATCAGAGTCGTCGCTGTCACTGTGTTGTTGCTTCTTGTGCTTTTTCTTCTTTTTGGACTTCTCCTAATAAGGAAATTTTGAACAAACATGAATAGAACGCAAGATATTTATTTAACTACTCAATCTTATCTTCTTAGCCTTTTTGTCTCTTTTTTCAAAGTTGACATTTTCTGAGCAATCTTGATATATTTCAACAATAAGGGGTCATACTTGTACTTATACTTATACTTGTATAATCATATATTTTAGATCATTCACAATTCTAAGTTTGATGAAGAATCCTGAGTCACTTCATTGTTATAGAATATTTCATTCAAACATACAGACAGGCTGACAGGGCTTAATTAAAAGTCCAGAGAATGAACTGTTCCTCTAAAGCAGAAAGGAAATAGCCAAGAGACACTGTTTGCTACCACTGAGTGCAATGAATGTGCAATCTAAAGTTACCTTCTTCTTTTTCTTCTTTGGGGGTGATTCTGCCAACTGGTCAGGTTCCTCTTCATCTCCCACTAGCTGATAGGTGGCTCCACCGGGAAGGAAGAAACAATCTTGAGCAAGGTGACCTGCAAATCAATGTTTGAAAAGTATTCTTTTTTTGGAAGAATATGGGGCCTTATAGAGAATCAATGGGTATTGTAAAAATGAGGTCACAGATTTCTCAACTTGATTCAAATAAATTTAGAAAAAAAATTGAAAAAAGATTTTTAAAAAAGTTTCAAACAAAATTTTATTTTGAAACAAAAATTTGAAATTTTTTTTTTCAAACTCCACTGGGTAACGGATAAAGCAGTTATTTATTATACGGCCAGCTTGGAATCAAAATCACCCTAACTAAGCTGACCAAACTCTTTATATTCATACCTTGCCCTCCACATTTCTTGCATGTTGTATTAAAAACAGCTTCAAGCTCTATCTTCTCCTTTGTGAACCCTTTACCAGACTTCCTCCTCTGCTCGTCCATACTGAAATCAGAATATATATAATACATTGAAATCTTTTAATTATGCAAAATGCTTGGAAGGTTATTCAATGTTTAAACTCTTGGTTGATTTCATTGAATTTGCGACCTGTTATGGAATTTTAAAAAGTATATGTTTTTTGGACATTTATTATTATTCAATTCAGATCACAAGAAAATTTTAATTGATGAGATATCTCATCCACAGACATCTAAGAGTTAAACAAGGCCAAGTAGAAAAAGTAATCATTGAATTAACTTGCAACTTATGTATGATTAATATAGTCGATTAAAACTGATTAAATAATGAAAATAATATAATTTTCAAAGTAGATTATCCAGCCACCAGAGAAAGTCAGAGCCTGGGCGTAGGCTCTGAATAAGTGAACGTATATGAGACCAATAGCACATATGCCAACTTTAAACTCACCTTGTTTGGACATTGTTGGGATCCAAATCTCGCCCTGTGTCTTGATTTAGAACCTTCATAGAGAGTCCTATCTTCTCACCACCACTCTGAGAGTATGAAGTAATGTTAATATTTGTCGAATTGTATAATTTATTGCATAAATCTATTGTTTATGTTTTTATTGTTAAATTTACCAATCCAGTTGAAATCACATTGATTTCAATCGTGAAATTCCATGTGTTTTTTTATCTGAAAGGATTTTGTAAGCTTTTTTTTTTTTTTTCAATTTCAAAATAATTTATTTCAGTTTTCATTACAAAAATTACAACATTATACAGGCTATGACACCCCAGGGGGTGTATGACTGCCCATAATTAAATTTACAATAAACATGATAAACTGTGAACATTTAAAGTGGTACATAGGTCAATACAATAATACAATATAAATACAATATACAAATACAATAATATGAGACAATAAAGAAATGAAATAAATGTTTTGGTTACTCTGTACTCAGGAGGTCAATTTTCAAACGAAATATGAGTGAATTTAATGGTTTATTTCTAATATCTTCATTGAGGGAATTCCATATATATGAACCATGGACCTTAATAGAATTTTCACCAATTCTGGTTCTATGTTTAGGAATATCTAAGTTATGACCAAATCGAGTTATACGTTGATGTATGTTTTCTCTAGTTTTGAAATAGTGATCGTATAATTTTGAAGGGAACTGTACAGATTTGCTTATAACCTTTTTCATGAATGAAACAGTTTGGATTGTGTGAATATGATAAATATTAAGTATTTTAAGATCTTGAAAAATTGGGAATGTGTGAGCTAATCTATCTGAATTTGTTATTAATCTAACAAATTTCTTTTGCAATATCAGTAGTTTATTTAATAGATTCTTACAAGCATTTCCCCATAAAATATTACAGTAATTAAGATGAGAAAAAATCAGAGAGTTATATATTATCATCTTTGAATTTAAAGTATGAGCATAATTTGTTCGATATAACATTCCTATAACATTTGAAACTTTTCTATGAAGAGCATTGATATGGGGAGCCCAAGATAATTTTGAATCAATAATTACTCCCATATAAAACGAACAAAAAAAATAAGTAGAATAAAATATAATATTCAGATGTTTTTATTCAAATCCAGAAAACCCTCTGGATAATTATCACTGAACACTTCAGAATGTAAACCCTATTTCAGTACCTATTAACGTACCTTTGAGGCCAATGTAATCAGACCCCATTATTAGGGACACATTTCATTTTTCGAACTTTATCTCTGATCAAGCTGCTCATTGGTCCATCCAATAATGTTCAGACCCTCCCACCATAACTGCTATATGCCACAAGACTATTTTGGCGAACACTCATCCATATAAGGCCGAAGGGTTGTACTTACAACTTAAGCAATTCATTTTAATGCTTAGGGTGATCTATTTTATGACTTTCATAATCTTTACTATCCACCCACTTAAAGTGGAAATTAGTGCACACCAATTGAGGCTTACAGTACCTTACCTCCATTGAAATGATCTTGCAATATACCATCTCTCCCTTTTCAGCTATTTCAGATGGGTTTTCAACTTTAGCCTTTGACATTTGGGACTTGTGAACAAGACCTGAAATAGAATTAAAGTGATTTATTGTTAACCAAAGTTTGACTTCACGCTATCAAAGAGGGCATAATAAACAAAAATTCTTTCAAAATCATGCAGTTTTTCACCATTATGAGCACTTTTCAAGTGAATTTGGGCCAAAGTTGTCAATTGTGAATGGAAATTTGTAAAAAGTTGGCCAAACTGGCTACGGGAATACTATAATAACAAGCAGCGAAAACAGGATCTTTTTCCATGAGGAAAAATTCTCATATTACAGTTTTGACCAAAGTTGACTTGAATCTTATCCAAAAATGCAAGGAATTGTCGACATAGAAAGGGCCTCTAGCTATGGGGCTGTACTACAAACCTTGCTGTTTACTGCCTGGTATCTTAACAAACACTCCATAGGGCTGTACTGAAGCTATCTACAAGTATAAAAAGAAATAAAAGTAAGGAGAGGGCTTAGAAGGAGAGGACTTAGAATAGGCGAAAGCCTTTTGTCCAATCCATTTCGTTAAACTGTAACTGTAATCAATATAATGTATCTAATGTAATATTTAGACGAATAAAATAATTTTAATTAATGATAAAAAAGTTGAATCAAATTAGGTGCAATAATTCTAAAAGCCTGACCCTTTAACTTGTAAGTTAAGTTCCTCATTAGACCTAAACTATCAATTAATTAATTCACACCATTCAGCTGTTGGAATTTTCCACATAAATGGCAAATTGATGCTTTTAAAATAATTGGTATAGTTACCTCGCCTTGGAAAATTATGTACAGTTTCAGTGGATCTCCCATGGCTACAGTATAATGTTTTAGTTTGCAGCAGTGGCTATTTTCTCAGTTCATTTACAAAGGTTGGTTTGATATCTTTTGGTAGCTTCCTGCAAATAAAAAGGTTGTATGGAAAATAGAGTGCAAGTGCAAGACCTTTCAGCACCACTAAATAATTGCCTTTGAGCCCATTTGTTATAGCAGATATATCAAAGTTTTTAATAAAATGTATATACATGTACTGTAAGCAGGAAAGTGTCACAAACTAATAAAATCTGGGCTAAGAACACATTTGTGTGACAGATGACTAACCAATGGCTTGGTTTTCGTGATGTAGTCATATATTACTGGTGTTTTTATTTCTTAAAGATTACACTTTACCAGGCTGCTGTGCTTTCTAGCAATTTTCCATTCAGAAGAAGGTCACAGAAATGCAGTTTCCAGAACAATTTTGATTTAACACAGTAGTCAGCAGGGTTTATCCACGACAAATATACTTAAATTATATGAATCACTGGATTAACGAAATACCAAGCCAACTCGAGACTAGTCTATATTCAATAGACTGAATTTCCCGAAAAATTCAGTCTATTGATCATTATGTCCCTCCTTTGGGAAAAAACAGGAAATTTCCTGCACACAATTATCAATTTTAGGAAACTTTACTACCCAAAAATAAGCATTATAACAATTCAATTAAGTAGTAAGGTACAATTAAATGCTATAAAAAGTAACACAGCATATTGTCAAATGGAAATAAAGCTAGTAGAAGTAACAAATATGCAAATTAATTTACCCAATCGGCCATTTTGAATGGCACTTCCTATGTAAACAAATAATTTTCAATCCCAGGTTTTAACATATGTGGGCTATAGTCTGAATATTTTCATTCCAAATTTCAAAAAAATTTCAGACTAGAGGATATAGTCTAAACCATGGGCTTTCAACTAGAAGGGTAGGCAACTTCCCATATTTCATACATAAGCATTGCCTTTGGGTTTTCAAAATTGGAGAATGTACACATTCCAAGAAAATCTTATTTTGTCCTTTTTATGAATGATTTAAAGAAATAAGTGAAAAATAAAAACATGATTATCTACATACATGTTGATAATTTAATAAAAAATGGAATTTATCATAATATTGACAATACAGAAAGTGAACATTTCCCCACAAATTATGGTTTTATTGGAATGTGTTCTTGAATAATTACCCACAATGCAATACTTGAAGAGAACATCTTGATACCCCTTATTCTTATTGGTCTTTTTTGTTTGCAATTACATGAGATTGAATATATTTTATGCTTTAATCATATTGAAAATTGATTTTTATTCTAAATAATACTAAAACATATAAATTTATCTAGTACTTTTTGAAATATTACCATAAAAGGGAAGCATGGCATTGTTCATTTTTAAGGTCCCATGTTATTACACAGAGTTGCATACCCTTTTAAGGCGACGCTATATTAAATAAAAAGTACAAAAAATGACTGCCATATTTTTTTGATAAAGACACATGTTTTTAAAATCTGTTTACCTTGTATATGAATTGTGTATCTTGACTAATGAAACATGTCAAAGTTAACATCACACATAAACGCATTTTTCCAAACTATGAATTGGAGGTGCATGGATCCCCAAAGCTAGCATGAAGAGTGCGAAGTGAGGCTAATTTTTGAAAGTTTCAAGGAGTAGCCTTGCAACAGTCACACATTTGCAAGAGTCTAAAATTTCCACAAATCATCTTACCTTACCAAGGAACAACGAAGGAGAACGAAAATGTGTACTTCTTGCATTGTTAGAGTATAATAAAGCTCAAACCATTGTGAATTCTAAATATTTCATGTCCACCATTTTGTTTCCTGGAACTATTTTTTAGTCCAGAGTTATCTTCATTCATGTTTCCATTGTTTATCATTCATAAAGCCTCTATCATGTATCTATCATGATAATTACACTGTAATAGATAAAACATACAAGTGATAATCCATGCCACTTGGTGTAGTCACAAAACTTGCATGAGGATTAATCAGGAAGTCTAGAAGTAGTTCCGGCAAACAAAATGTGGACATGAAATATTTGGAATTTACAATGGTTTGAGGTTTATTATACTCTAACAATGCAAGAAGTGCACATTTTCATGCTCCTTCGTTGTTCCTGGGAAAGGTAAGATGATTTGTGGAAATTTTAGACTCTTGCAAATGTGTGACTGTTGCAAGGCTACTCCTTGAAACTTTCAAAAATTAGCCTCACTTAGCACTCTTCATGCTAGCTTTGGGGATCCATGCACCTCCAATTCATAGTTTGGAAAAATGCGTTTATGTGTGATGTTAACTTTGACATGTTTCATTAGTCAAGATACACAATTCATATACAAGGTAAACAGAATTTAAAAACATGTGTCTTTATCAAAAAAATATGGCAGTCATTTTTTGTACTTATTATTTAATATAGCGTCGCCTTAATTGAAAGCCCATGTCTAAACTCGAGACATGGATCCACACGACGGATCCACCCATAGGTCTAGGGAAAGGAATAAGTAAGCTACTGTATGGCTAGTACCTTTCCATTTGTACAACTGTTCACAAGGACCACGGATCAAATCAATGGGTCAAGAAAAATGAGTGGGTGGGTGATAATTTACATTAGATATATTCTACAAGGTAATCAAGAGGTATTGCATCGTGAATATAAAGTTAGGTATTCATACAGATCTATTAACTAAGAACAGATATCTATAAACTATTCTGTATCATATAACAATAATGAAAACAATACAATACATTGCAGTACAAACCTATAAATTGTCTTTCTCGTTTCTTTTTCTGTTTTCAAATTTGGAAATAAAGTTGACTGCTACTTGATAGAATCCAATTAGAGAACGCCATCTTTTAGCGGAATGTTTTTAGGGCGAGTCCATTATCTGTAGGTAAAAAGCTATTTTGACATAAGCTGAACACATCCAAATTTGAAAACATATGTATGAAACATGACACAAATAATCCTAATATCAATCTTCCTAATTTGAGTATTAATATAATTGTTTAGATAATCATAAATTATCATAAATCCAATTAAAAATAAATACAAATAATCCTTACACCCCTTCTTTCTCCACATCGGCCAGACCCAAGCTCTTCCAAAATGGACAAGGCAGTAAAGTCCATTCGAAGGTAATATAATCTATTTTATCTCAGCAATAAGACTCTCCGTATCTCTAAACGCATTTCCTTAGTAGAGTTGAATATCATTTTGTGCATCCCAAGCTGTATTTTTGATGTTTATGCTTCTAGGAGCAGTGTAAAGCTGCTGTCACTGAGTGGAGGTCATGAAGATCTGAATATGGTTATTTCAGAACAGAAAGATGTCAGGAATAGTGCTAAAAGTTTCATGTCTGCACAAAATTCAGGTATTTCAAAAATCTAGGAAGTTTTTTATATCACAAAGAATATCTTTTTTTATCTTTTGAAGCTTATCAATGTGATTCTGACAGAACACTTGGGTCTGTCAGTAAGGATTTAAATATTGAAAAACCCAGGAAGTAACTCAAATAGTAAACAATCAAAGAATACAACCTTAATTAATCTTTTACTTTATTGTTCATATCATAGGCCAAGGGAAAGGTATTAGTCAGCTGAATTTAGTGAGCTCAATAGTGCCGGGCCCTTGGCCTAGGTTCCCGCCTAGGTTATCTGCTTGTGAATTTAGATCAATGAAGCTGTTATGTTGTGAATTATTGATCAGAAATCACGAAATTTGAGCCAATTTGCAACTGGATTATTAAGGACAAGAGGCAATAAGTGTTGTCGTGATGTGCCACAATCGAACATTGGCAATTTTTAGAGGTAAACCTTGATATACATCGCAATGCACATGGGGAAAAATTCATTAAATCTCTGTCTCCGATGCCCATTACTTCAGATTTAAGCGGCGTCTCAATCTCTAGTAATATCTGTTTTCACAATTCGGTCATCTCAACTACCCAGCTTCAGTTTGGGATAAATCTTCTCCATGTTTCACATTTTGCTTCACATTTCAGCTGCCCAATACTTGATGAAATGGGCTGCATATGAGGATAATAGAGCTATACAAGATGTCAGCTCCCAAGTTGTTGAACTCAACTCATTGTGGACTGAAGTGCAAAGAGACTTTGCAGGTATATGAATAGTATGTCATTGATAAACATGTATAGGGTAGAGTGAAAAGCCCAGTTTTTAAAACACAGGTGCTTTATCATAGACTGAATAGGTATGGATGTTTTGATACTGGAGGAGAAAGATTGATTCAGAGATCGAGAGATACCACATTGGCATCCTTCTGTCAACCCAATTACTATGTTTATATGATGTTCAATTATTGCAGGTTTTTTGGGGATCTTGTAACACCCTCCCTCTCTATAATTGTATACAGTGAAACCTGTAAAATGGAACACCTCTGTTAGTGGAACAACTCAGAGTCCCAAGACCAACTGACTTAATGTTAAATGAACCTCTGTTAGTAGAACAACAACTCAGAGTCCCAAGACCAACTGACTTAATGTTAAATGAACCTCTGTTAGTGGAACAACTCAGAGTCCCAAGACCAACTGACTTAATATTAAATGAACCTCTGTTAGTGGAACAACAACTCAGAGTCACAAGACCAACTGACTTAATGTTAAATGAACCTCTGTTAGGGGAACAACTCAGAGTCACAAGACCAACTGACTTAATGTTAAATGAACCTCTGTTAGTGGAACAACCCAGAGTCACAAGGCCAACTGACTTAATGTTAAATGAACCTCTGTTAGTGGAACAACTCAGAGTCCCAAGACCAACTGACTTAATGTTAAATGAACCTCTGTTAGTGGAACAACTCAGAGTCCCAAGACCAACTGACTTAATGTTAAATGAACCTCTGTTAGTGGAACAACTCAGAGTCACAAGACCAACTGACTTAATGTTAAATGAACCTCTGTTAGTGGAACAACTCAGAGTCCCAAGACCAACTGACTTAATGTTAAATGAACCTCTGTAAGTTGAACACCTCCCAAGTGGAACACTTTTAGAGGTACCAAAGGTGTCCCACTTAGGTTTTGCTGTATATTATAATGAATTGTGTTTTCAGAACACATGAAGGAATACAGGCAGATGTATGAGATGATACTAGAAGGAGAGAGACACATTGACAGTGCAAAAAATAACTTGGTGAGTATGAGATGATATATTAAGAGTTAAGCAAATATTATTAGGTATGAGGGGTAATATCTGGTCATATTTTAGTGATAACAGGCCCAACAATACATTTCAATTTAAAAAACATAATAGATGTTACATGAAAACATTGGCATTGAATAGTTTGAATAGTTCTTTAAAAGAGATTTATCTGCTCTATTTAGAGAATACCATTTCAAACATAATATGTCCATAATCATAATCCAGCTACTGAATCAGAATCACATAATCTTATGCCTTTATGAAAATCTGGCATTTTCTTCATATTCATGGGTAACTCTTATTAAAATCATTAAACCCAGGCGCGTATCGTGGTCATTTTGCAAGGGTACGCCCCCGTATGTGGATGAATAATGTGTGAAGATGAATGCGATTTTAGTTGAAAAACAATTACAAGATCTAAAAACGGGTGATAAGTCTGATTTGCTTATTCGAACGAGCCTAACTCTGTCTAAAAATCAGCTTCTCTGAACTAGGGTGATCATGAACTCACCTTGCAGGAAATACGAAACGTCTTATATTTGGCCAATTATACCCTCAATGAGAGTTTGTTTTCTCTCTACAGAAGTAATACACTCCCTTAATGAATTTGCATCGATAATGTTGTCATAGCTGGGGCCATTTCTGCAATAGACGTGGTATTAATTAATTGATTAGTAACCCGTGAATTACAGGCCCCCAAAAATAAAAACACTACACCAGACGAAAATAGAGAAAGTCGTCTGCACAAGGTCGTGCGAATTTGGAAATGCTCTACACATAAGGGCTTTTATTGGCTTAATCAATGTAGTTAAAGCTAAATCCACTTATCGTACAGTTTAAATGATTAAATTACTTCTTACATTCAATAATTTCAAGTGATACTCAGGTTTATACGTACTGAATTTGCTGATTTTGAGCGTGTACTCTGCCGGGATTCGCCATCATACCCCATACGGCCTTGAAGAAGCGTACAAGAATGACGCAACTCTTTGAATCACGAAAAAATTTGAATCTTTGAATCACGAAAACAGTGAATGACAATGAGGGAATCGAGAACTTATTGTTAATACACTTGTACAACAAAGGTTTACACATCATCAAAGAAAATAACAGTAAAATACTGAATTTCATGTTTTTTTCAAAATATTTCTCAAATTCAAACAGTACGCCTGGGCGTATTTTGCGTACCTGACAATACGCGCCTGAAAGCTACATTTGGGTCCATTAAGATCAGCATCAAATCTAATCAGATCAAATCTGCTTTATATTTTGTCCTAGTTAGAGTTTTGTAATAAGTAGATTCTGGACCTTTAGGGTAGTAAAATTCATTATCTGTGAAAAATTAAAAGCAGAATCAGATGTATATGGAGTGACAAAATTCCAAGCAATATGTACAATTGATCTACCAATGTGTTGCTTACAAGCTCAACTATAATATTCATGATATGTTATCAATTAATTCAAAGTGCAAAAGTGGGGGGAAAATATTCAAATTCTCACTATAAGCTAATAATAAGAATGGTAACCATTCTTAAAGACAAATGATTGTATTATGGTAAAAATCTTTAGTTTTCCTCAAATGCAGTATATATACACTTGGGGTATTTTTAGAAAATAGACATGACAAGGAGTGATATGAGCTGAAAATAATCTAAAATTGAAACAATTTTCATCAAGATGAAGCACCAAAGTAACAAAAGTAATTGCTAGATCTGATTCTGCCTTTTAAATATCCATCAAAATTTACCATTTGTTTCTTAGATCCCACAAATACCCAAATTGTCAATATTTTGATGTGTTTTAGACCATGTGTGATCAACGTGAAACAAAGATCAAGAAAGAGCTGAAGAAAGCTGCCAAGAAAGCGTCACAAGAAGAGTTAAAACACTTGGAGTCAAAGTTCTTGCAAGCTGAAAGAGCCAAGGATCTTGCTCAGTTAGAGGGTACGAAATATTTGAATTACTCTTTCAGTTGAACCAAGATGTGGTTACATGTTGTTATAGCCATCCTTTTTGTGACCAATATGCTGTGTCAGCATCTGTAAAAATAGAATTACTCTTTCACTTGAACCATTTCTATTTCTTCACCAAGAAGAGGTGACATCCGGTTAATGATATAGCCATCCTTTTTGTTGTGACCTATATTTTGTGTCAGCATCAGTAACAAATAGTTGCACTTTAGTTCTTGCAAACATGTGCTGGTATTTTGTCAGGTTAATGTCTATGTCTAATCATTCTTTCCATGTGCTCCCCATGTTAAATCCACTTCCCTATTATACTATAGTAAACACCATCAAACTTGAACAATTTCTGCATCCTAAGTGTGTTATCACAAAGGGGATTATCTGTTGTTGTATTTCACATGACTAGGTTTTTGTTCCACCAACCATGCCAATGTATGTTAAAAATAGCATTCAATGTATGTAAATAATCCAATGGGATACCTTTAAGATATTGACTCTATTTATAGTGGTTGACAGAATTCGTGAACATGAAGCAGTGAAGACGATCCGGTTTAAAGAAGGTCTACTAAGGCTGTCAGAGGCATATGTAGAACTCGGCAAGAAATGTGCAATAATACATGAAGCTCAAAGGGTATGTTTAGATTATGCTACATATGTTTTTATGTCACCACCAAAAGGGGTGACATATTGGTATGGTCTTTTTTCTGATGGCGATCGGTGTCCAGTGTCTGGCATTCAGCATATGTAACAAATGGCAGGTGGTGACATTTTGCATGTTAATTTCTTGTATAATTATGATAAAAGAATGTATAACACATCAGAAATGGTGGCAAAAATAAACAGATAGATATAATACAAAAAAATAGCATTAACATCAGCTGCCTCTAGTCAGATCGGCTGACAAAACAACCTTTTTGGGGTTGTTAAGTTGGCCGAGAGGGCTTGAGCGCT